GATGAAATAATTTGAAGAACTAGTTAAATAGATGAATTAAGAATCGACAGAACATGCAGAAAATTAATTAAAAAATGGATGAATTTCTTTTATATCAATAGTTTAGATTATTTAATAATTAATCAAATTTCAACATCTGAATTTTTAGACTGTTGAAATTGTTTGTTAATTTCATTATTTTTAATTTTTCTTCTACACACAGGACATAATTGTTTGTAAGTCCTCCATTTACCAAAACATTAATAATCAAAGATATGATTGCAAGGTAGCTAGCTCTACATATTTTTCCATCTACTTTAATTCCTCCATACAAATTGAACATTCAAAACCCTCTTCACCATTATATTCATCAAATATCTCATCTTCTTGGTAACGTATATTTCTTTTGATTAGTGACTGAAATAATTTTATTTAGCATGTGCAAATAGTTATAAGTAATAACATAAAGATAGCTGGTATCATAGTTGCAAAGTTTAACCAACTAAAGGATAAATATATTTTTTCATTAAAATTTCTAAACAAAATGTATATATGTATTTCATTAGTTGCTTCTTTATCAATAATATTTGACGCTGCATTTTAAAACTTAATAATGCATTATAAAATAAGAAATAATATGTTATAAAGGGAAAAGGTTTCCTTGTGAAGCTTTAATGAAATTACTTTATAATTAGAATATACATTATATAAACATTTATAAATGATTATTAAGATTTATATTTATTTAATACACATTTTTATTTTAAATAATAAATTTTTATTTCATCAACATACATATACATATTTTATTCATTTTAATAAATAATTATGAATATTTAATTTTAGTTAGATATAAACATTTATTATTTATTTGTATTTTTAATGAAGATTACTTCATTATATTTGAATATATAAACATTTAATATTTATTATATTTTTAATTTAGAATACTTAATCTAGTAAACCTGTTGTGAAGAATCCATATTCTAAATAACAATTACAATAAAATTAATTAACAATATTTTAATAAGAATAGTTATCAATAAAAATTAGACGAAGAGTGGTATCAATAAATGGTAGAGCTCCAATAGAATCAAAAAGGTTAGCAAATGAAAGAAAATATAGCATTTAGCATAACTAATAAGAGAAGTACCATGGACAGAGTTATTAATACAATACACCTATGAATTTTATGTCTTAAGATACAACATTCGATAAAATTGCAAACATAAGCAAGATTAGATTCAATGAAAAATAAGTAGTTAAAAACTAATTTTGATTAATTTGAAACGCTTAAATTTTCCATTTGATATAAATAATTAATATTTTGAAAATTTATAATTTGAATCTTTTTTTAGATGGTATGAAATGATGAATTTGTTTCAATTTGATGAATATGATTGTATTTGTATAGTTAGTTTTGCAATTATTTTAATAGAGTAATAATTTCGTATAAAATAAAATGGGTTTGATTTCATATTACTGTTAGCTAGTGGTCGTTTTTATCGGTTTGATCACCTATGATCTTCTATTTTATACGACATATTTAAAGGATGTATGTCAACCAATAGAGTATACAGATGCTGCAGCTGATGAAACAACAGCTGATGAGAATGCCGCTGGAAATCGAATATTAAATCTGATGACCGAGAATATTGATGAATTTATAAACTCTTAAAATGCAGCATAAGATGAAACAATAGATGAAACAACAACTGATGAAACTGGAACTGTAGAGGCAGCTACTTCATCATCAGCTTTTGCAAACAAATTAGTATTAAAGATATTATAGTAGATAACATTACTTTTCATTATTATATTACTTTATTGTGGAGTGATTGGTTTAATTATCTTAGCAATGTTAGGTATTTACTTGTTTTGGTAAAATGCCTAGTGTGAGATTTGGAAATTTAAGTATTAAATTATTAGTCATTTATTCAATTCGATATGTGTTGGGCTTGCTTAGGTATTTATGTAAGAAACTTTGCCGTTTTGACTAGATTGTTATCTTGGGTTGGGATCTTATTAATGGCTATTCACGCTATTATAACCATAACAGATGAGGAATGTTAAGCAGCAATACATGAATACAAATAAAATAAGAAGATATATCTTTTAGTAATATTATTGATTCAATAATCATGAAAGGAAGGTGCTATGTATGGCTCATCTATTCTCTTAATAATTGTCAACTTATGTTTTTGGGGAGCAACTCATTGTATTTTACCTTCCCGAAAGCGATTCATTCATGGAAAATCCTTTTAAAATGAACCATTTGAAAGAACCAATGGCTTAGCCTATTGGTTTTGTTGTATTTTGCTGGGGCCTTGATAATTATTATCAATTATTATTATATTAAAATAATCCAAATGAATTTTGGTGATGATGAAATATGGGTTAATCACCCTAAATTCGTTTGTCTTATAGCTAAATAAGACAATGAGTAGAATAAGTTAATGATTACAAAACAAGGGATAAATAGTATTGATAAAGAAATAAGAGAAGAATTTGTTGATGAAAAATCAAACATTAAAGTCGATCCATTAGCTAAAAAAGGAGTTAGTGATTTACTAGTAAGATTAAAAATTAAAATTAGCTCTTAAATGAATTAAATGAATTTAATTGTCTTCATGGAATAAGAATGAGATATTCTAACAAATTTATTTATACATAAATAGGTGCTCCAATTTTAGTAGCCATTAATCCATATTAATATGTTCCTGAATTTTATGATGAAAAAATGGTAACATTCTTTAAGAAAGAAATGGGAAGGATGCATTAGTATTCATATTCTATAAATTAGAATTTCCAAAGATATTCTTTAACAAAAATTAAGAGATATAGACCCTCATCTCTATAAAGTTGCTTAAATGTCCTTAGATCAACTGTTTGAAGAGTCTACAAAAACTAATCTTAGAATATGCTCAATGATTATATCTGGAGAAAGTGGATCAGGTAAAACAGAATCAACTAAAATTATTCTAAAATATTTAGCTGCTGAATCATTAGGTTAGAAGTCCAAAACACCCTCTATAGAATAATAAGTTTTTGCTTCTAATCCACTTTTAGAGGCATTTGGAAATGCAAAAACAGCAAGAAATGATAATTCTAGTAGATTTGGAAAATTCATTCATTTATATTTTAATCCTGTCACCAAAAGAATTTCTAATGCAAAAATTGATAACTATTTATTGGAAAAAAGCAGAGTTGTTAAATTAAGTTCAGTTGAAAGAAATTATCACATTTTTTATTAATTAATTGCTGCTCAAATACCTGAACTAAGTAAGTAATTATATAACCTTTAGAACTTGGATAAGCTAAATAGTACCATTATTTAAAATAAGGAGATCTGAAATACAATAAAAATGAACTTGAGGAATTCAAAGAAACTAGTGATTGTATGGATAAAATGAACTTTACTCACGAAGAAAAACAATATATTTTTTAAGCTCTTGCTGGAATCTTACATTTAGGAAACATCTCTATATAAGGAGATGCAAATAAGTCATTCATAATTGAAGACTTTTCTTTGAAAGCTTCTTGTTAATTATTAGGACTTGATTCTGAGGATTTGATTAGAATAATTTGCAAAGTTCAAACAGTTATGGGAAAGGAAGTGATTATGAAAGAAAATAATATAGAGGCAGCCAGTAGTGCAAGAGATACACTTGTTAAGCATATTTATGAGAAATTATTTAATTGGTTAATCCAAAGAGTTAATGTATAACTTAAAGCTTGTGGTTAAGGTTAAGTTTAAGTTCAATAAAATACATCTTAGTACATGATTGGTATTCTAGATATTTTCGGTTTTGAAATATTTACAGATGAATAAGGAATATAGACTAACAGTTTTGAATAATTAAATATTAATTTTACAAATGAAAAACTCTAATAACATTTTAATTCACATATGTTAGAAACTGAATAAAGTATCATATTTAATTCTATCAATTTTAGGTGAATATANGTAAGATTAAAATTAAAATTAGCTCTTAAATGAATTAAATGAATTTAATTGTCTTCATGGAATAAGAATGAGATATTCTAACAAATTTATTTATACATAAATAGGTGCTCCAATTTTAGTAGCCATTAATCCATATTAATATGTTCCTGAATTTTATGATGAAAAAATGGTAACATTCTTTAAGAAAGAAATGGGAAGGATGCATTAGTATTCATATTCTATAAATTAGAATTTCCAAAGATATTCTTTAACAAAAATTAAGAGATATAGACCCTCATCTCTATAAAGTTGCTTAAATGTCCTTAGATCAACTGTTTGAAGAGTCTACAAAAACTAATCTTAGAATATGCTCAATGATTATATCTGGAGAAAGTGGATCAGGTAAAACAGAATCAACTAAAATTATTCTAAAATATTTAGCTGCTGAATCATTAGGTTAGAAGTCCAAAACACCCTCTATAGAATAATAAGTTTTTGCTTCTAATCCACTTTTAGAGGCATTTGGAAATGCAAAAACAGCAAGAAATGATAATTCTAGTAGATTTGGAAAATTCATTCATTTATATTTTAATCCTGTCACCAAAAGAATTTCTAATGCAAAAATTGATAACTATTTATTGGAAAAAAGCAGAGTTGTTAAATTAAGTTCAGTTGAAAGAAATTATCACATTTTTTATTAATTAATTGCTGCTCAAATACCTGAACTAAGTAAGTAATTATATAACCTTTAGAACTTGGATAAGCTAAATAGTACCATTATTTAAAATAAGGAGATCTGAAATACAATAAAAATGAACTTGAGGAATTCAAAGAAACTAGTGATTGTATGGATAAAATGAACTTTACTCACGAAGAAAAACAATATATTTTTTAAGCTCTTGCTGGAATCTTACATTTAGGAAACATCTCTATATAAGGAGATGCAAATAAGTCATTCATAATTGAAGACTTTTCTTTGAAAGCTTCTTGTTAATTATTAGGACTTGATTCTGAGGATTTGATTAGAATAATTTGCAAAGTTCAAACAGTTATGGGAAAGGAAGTGATTATGAAAGAAAATAATATAGAGGCAGCCAGTAGTGCAAGAGATACACTTGTTAAGCATATTTATGAGAAATTATTTAATTGGTTAATCCAAAGAGTTAATGTATAACTTAAAGCTTGTGGTTAAGGTTAAGTTTAAGTTCAATAAAATACATCTTAGTACATGATTGGTATTCTAGATATTTTCGGTTTTGAAATATTTACAGATGAATAAGGAATATAGACTAACAGTTTTGAATAATTAAATATTAATTTTACAAATGAAAAACTCTAATAACATTTTAATTCACATATGTTAGAAACTGAATAAAGTATCATATTTAATTCTATCAATTTTAGGTGAATATAATATGGAAAGAATATAATGGAATCACATTAAATTTCCTGATAACAAATAAATTATTGATGTAATCGAGAATTCAACTCTGTCCATATTTAAGTTACTTATTGATTAAACTATTGCCCCTAAAGGTAATGATAGAGAATTTAGTAATTCATTTAAAAAATTACCAAGAGATTGTGTTTTCAATGTCTAAGACTTATTGACTTAGGATTCAGATATCAAAGTAGATAAAAAGCATAAAACTGCTAAATTTGATTGGTTTGGAATCAAACATTTTGCTGGATATGTCATTTATAATGTCTCTGGATTTATTGATAAAAATAAAGACACTATCAATCAAGAAGTTCATCAAGTCTTGCCAACGAGCAAAAATCCTATTCTTAGAGAAATCTGGAAAAGTCATCAAATTACAAATACAAATATTAAATAGAATAATGTCATAACTAGATTTTAAAGCTCACTTTAAGAATTACTTGAAATACTTAATAATTCACTTCCTAAATACATTAGATGTATTAAGCCTAATAATACTAAATCTGCCTTTGAATTTGACGCTTAAGAAGTAAGAAGATAAATGAGATGTGCTGGTTTATTAGAAGCAATCTAAATTAGAAAGGCTGGGTATGAAATTCGACTTTACCACAATGATTTTATGAAGAAATATAGATTTCTGATTAAAGGTAAACCTACAAATATTAATCAAATGATTATATTATTGAACTAAAATTAAATAGTTAAAGAAAAATTACAGAAAGAATTAGAAGCCAAAAATCTTTAGATTGGAACAACTAAAATTTTTATGAAAGAAGGATTAAGAGATTTCTTAGATTAACAGCTAGTAGAATTTAGAATGCAATATATAATTAAAATTTAAAAATCTGGTAAAAAATACATTTACAAAAAAACTATTTTTTTGAAACTTAAAATGCTTTTGTAAAGGTATCATAAATTATAAAGATCATGTAAATGGTATGTATATAAAGTTGTGTTTTTGGTAAAAAGAATTAAAAGGAGGAAAATACTCAACCCCTTTATTTAAAAAATTAAAAAATTTGAAAAGAAAATAGTAGAATTGTTTGCCTTCTAAAAATTACATGAATATGCCACTTTTTTAATATAGAGAGATGCTGAAATTTAGAGATAATAATAAGAGCTAGAGAAAGAATTATAGATTGAAAGTTCTGGAGAAATTAATAAATCAGTCATAATATCTTAAAAATTAGTTGAAGAAGATTTAAGTATTAGTTTATCTTAACCAATTTAATCTTTTAATATCAAAACATTCACTAAACCTGACCCAGTAAGCAATTCCGCTTCACATGATATGTTTAAAAAGGCTCTGGATGAGGCAAAATTAAAATTAAAATTAGAATAAGATAAAAGAAGAGATTTGGAAGATTAGGTAGAAAAATTATAAAATGATCTAAAATAATTTGAATCCTCAGGTAGAGAAACTTTAAATCCTTCTGCATTTGGATAATTAGAAGACATAATTACTTTATAAAAATTAACAGAAGAAAAGACAAGGTTGGAAGTTTAAGTAGAATAATTATAATTTGAGAAAAAAAAAATTGAAAAATCTGTACTCTATTCATATTATATTTTAGAGTTTTGATTAAATTTAAAATTTAAGCCTCTAATTAGCTCATGCCTAACAGTGTATAAAAGAATTAGAGCACAATAATGAAGTTTTAACTTAGGATTATTTAAATGAAGTTAAAGCTAATCAAGAAATTGAGGAAAAGTTGAAAGATGAATGGAATTAAGAAAGAAGACAATTGGCTAGAGAATTAGAGGATTCTAAAAAGGCTTTATCTAATTAAAATAAAATTGCTTAAAAAGATATTTAAAGAATTAAAATGGAATATGAGAGAGAAAAATTGAGGGTAGCTGAATTAGAAAGTGAAGTTTTAAAAGCTAAATAAATTAGCGAACTATATAAATCTTAGTTAGAATAAAATGATTCAAACATTAAAGATCATAAAGGGAATGAACATGAACTATAATTAAAAGATTTATAAATTAGGGATTTATAAGTTGAAATTTAAAAAAGGGATCAAATAATATCCTAATTGAATAATCAAATCAAACAATACAATACTAGATCTCTTACTCAATCTTAAGTTATCAGTTAAATTAATGATACTACTGAAGTAACTTAAGAACTAAATGAAAAAATCATAACATTATCAGCTACTTTAAAAAAAAGAGAATTTGAATAAAGTAGAAATAAAAAGCTTATACATACAATGAATCATCTTGTTAAGCTGAAAATTATTGAAGTTAATGCTCTTCATAAGCATTTTAATATTGTGCATGAATAATAAAAACAAGTATTATATTCATTTTATTAAGGAAATTTATCAGCCAATAGCTTAAATTATGGAAAAAGAAAAAATATTGATGAAATAATTTGAAGAACTAGTTAAATAGATGAATTAAGAATCGACAGAACATGCAGAAAATTAATAAAAAAATGGATGAATTTCTTTTATATCAATAGTTTAGATTATTTAATAATTAATCAAATTTCAACATCTGAATTTTTAGACTGTTGAAATTGTTTGTTAATTTCATTATTTTTAATTTTTCTTCTACACACAGGACATAATTGTTTGTAATTTCTCCATTTACCAAAACATTAATAATGAAAGATATGATTGCAAGGTAGCTCTACATATTTTTCCATCTACTTTAATTCCTCCATACAAATTGAACATTCAAAACCCTCTTCGCCATTATATTCATCAAATATCTCATCTTCTTGGTAACGTATATTTCTTTTGATTAGTGACTGAAATAATTTTATTTAGCATGTGCAAATAGTTATAAGTAATAACATAAAGATAGCTGGTATCATAGTTGCAAAGTTTAACCAACTAAACGATATATACATTTTTTCATTAAAATTTCTAAACAAAATGTATATATGTATTTCATTAGTTGTTTCTTTATCAATAGTATTTGATGCTGCATTTTAAAACTTAATAATGCATTACAAAATAAGAAATAATATGTTATAAAGGGAAAAGGTTTCTGAAATCACCCAACTAAAAACACCAATTCCATTTTCTATTCCAATTATTAAGAGTATTATATTTGAAATAATTATTAGATTATTTTTTTCATCATACTTCTCCCTATACATCATGTACATGATCAAAAACATTATAGGTAAAACTAGTTTATATATTACAATAACTTTCACCCATAATTAGTAATTAAAATCTCTGAGTTCTGGTAAAAAGCAATCAAAATATGACCTAAAAATAGTCATTATAATAATTAATTCAATTTATAGAATAAAAAACATTTTGGGGGAAATTTTCTATATATTACGAGTTGAAAGTATGTAATCACAATTTAATTCCAAATTTAATTAATAGAAGTATTTGATTAGAATAGGATAACAGCCATAAAATGCAATTTTTAATTTATATCTCTTAATATAGACAAATTTTATCAAAACTCTTTTGATCTAAAATGCTTATGAGAAATTTACAATATTATATTTAATAGAGACCACCGAGTGACTAATTAAAACTCAATCCTCTCATTATTATCAAATCAAAATAATTTTATCGTTAAAATATAATCATAATATTACTAGTATAGTTGTAAATTTTAATATGCTAAAAAAACACCTTAGGCAAATATCTGGTTCTCGGTACTAAAAATGAATTGATTTATATAAAAAAAAAAAATACTATAATGAAAATAATAATAACTCAATAATTAGAATATTTATTACTTGTTGAAACAGTTGTTTTGTACTCTGTTACAGGTTTATTCTCAATTTATGCTTAATTTTTCAAATCATTAAAGTCTTTTTTATATTAATCAGAAATATATGTTTAGCCTTTTTAAAATGAGGATTATGAAATATTATTTTGAAGTTTAGAATTTCTTGTTTCAAAGTTAGAGAATGGTTAAATATTTATTTAATCTAATCTTGAGGCTAATGATTTTCTGGGGTTATTTGGGTCTTAAATCGATGAGTATTCATAAACATCAGTTTTACCATTAAGAGTTTGAATCACTTACGTTTTTACTTCTGTTGCTTTATTAGTTTCCTTGCTTTCTATTTGATATGTTTTTACTTTTTGATAACTAGAAGTTTAGGGTTTTGATTATTGATATTAAATTTAAGGTAATTAATAAAAAGGAGGACCCTAAGAGAAAGGCTAGTATGACTATTATTAAGTTAATTAATCTTCAAGAAGTGCAATCTTTTGTTTTTGTTAGAGAATTGTATTTTAAAAAGTATTAATTTTAGATTTTAAATCCTAATTTTCATTTTATAAATCTTCAATTTGAAGATGAAATTGATTTTTTTACTAGCTTGATGTTTCTAGGTCATTTGGTAGATATTTGGATTTTTCTAAATTTTTTTGCAATCTCACAACTTCTTCTAATTGTTATTGATAGCGATTGACATAGTCTAATTTTTATATCCTTTCATCTTAAAGGTCTTTATGTAATCTATTAAGTTTATTTTCCATTTCATTTAATTATTCTTCTTTTTTCTATTGAAATTAATCCAGCTTTTATCTTTCAAATTAGATTTTTTGAATTAAATCATCATTAGAGGATGGCTGTAGATGATAATTTTATATTTACCTAAATGACTCTTAGTTTCTATATTTCTTGTTATAAATATAAGACTTATTAATTAGTTTCTCTTAATGCTTCACTCATTCTATCTAGCTNATAGTTGTAAATTTTAATATGCTAAAAAAACACCTTAGGCAAATATCTGGTTCTCGGTACTAAAAATGAATTGATTTATATAAAAAAAAAAAATACTATAATGAAAATAATAATAACTCAATAATTAGAATATTTATTACTTGTTGAAACAGTTGTTTTGTACTCTGTTACAGGTTTATTCTCAATTTATGCTTAATTTTTCAAATCATTAAAGTCTTTTTTATATTAATCAGAAATATATGTTTAGCCTTTTTAAAATGAGGATTATGAAATATTATTTTGAAGTTTAGAATTTCTTGTTTCAAAGTTAGAGAATGGTTAAATATTTATTTAATCTAATCTTGAGGCTAATGATTTTCTGGGGTTATTTGGGTCTTAAATCGATGAGTATTCATAAACATCAGTTTTACCATTAAGAGTTTGAATCACTTACGTTTTTACTTCTGTTGCTTTATTAGTTTCCTTGCTTTCTATTTGATATGTTTTTACTTTTTGATAACTAGAAGTTTAGGGTTTTGATTATTGATATTAAATTTAAGGTAATTAATAAAAAGGAGGACCCTAAGAGAAAGGCTAGTATGACTATTATTAAGTTAATTAATCTTCAAGAAGTGCAATCTTTTGTTTTTGTTAGAGAATTGTATTTTAAAAAGTATTAATTTTAGATTTTAAATCCTAATTTTCATTTTATAAATCTTCAATTTGAAGATGAAATTGATTTTTTTACTAGCTTGATGTTTCTAGGTCATTTGGTAGATATTTGGATTTTTCTAAATTTTTTTGCAATCTCACAACTTCTTCTAATTGTTATTGATAGCGATTGACATAGTCTAATTTTTATATCCTTTCATCTTAAAGGTCTTTATGTAATCTATTAAGTTTATTTTCCATTTCATTTAATTATTCTTCTTTTTTCTATTGAAATTAATCCAGCTTTTATCTTTCAAATTAGATTTTTTGAATTAAATCATCATTAGAGGATGGCTGTAGATGATAATTTTATATTTACCTAAATGACTCTTAGTTTCTATATTTCTTGTTATAAATATAAGACTTATTAATTAGTTTCTCTTAATGCTTCACTCATTCTATCTAGCTCTTATGTTAAAATTTAGATTCTTTCAATACAACCAGAATGCCTATCATTCGTTATTATAACATCCTTTTTATTTTAAGTTTCAAGTGGATAATTATTTTGAGTTCTATGACTTTCTTATTGGATTATTGAATTTCTTTTGGCTTGGTAAATATTCATTATTAATTTTATTACAATGAGAATGAAGGATTAATTTAAAATTCAAACTACAATTATATTTGATATCATATATATGTATATGTTATTTGAAAATAAAAAATAAATTAAATTATTAGAATGGATGACGAATGCATTTAACTAAAGGATGTTCCAATTTATAGACCTAAAAACTTGGTTAGATAAGTTACTCTAAAAGAAGAACCTAATTCTCCTCCAAAATAGAATGAAGGTTAATAAATTGTTAACACTTAAAATCTATTTGAGCAGTTAATAGATTAGTTTGTTTAATTGATCTAATAACAAAGTTTGTCATCATAACACATCATTAATATATTCTATCAAATTTTATTAAATGTCGGTTGGAGCATTTTTAACAGAAGCACTGTGGCGATCTAATTAGATAAAAGTAAAATCATCAAGCATTAATGCATATATTTTTATTAAAGGTTGAGAAAGTATTTTCAGCAAAACTCAAATGAAACACTTAATGGTCTATTGATGAAATTGCAAAAATTACAATACAATTAAGATTAAGAGGACGAACACATATAACAAGAAGTTAACTTTTATCGTTTCAATACCATGAAATCGACATATCATCCTCATGTTGAAGTTAAAACATAATAATCTTGTGACTAAAATGAAGAATAGTAAAAGGAACTGGAATTAAGAAATCAAAAATTAAAAGAATTATAAATCAAATTAGATTGTAAGGATAACATCATTAAAGATATGACTCAGGGATATTTAAAGGACGTTCAACATATGAAGGAATTATTATTTAGAAAAAATGATTAATAATTGAATATTTTTGAAGTTCAATATTTTGATTCTAAAGAAGGTTTCACTGAAGAATAAACAAATCTATTGAACTAAAAAATTAAAAGTATGCAGTAACAATTTGAACACAAATATCTCGAGTTAACATAGACCATCTAACATATATCAACTGAAAATAAATAATATGTTGCATAAATAGATAAGATCAAAGACAAACTCAAAATTCATGATACCAGTGCTGGTTTATTAGCAAAAGTAATCTAAATGGATAATAATGATCCTTACATTACTTGGAAGAATATTTAAGATCTCAAAGGAAATTAGTATTTCTTTTAAGTATTTGAAAATTAAAAGCATACTTATGGGATTAATTATAGAGAAATCGATAAGTTGATAATACAATGCAAGTCTTAATAAAGAGAAGTGTAACATTATAGATAGTAATTGGAGGATTAATTGTCGTAATTTGTAGATAGATAAATTAATTATATCAAGGATTTATAAGGAGAAATAGATGAAAAAAACGAATTAATTGAAAAACAAAAAAATCATTAAAAGGAAATAGTTTAAGATTGCTTAAAGTCAAGTCGAGAATAAATGGAAATTGCATTATCACATAGAAAAAACGAAAGTAAATTATTTCTTATAATAGTGTTGTAGCAATTGTTTGGTTAATTTAATGAATTAAATGAAATAAAAACAAATTTTGATTAATATAAAGTTAAAGTGATGTTCAATAAATGGATATTAATTAATCGAATGTTAAGATGTGTGAAAACTGTTCGAGACCAATTCTTATTAAGACAAGAAATTAAGGAAATTGTTGTAGGAAGAAAAGATTTTGAAGATAAATTAAAAGAATATAAAAATAAAAAAAAGAAGAAAAGAAACATTCTTAAAACTCAATATGAGGAATTAAAGTAAATATATGAAAATGATAAATATAACCAAATATATTGGGAATATAAATTTCTAACATAGTAAAAGGTTGAATAAATATTAAATTAAGAAATTTCTTTATTATAGTAATAATATAATCAATCAAAAGAGAATTATAAAATATTGTAATTAAAATACTAAGTTGCTTGTTTGCATTATCAGTAATTATATCGCCTGTTCGACTCAAAATAAATAAACTTTGACAAATTAGACAAAAACTAAATAAAGATGGTTGAATATAAATTAAAACAATCTGATTAAAATAAAGAGCATTTATCTTAATAAATTGCTCTATAGTAATATTAGTAATTATCTAAACAAGAGGTTTTGTTTGAAAATATCTAAAGTAGGTCAAAATATTGTCAAACTGTTATTTTAAACGTTAATACTCCAATTCAAAATAATTCTTTAAATTATGAAATTATTGAAAAAATAATGAAATTAAAATTGAGTGTTAATGAAACTTCTCATAAATAAACAAATACAGAATTTGAATATTAAATTAAAAGAGAAATAGTTACAAAAGAAGTAGAAGTACAATGCTTTTTTGAATCAATTTCTACAATTTAATAATAATAATCTAATTCTCATTGTAAAAGCAATTTGCTACATTAAGATCAATTAAGATCAGTTTAAACTCCCTCTTAATTATGTTTATTAGAAGAAATTTCTGAATAGTAAGTAGATACATAATAATTCTAAAATTAACATGAAATCAAAATTATAGAAAACTAGAATTAGAATATTTTAAATTAAGATAACACATATCTCATTTTTTAAAGAAATTCTTTGAAATTCACAAAAGAAGATTTTAATAAAAAAGATTATGAATCTCAATTATTGTATGATTAAAATAGATTACAAATTAAAACTCCATAAACACCACTTTAAGCCTCTTTAAGAGTTAAGGATTAAATAGAAAAAATATCTTATTTATCATCAAACAATAAAGAACATTCTGTAGATTAGCAATAGGATATATTCCAAAGATTATATAGAGATAGTATGAATAGGAAATAAAGGTTATAAATATTAAAGAACAATATTGAAACCTTGGATCAATTTAAGTGGGAATAAATCCTTTAAATAATCTAATCCAGTCCTTTAGATTAAGCTAGAGGACTTAGTTAGAAATCAACCAAAAGACCTCAAATGTATTATTCAAAATAAAAAGGGTTTAAAGATATTGAATATCGATTTAGTGATTAAGAAAAAGATAATTAAAGAAGAACTTCTTATAAAAGAACAGGCACATAGAACAATAGAACTTTTTAAATTTAAAATACTCATTAAATTCAAAAACAAAACACAACATTTGATTTTTCTTGTAATAAAATAAATAGATAGAATTATTGAATATAATATTATGATCATAATAAAATTTATATGGCTAAATATGTAATGATCAATAATTTTCCATAAGAATCTGTTGTATTTGTTGAATTTGATGTTCCTGTAGCCAGGGCAAGTTAAGCTATCTTTTCATCATTCCATAAAACTTAAACAAAAGTAATTCCAGGTTCGTTGCATTAACAATAAGGTACTGGTCTTGATGAAGTTATTTCTTTATATTAACAATCCTAATTATTGTATGCCAAACCATAAACTGAATTGGATAATTTAATCTATCTAATATTTTAGAATTTACTTAAAAACATCCCAATCCTATGACATCAGACATTTTCAATAATGGCTCATAATCAAAATTTGGTACATAATGCCAATAATGAAATTCAGAGGAAGGAGGGTAATAAATTTCACCATATTTATCCATAAATTAACAATATGTAACTGTAGAATTATATGTAAATGTAGAATTTGTGAATGCATCTATCATATCATTTGAAACTGCTAGAACTAATTTATACTATAATTAATCTTCATTATAATACCCTAATCAATACAGATTTATATTTGTATTCGCATTAAGCTGATTTAATTGATTTTGAGTTTAATTTCATATTAGAATAATTTACTATGAGAATTAAAATTGAAAAATTTACTTGTATCTTTCCATTTAGCTATTATAGCACTGAAATAACCTTATTCAAAGAAGATCGGATTTTTTTTTGAGTCTAAATCAATATATTTGAACATTAAGGATCTAATTAAATCAATTATTTGTATTTAAAATGTCTGAAGAGCACTTACTTCTAATGTTTAGATTGCTTTTAATTTCTTTGTAACGAATTCAATGCTTTTTAAAAACCAATTTATTTCACTTTGTTAAACACTACTTTTAGCTATAGATAGTCCTAATTCATATATAGCAAATAATTATTTATATGTCAAAGTAGAATTCCTATTCAATAAATCATAAACTTAGATAACAGAGAAGCTAATATTGTTCATCATTTTAACCTTGCTATTGATGATTCATCAGCTCCATTTGATAACTATTTTTCAACAGCTGAATTTTCTGTTGAGTTCAACAAACAAGTTTAGCCTGACATTTGACTACCTTAAGATGCAGCACACGTACATGTTTGATTGGAAGAACAATACCCTGTTTTTGAACATGCACAACATTCTCCAGCACCGCTGCACAATTAATCGTATGGCTATAACTAGATATCCATTAATTACATTAATGATGGTCACCGGCTTTATTAATGTTGCTGCGTATGATAAACTATTAATGTTTTAAACTCATTACCTAACAATTATAAAAAGAAATAACATTATTATTATTATTATTATTATCAACAATTATATTAAATTAAAAAGAAGATCATCAATAAAATGAAGATAAAATATTTAAAATTCTGATTTTATTAATTATTGTCAACATATGATAATAATTATTAAATTCTTTTAAATTATAAGAGTTTCTCTTTTTATTCGTTGTTTCTAAGTGTTATTGTTTCAAAAATTGTACCCTTTTTATGCCTATCTGAAAGTAATTAGCAATACAAGTTGACGTGGCCGAGTGGTCTAAGGCGGTGGATTAAGGCTCCATTCCGAAAGGGCGCGAGTTCGAACCTCGCCGTCAACATTTTTTATATATTGTAAAAATTTATATAATTTTAATAAATTAAAGTAGGTGACAGAAATTAAGAAATTTTGATTTAAAAGGGGAATACTGATTTCTTGATTATTCATTATAATTTTAAATACTTCATATAATTAGAACCACTTAAATGATTGATATATTTTAGAAAAGCAGATTTATTTTATTAATTTCTTTAATGTTAATTTATTTAGTTTATAGATAATTATGGTTAAATAATTCATCAGATATATATTATCTGTTTAATTTACTAACAATAAAAGTATAAATTATTAATGTTCATCAAATATTTTAATATGATCATGCTTCTTAGTTGATTTATAATCTTTCACATAAATCTTTTAAGTATGTGATATTTTCATTAATTCTTGAGTTTTTATCCTTAATCACTGAGCATGCTACTACATTTCTGCTTGTACCGCACATTCTACCTAAATCAACCTTGCTCTTAATAAATACATATGGAACATTCTAATTGATTAAATTTATAGAATTTACCTTATCTTCACAAAGTAAAGGTAAATGAAGTACTATTTCTAATGGTGTTGTATCAGCTGCAATAATGACAAGCTCAGCTATACCTCTATTTAAAGTTTTTGTGGTTTCATTGGCTCCTTTTTTTAACTAATGATTTATGCCAAATTTATACTTATTTTAGAGCAGCTGCTTATTAGACAAGTTCTAAAATTTGAGGTTCAACTTCCTCATTAGCTAATGGTTATGCTCTTTCTGGATATTCGTTTTACTAATTATATTGATTCACAATTTACCATTAGTTATTATATTTACAAAATATTTAATGTAAATCAATTTAATTATTTTTTGATTTCTAATTTTAAGAATAAAATTAGATATTCAATTATATGATATATATACTTTGATTTATTAATGATACCTTTATTAAAGAAGTATCGCATAATAAATATTATAAATAAAGCAATTGTTATTAATCTGCAATTTTAATAATAATAATTTAAAATATACAAAGATTACTGATAGCTCCGAATTCATCAAGGAAGTACCTAATCAAACAAGATGCCATGAATTTACTTCTTAGCATTATTTTATGTTTATTTTACATTGATAATTTGATGAATGATTAATAGCCATATTCTGTAGCATTGTTTAAATGATCATATTTATTTCTACTCTTTACTTGTAATTTATGTGCTAAACTTAAATTTTGAAAATAAAACATTTTTAATTCTTAAATAATTAATAAACATATTATCTTTTTATACGTACTTTTTATACCATAATTAATAACATTGAAACAATAAAATAATAAAAAGGATTAAATTATTTAACTGAGAACTTTATTGCAATATTAATTAAACTAATATTTAAATAAAGTATTTTTTTATATCAATTTCTATATTAACTAATGTTTAATAAATGTCTTATAATTTGCAGGTATTATATTGGTGATTTATAATTTATTTGAAGAATCTCTAGAATAAACCAAAAATATTAAGTAAATATATATATATATAGATATATAGAAAACTTCTCAGATATTCAGTTTTTGGATATCTGTTAAATCGTATATTTATCACAGGATTATTAGAAAATACATTAGAAGAACAAACGATTTTTGAGTTCAAAGAGAGTTTTATCAAAATAGAAGAACTTAAAGAAGTCTCATTTGGTACACTTGATATCTGTCCTATATGTTACGAAGAATTTAGAATAAAAGAATTAGTTGCCGAATATCAATGTAAAGGAAAGCATACATTTCATTAAGTTTGTGTTTTAAAATGGCTAAAAATGCCAATGAACAAAACAAAAAGGTTTGCCCAATATGTAAACAATTTCCATATTCTATTGATAAATATGTCTAATAATAGTGTTTTAGACTTGTATGATTTATAATATAGCTTTTATAATTTTTAAGTATTAAATAAATTTCGATACTATTCAAAATCGCTTAGATAAATGATAAGCTAACAAAAGAATAGTTGCAATTACAACTTAAAATAGTTGAATCTATAACAAGTTTATGTTAGCAAGTAATAGTCCTAAAATCAAAAACCCGAAGTTTAATTTATAATTAGAGAATTATCTAAATATAATTAATTTATTACATTAAAAATGCCTTTATTGCTAGGGAAAACAATAGTCTAACAATTAAAATGGAAAAGAACTCTACTTAACTTTAAAATTAGCTATGTATGGATTGAAAACTAGGCAGAGAACTTAAGAAATTTATCAATCCAAAAGTCATCAATAACTTCCTCAATAAATGTTCATTATATAATTCACTGATACAATAATTACCAATAAAATATCCTAATAATTCAAATATGGATAATATCAAAGCTAATGTCTCGATAGTCCATTGCAATTGATTAACAAATGCATATAGCTTAAACAAATGTCCAAAATATAATAAACTTAATGCAAACATTATGAAATTAATTGTACATTTAGATTCCTATTTATTACTTACTTTGAATTAAAATTTATTAATTAATAATGAAATTTATTCTTCAGTAAAATAATTTCTATTTGGAAAATTTGCTGAATAGATGGAATTCATATTTTAATGAAATTCTGTTAATAAGATTTCAATCTTATTTAAGGCAATTTATTATTTTTTTAGATTTTATTAATTTTATTTAGAGATTTCTTCAAAATGTGAAATACGATTTAAAATGCATAATGGTGAATCTTATAAAGTGAAATAAGCAAACAAAGTAATTAAAGAAAATGGAATCCACATTATAATTAGATTAAAAATGTATTGTTCTTTAAATATCATATGTAAAACAGAGGAAACAACAATAAATTCCACAATTATTAATAGGAATTCATTATAAAAGATTAATCTTTAATTTTTCTTCAACATAAACTAAACTTATTCCATCAATAAATAAAATATGCTGGCAGATGACATTCCCTGTACAAAAAAACAACCAAAGAATATCAAATTATCCAAATAGATTTTTGTTTTATTAATTTTTCCAATATCTTCAAAATGTAAAGATCCATAATTTGGATATAAATTACATTGAGTTCCTTGAATAAAATAAGTCCCTGATATAAGTAAAAGAAAGAATAATAATAACTTAAATAGATAAATTATATACATTTTTATTTGAATAATTTAAAGATAGAGACTTGATACCATACACAATAATGTAAGATATTACTATGTAAATAATTCTAATCGCAATTACTAGTATAAGTTAATCTATTTATTCTTCTAAATATAAATGACTTCTGGAGGAGTTCTTATTCTTAATATGCTCTTGGGGTCGTAAACTAAATTTCAAATATCAATACATTAATTTTGAATGATTATCATCATGACCTTAAATAATTTAATCCTATGTGAAGAGATATAGAAGTTAATAAAACTGAAGGGTTAAGAATCCAACTATTAATAATATGAGTTTTCTCAAAGTTTAAAAGTACTTTCCTTTTGGGTTTAATGTTAAAAGCAAAAATTACTTATCAATTACAACAGAATCAACTACTATTTTGAATTAATCAATAGGAAGGTTTGTTTAGTTATTGAGAACTTGAATAAGTTGGTTCAAAGTATTATTATTGTTTTGTGAAATCTGATTGATTTGAATTTCCTACTAAGAAATATCTTAAGAATTTTGCTATGAATTTGGTCTATTTTCTACACCTCTTTGACTATTGTTCATATTTATTAATAAAATATTTTAGTATTAAATTAAATTCATTTATATGATGATTTTAATCTTTCTGAGTCTGAATCCCAAACTTTAAATAAATTTTTATGCATTTCATTTCTCAAACTTCTTTAATCATTATTCTAGATTTCTCCATCATAAAGTTTAAATTTAGATTAAACATTTTTGACATTTTTTTAATTAAACAAATAATATGCATCCTATCAGGTTGCTTCATTAACATAAATTATATATATCAAAAAATACATTAAATATGTTTTAATAAAAGTGACCTCGAATTATTGGAGTTAAATTTGTAATTGTTTAAATTGTTATTGGAATTATCATTTTATAAAAATCCGACAAACATTTTCTATATTAGAAATAATAACACTAGGCTTTTTCAATTTCAAATTAACTGAGAATTAACTACTTATCATTAAAGTCATATTTATTCACAAAATCTAAAAAAAATGATTTACGTATTGAAGTTAATAATGATCCTTAAATTTATTAACGTTCTGTTCATTTATAATAATTTCTCAAACTCTAAGATGTAATAAAATAAAATATAAGATTTTTAGTTATCTTCTAACATTCAAATTAGAATACTACTCTAGAAAAACAATAAAATTCTTTTGAAAGATTGAATACATATATATATAAAAATAAATATCATATTCTAATCAGATTAGAAATTTTGGTTTAGTTGATATAAAAAAAAAATACTTAAAATAGAAATTGTGAATAAAATATTTAAGATATATGCATATAAGTTTTAATCAATTTATTATTAATTATATACATAGAAATATTGATAGTGTAATTTATAGTAATATTTATAATTCATAAATAAATAAATGGAAAAAGAAAATCAAACATTTAACTTCTAAAATTTAATCATTGCAATGTATGTTTTGAAGGTTAAATTTGATTTTTCAAAAAAAATTAGTGGACTATTGATATTTATGTCTAACTTGTAACCATTATGTTTTATTTTTGAATTACAAAATACAAATTTAGCTTCAACTCTGACATTAAGAATGGAAAAATTAGATAATCATAGCAATACATATATTTATTAAATACTTGAGATTTTATTTAGACCATCAATAAAATTAATTTTCATATTTGGCAATTATGTTGAATATGCATTTTTTATAGTAACATTTCTTATTTTGATTCACAAAATTGGATTAATTATTTTTACCTAATACTATTTTATTTAGGAAAAATCATAAAAATTTATAAAACTAGCTGAAAATTCTTTTTTCCCTAAACTTTTTTGCTATTACCTTAATATCTATTAATAATTAGTTGGATCTTATTTATTTTTGGAAATGAATTTCATTTGTTTAACATGCTTATCAAAATAATTAGAATAATTAGAAAATTATGGATTTTTACTGGTTACATTAAATATTTTAACAATGATACTTTTAATAATTGATTCTATAGGAACAATCATAATAAATGAATCCACAATTACAAATAAAGTATATGGATTAGAAAAACTAGGGATTACTATATACAGATATATATATTATGTATTTATCATCATACAATCAATTATTGTAATAGAGTTTGATTAACTCCATGTTGAATATATTCTAAGTGCTATTTTATTATGTTAATAATTAATTCTTATTTTGGATTTGTTTATTCATTTTAATTACATCCTTCATTATTAAAAATATTCTTTAATTATTGCAATTTCAATAAACTTATCCATAAGTTTATCTATTTTTATAGTATCCACTTTTAATGCATAACTGTTAAAACTATGTTGTTTGATTATATTTTCATTGATATTGAAAATACTACTAAATTTGGATTAGAAAAATGAAAAAAAATAAATGTTAGAATTATTTAAGACCAGCAAAACTAATTTAAATTATCTAAGATTTGGATTGATTTTCATTTTAAATAATGAAATATATTTCTAATAAGAAGATTTAATAATTAAAATCTTAATAGCAAAGTGGCATACTTCAAGATGCAAATCTAAATTATGTACATTTTGCAGTCATATTTCTATTTAAAACCCTGAATAATGTTGTGGTATTACAAATGAGATGTATAAATAATTTGTTCAATAAATGATTTCCTGTTTTTTGCAAAAGTCTACTGCAAACAATAACAGATCAAATTAAAGAGATTATTCTTTATTATATGCTTATTTTCTATTCGATTTTGGATGGATAATTAGATCAATAAAGATTCTTGATCATCTTTTTTAAAATAAATAACCCTATTAATAACCATATTATTAATAATAAATTTAGTCTCCTAGTAAGTATAAATTTTAAGAAAATTAATTATAACTTAATGATAACAATTTTGACTAATATGGTCTATAGAAAATTAACAATTTCTAACAATTAGATTATATAACAAAAGTTCAAATGAAATTTATTGTATAATGTGGAAAATCATAGATTAGCTCTTCACTTATAGGATCATCATTATAAGCAACTTAATAATCAATGATATAGGAATTTATTGAAAAATCATTAAAATCAGAAAGTCTGATAAGATATTTAGAAAGAAAAGTAATGGAAACTCTTATGTTAAAGTTAAAATTATATCATAATTTAAAGAACACATGTACACAATCTTAAGATGAAATTAATTTTAATAAATAACTCTATTAATTATGTGAATAAGTGTATGAAGTTAATAAACTTTTAAAATTTCAATTTAAAAACACACCTAATTAAAAAATTCATGGTTTATATACATTTTTTTAAGGAGAGATATTATCTAATTATTATAAATCAATATTATTTTATAAAAATTCAAAAAGTTTAGAAGTAGAATTAAATAAATTTTAATAAATAATAAATTTTAATATAAATCAAAAAAATGTACATTTTGCAATATTGGAATTATGTGATGATATGTAAAATTTAACTTTAATAGGATAATCTCAAAACTTTTATGATAATTATGGATCAAATAATGAAAAGTAAAGATCTTTCGAATATTTATTACCAGATTTTTTGATTCCATATCATAATTTATATGTTAAACAATTTTTTGAAAATGGAACTAGTAAATATTATAATGCTTTCCAGATTAATTTTATAATGAATAATTAACATATATTAACAACTGTAAATATGTGTCATTCTATGACTAATCTATTCAAAAGTAAGAATATCACATTTGCAGTATTTTTATAAGAAGCAACTCAAGATAAAGCATTTTTAGTTATTGATGGAACAAATATGAAATGCATATTTACAAAAAATTTACTTATATTAATAGGATGGTCAGAGTCTGAAATTAAATATTTAAGTGCTTTAAAAGAATTTAATTAAGTTGAAATATCATCAATATATCCAAATTTTACTACAGTAATAATGGAACATTAAGAAAATGAAATTAAATTAAGTTCAGTAAATATGTATTTTCCTTCACCTTAAAGTAGTTTTGAATCAATTTAATGTGAAATAAAAATATCTCCTGATAAAGCTAGATAAAATTTAAGATTATATAATATCGAATGCGATATAATAATATAAAGAAAGTAAATTGGTAATTATTGTTATTTTATATTGGATATAATAAAAATGGCTGAATTCAATAGAGGTAGGGAATTATCATAAATACATTAAAGATTATCCTTAAATTCTATTAAATAAAATGAATCTTTAAATTAACCACTTTTTTTAGATTGTATTGTAGATTAATAAGATGATTCACCTCATATTGGAAATTTAAATAGTGTAAATTTTATAAATTAATAATAAATTGGATCTATTTAAAATATATCTAAGCCCTTACTTTTTTAGGTGAATCCAATAATATTTGTTAATAATTCTCCCGTTCTTAATTCAAGAAGAGAAGAAACTATAAATTAAAGTGAATAATAATTAATAACTCAAAGAAATAGTTTAATTAAATAAGATATCAAATCTCCAAGTTTTATCAATCAATAAAGTATCTAAAGCATTGATGATAAAGAAAACTCTTAATTCAAATCACCTATTTTAAGATTAAAAGAAAGTTCTGATGAATAAGATAAAATTCATTAGAATTATGAATTACTTCAGTAAATTCTATCTATTAGTCCATCTAGATACTAAAAGAAATTTATGGTTCTATTTAGTATTTGGTTTTTATTATTTATTATTTTTATAATAGTATAATATATAGAACTTAAAAATGATTTAGATGACCTTTTATCTTTTGGATTTATGACTTCTTTTTATGCTTCCATAATGGGGCCTCATGATCTATTTTTTTCAATGAGAGTAACAATAACTGGCTATTAATAAATGAATAGAGAAGGTTTTCTAGCAAGTAATCAATTATTTTAATTAACTGAACCTTATTATGAGTCAATTTAATTAGGATACACAGAATTAAGAGATAGTTTATATGATTAACTAGATAATCAATATATTAAAAGCTTTTTAGATGATGTGAAGGTTACGATGAATTTCATGAATAAGAATGAAGAAGAAATTTATGCTGTTGAAATTTCCTTTAGAGATGCATTATTTATTATTTTATAATATTAACATGCTCAAATGATAACATTTAATCATCGAGGTAGTACATCTGGATAACCATATTAAATATCACTATTTGCTAATTATTTTATGCTTCATAAGGAATGTGAAAGTTTAAAAATTTCAATGTATGATTATGCAATTTAGATGCATAAGAATATGAATTATAAATTGATTATTTTATGGATAGCTTTTGATTTGGCGTTAATAATATTTTATATATATTTGTAGTTTTTTTAGATTGAATTTTTTCAATAATTAGATAAATTTATCTAATTGATATTTTTAATAGATGAACCAATATTAAATAATGAAATTTAAAGATTTAATGATTTAATAGATTCAATAAAACTTAATTCTAATATATTGTTCATGTATAATCCTGAGCATCAATTATAATAACATTTAAAAAAACCATTGCATTCTCAAAAACATTAAAATCAGAATCAGAAATATAAATAGAACTTTTCAGCCATTAATAAAACTAGAAGCTTAATTAAAATTTTTAATATAGCATTCCTTATATTTTTATTATCTATTATTCTTATTTTTTCATTATTAAGCATTACTTCTACATAACTCTTTTTTAATAAATATGATGATACTTTAAAATTATATGAAAAAATTTAAGAGATGAAACTGAGATCAGGTAATTTATTCTTATACAGAGAAATATTTTTCAGATGGGAAAACTTTACTTTTCTAACAGAAAATAATAAATTAGAACTTTATGATTTAATTGATAAAGCCTAAAATGCTATTTCAAATTATATTTAAATATCAAACACTATAAATTTTGATTATTATTTAATTGATTAAAATTTTATAGATTTATTTAACAATATTAATAGGAATACTCTTTGTTAACAAATTGATGAAGTAATTATTTTATATTATTATTAGAAATTTAAAAATTTATCATCTGTATATTGTGGATTATCTTTTGACGGATCATTTGCTAAGGGAATGATTGTAACATTGAATTATATGTCCAATTTAATAAAATCTTAATAAGAAATTAACAATTTTACTCATAGAGTTGAAATGCAATATTATGAATAAGAAGGTTCACAAATAGTTAGTAGAATATTTTTTGTTTTAGTTAATCAATTCAACAAAAGTCTAAAAGAATAATTTGATGATTTAAAATTATTTTTGACTGTATTTTGTTAATATATTATTTTAGGTTTTATCACTATCATTTGGCCTTCTAACAATAAGTATTTAAGGATTATTATTTTATTATTATTCGCCTTATTTAGGTAGGATAATGAAAATAATTAAAAGAGTGGTTCATTTGATACCTTTTGAATCATTAATGAATAATGAAATATTAGAAAGATAACTAAAGGAACTAAAATTTAGATTTTAATGATATCAATTTATATTATTGTCTATTCTACTATTTGAATGGTTTTTTATTTATTAAAAACTTAAACATTTTAAAATAAATTTATTTTTAGCATCAAAAGTAGAATTAATTAAAAATCAATACATATATCATATAGCTTAATATTAAAACCTTAGATTATTGATCTATATTATTATCCTATAGAATCTACTTGTTAAACTAACAATAATATTTTGACTGATTTATAGATAAAATCAATTCCATCACCTTGATTATCCTCAAATTATCAATTCTCATATATATCTATCATTATTAATATAGAAATGCATTTCATCACCATATTCTTTGATTATCATCTGTCATCTATATGTAATTCCACTAATTAGCACTTTTTATCATAAATCTAATTATTTTTATACTCTCCTTTATTAGGATTGCCATATACAAATTATAAGTGGCTTAAGCATATTGCTTTTTGTTTAATATTTTTCCTTAATATTGATCATCATATAAAGATATTTATTCATATTTTGATATACTGTATGTTTACTTAGTTATCTTTTTAGGAACTTTGAAAAAATTCATTAATTAAATATGAATATCAAAAAACCTACAAACAAAAGTAAGGAAGATATAAATAGATTAAGAATGGTATTAGATTATCGTTGGGATCCTAAATATCAACCACAAGGAAAACCCGCCATTCCTGAATCATTTAAAATTGTGCGGGAATCCAATCCAATTGAAACAAAATAAGGCAATGATTTATAGGCAGTATTTATAAATCTTAAATGGGGATAACATCTAAAGATTGAGGAATTTGTAATATTATGTATTTAAGATATAGAAATAATTCAACTTGAATGATTCATAAATGCATAATGGTATGTTATTTATTTGGTGTGAAAAGGATAATATTATGGAAATTATCGATCAATTAGAAAAGCTTGGATTCAATTATGTTGAAAATTTCACAACAGTTCTATTATCATTAGAAAAGATATTAACAATCATGCCTTCTGAACCTTAAGTAAGAAAAATTACAGAATTCTTCAGTAAGAAGAATATAAAAGAGTAAAAGGAAATAAAAAAAATAGATGGGTTAAAAAATTAAGATTAATTACCTGATTTAGATCCTACTTAAGTTTTTTGGAATGAAAATTATACATATTTTAGAAAAACCAAAAGAACATTGTTAATGTTTAGAAAACAATCCAAACAACAATTAGAATTAAGACATTAAAGAACTGGAGATATCTTTTTTGATGTCATTGAGAAGGACGGTTAAAATCTTTCTGCTATAGGAATGGAATATATTTACAAAATGATTGAGACATTATTGCCAAAAGCATAATATAAGGCAGGAGAGAGTTTAAAAATGATGGAATTATTTGCAGATCCAAATACTTAAGGAAGATCTGGATGGATTTAAGTAATTTAAGAGTGATGAAATTTGTAAAATTTAAAATTAACAATATTTAAAAAAAATTAAGGTCTTACCAGGACTCGAACCTGGGTTAAAGGAGTCAGAATCCTTTGTGATAACCGCTACACTACAAGACCCAATCTGGTTTATGAGATTATGCATTAGTTATATAATAAGTTGAACATATTATTACTTTTCAAAATTAAAAAGATAACGAGTTACCCACTTACTTATCTAACTATTAAAAGAAATCTATATTAGCAATATAAAATTACTTTTAAGTTCATTGTTTGGATTGAACAATGAGAAAGTGCTGGATGCTGATGATTTAGAAGCTGATTCTTATTTATTAAACAATTTTTGTTTTATCTGACTTTTAAGAAATGGGGAATTTAAAAATGATGAAGCAATTTCATCAATATTAAATAATTTTCTTTCTGTAATAGTATTTGAATCTTAAGGTTAACTTTATTGTTGTTATGCACTACATACTTATCCACTACCAAAATGAGTGGATTGACAAGGCTAAAACAACTTATTTTAAGGAGTATTATTAAATGGATTCAAAGAATTATTTACTATGTTAATACTTTAGTCATCTATTTTTTGAATATGATTAGATTTATATTGTTCTTTATCTTATAGTATTTATTGTTTAATTTTTGATTGCACTTATCTAAGATGTTTTGGTACACCATTACTTTAAGGAGTTTTATTCTCTTTAGGTATTTTTTTATTCTCATCTTTAAATTAAGGTGAGTTACGACTATGTAGACTATGTAAACTATCTAATTAACTAGAATGATATGAAGATCTCTATGTTTATTATCTAGCACTATTTTCTCTTTATGATAATGGTTGAATTTCATTCTATGAATCATTTCTAGGTAAATATTGAGGTATAATTGGTTATTAATCTAATGTTTGTTTTCTTTTAGGTTAATGTTATGAATCGTTATTCTGATATTGATTCCATAAAATTGATTTGCTAATACTATAAATATTCAATTTTACATTTCTGAATCATCTAAGTGATGCTTGAATGGTATGACTTTTTTAACATTTTATTAAATTGGTATTTATTCTGTAATTTTAGGAGTTATTTTAGAAGGTAATAGTTTAGGTTGACTGTGATATTTAATTTATTGTTCAGGTTAAAAATGCTTTTCTAATGATAGTACTTTCTTGCGTAAACTTTTTATTTCTTATTGAATAGACTTTTCTTTATAAGCATCTAATTTAACGATTAAAAAATACTTGATAATTCTTTGATTCCATCTTCATTTATATCATTTAGTTATTGTTTAACTACTCCTATACCCAAGATAATCAGATATTTAATAAGTTTATCACTCTTTTTTAAATTATATTCTTAAGTAAACTTATTTAGTTGTTTCAATTCCATTTATTTTTCTAACAGTTAATTTATTTAATGATTAGTATTAGAACTAACACATCAATTATACAGAATCACTTCAAAATTTGACATATCTATATTAAACTATTAAATTCCTTTAAAATCAATACAAATTAATAAGAGTTCAAAAACAATAGATTATTTATTATAAACTATATAATCTAAATATTGATTTATTAATAAGAATAAAGTAAAATATAGGATAAATACTAACAAATTATATCCATCTCTTACTAATCAAATATATTTCATCTATTATCAAATCAACACTCAAAAAGAAAATTCATATATTTATTTAAATAATCTATTTCTAAAAATAATATGATTTTAAAGGGTAAGGTTTAGATTAAAATATATAAGGTATGTCAAATTAAGAAATGAAATAATTTTACTATATATTGTAATGATAATGTATATTAAAATAATCTACTTTTAGTTTGATTCTTTATATTATTAATTAACGAATGAATAAATCAAAAAGCCCTAATTAGAGAGACATCCCAAGTGATAATAGCAAAGTTAGAATAGCAGTTCGTGTCAGACCAACTTTAAATAGTGAAAGCGAAGAAGACTTTGTTTAGTTGATAGATGATAATACAATAAAAGTCACTAGAATTGGAAATAGTCTTAGAATGAAATTTAGCGACATACTTCCAAAAACAGCAAATCAAAATGATGTTCAAAGATTGGTTTCTGAATCTATCAAGTCATTTATATAAGGAATTAATAACACTATTTTTGCTTATGGATAAACTGGAGCTGGTAAAACTTATACAATTATGGGTGGATTACCTGAAAATGTAGCTAATGTTTCCACTGAAAAATTTCATTAAGTTATTAGGTGTAATGAAAGAGGAATTCTACCTAGAGCAGTTCAATAAATCATATCTCAATTATAAACTTAAATAGAAGATGATTAATGTCGACTTTATTTATCATTCTATGAAATTTACAATGAAAAAGTATATAGATCAAATAATTTCATAGATTTTTGATCTTTTTAATCTAAAATCTCAAGGATTGGATATTCGAGAAAATAAAAATGGTGATGTGAATATTCCAGATCTATCATAAATAAGGATTATGGATATTGATACTGCCTATGAATATTTAATTTTAGGATTAAGAAATAGAGTTGTAGGATGTAGTCATGCCAATTCAAAGAGTTCAAGATCTCATTGTTGTTTTTAGATGACCCTTCAATAAGTTACAGTTATTAATGGAGAACCTGTATTACAAGAGTCTTCACTTAAAATTGTTGATTTAGCTGGATCAGAGAAGTTTAAAATACCAACTGAATTGACTCCTGAAGAAAAGGAACTTCATATTTAAGAATTGACATCAATCAATGGTAGTTTATCTTGTTTAGGACATTGCATATCTGCTTTAATAGATAGAAATAGAACACATATTCCATTTAGAAATTCTAAATTGACAAGAGTTCTTAGTGATTCTTTAAGTGGCAGTGGTAAAATCTTATTCATTGTTTGTGTTTCACCCTCTATATCCTCTAGTGCTGAGACCTTTTCTACTCTATAATTTGCTAATCGAGCGAAGAGGGCTGTGTTGGATGGTAGAAATATTTAATAGCCTAAAACAAATAAACCTAAAGGAGTATCTTTGGAAGAGTATTAAGAATTATTAAAATAATATCAAAAGGAGAAATAAATGAGAGAAGAACTTGAAGTTATTGTTCAAAAGAGAAATTAAGGAGAACTATTATAATAGATTTCAAAACTAAAATAATAAAATCAAGAACTCTAAGAACAACTTTATTAAGTGTAATAATAATAATAATAATAATAATAATAATAATAACCTATAAACATCAATTATTAATAATAATAATAACAATAATAATATTCTCCTTTGTTTTCAGATAATAAAAAATCACTTACTATTAATTCTAACGACAAAAAAGTCAGATTTGCTGATGATTTCTTAACTGCTCATATTAACAATATGGACAGAGAAGATAGTTAAGTTTTTGAAAATCTAGCTATTTTTTAGGAATTGAAGTAATTAGAAAATAAAGACAAAAAAAAAATTATTGTAAATATTATCTACATAATAATAGAATTTTGAAGAAAAATTTAAAAGCTATTTTGGATAATCTGAATATTAAACTAATGATTTAGCTTAATTTAATACTGGAAAATAGTTTGGTAATTCATTATTTTAGCAATAATAGATTCAATCATAAGAAAAGTAAATGACAAATAGAATAATATATCAAATATTGTTTAAGATCTTAAAAAAGAAATGTCCAAGGCAGTGAATTAATTAGAATAGTTATAAAGTATTTATTTTCTTATTCAAATAGAGGAAGACAGAGAACTGAAGAGTGCTGACTCATGTAAAGAAAAGTAAGTTTTTTTTTGTTATTTTTAGTTTCATTTAATACTGATTAATATAAATTATATATATATATTAATATAATTAAAAATAAGTTTGTTTTATTCTTCAGTTATTTTTCATGAGTTTAACCTTATTTTCAGATGTATGAATAGTATTTAAATACAATTATTTGGATTACTTTAAATCAATAAATTTCAATTGCTGAATATAGTAATTAAATAATTAAAGAATTATGATTACTTTGATAAAATTATTGTGTATCTAGAATATAATAATGATAAAGAGCAAGTTAAAACAATTAATTTCTATATTCTAAAACCAATATGATATTCTCTGTTAAATCAAATAATAATATGTATTTATAGTTTTGAAATTGTACCATTTCATACATTATTATATTAAATTAGGATAGAATAAAATCTGAAAACAATAATTAATTATTCAATAATAAAATATTTTATAAGAATATATTAAGAATGATATGATTAAACAAATTAATATAAATTCAAAATCTTAATAAATAATTTGATCATTTTTCCTTCTTATTTTCATCAGTAAATATTTAACTATTAAATTATTGATTATTTCTTACTCTGCCTCTACTGAAGCTAAAAAGTTAAGATTACTTTCAGTGGTATTAACAGAAATAAACCATCCTAAAACTGTAAGAACAGTAATTGCTATCTATGTATAAGTCCAAAAATTGTATAATGTAGAACCATCAATCACAGCTTAAACTTAATCATTTGTATCATCTTAAGTGATTCCACTTGATAATTCAACTATATTTTTATGGCCTATCACCCATAATAAATAAGCAATATTATAAACTAAATTAAAAATGTAACTCATACATAGAGCACTAATAATTGATTAGATATAAAACTTTTTATCTTAATTGTTTTTTGTTTTGTCTTACTAATCTTTTAATTAAACACAAACAAATAAACTACCAAAAGCACTGATTAAAATTATAATATGAAAAACTTAATCTACTCTTAAGCAATATTTAGCATATAATTTAAAGAATGTTGTTAAACCTTCTTAATCTGTACTTTATCCTAGAAAAATAATGAAAACATGCATTAATGTCATTCCCTTGTTAATTTCAAATTTACCTGCCAATAATCCTTAGAAAAAGAATATAAATCTATCTATTAATTTGACAGCCTCATGAATTAATTTGTTCAAAACTAATAACACATTTTCAGTTTGAATTTATTATTTTCTGCTTTCTTCCATCATTTGAATTTTCCTTCTTAATGCTTGTTCATTTAATTCAATGAAACTACCATTTGTTAAATCTATTAAATTAATATATGAAATACTTTCAATAAATATTTTAGTAATTTCAGGTTACAAATCTAATACCTTTAATAAATTGCTCTCATAATCTTATGAAGCATCTTCATTAATTTTATCAGCCTCATCAATTTAATTCAAATGAATTTCTCCTCCAGTTATATTTCTCTTATTTTTCCTTTATAATTAATCTCTAATTATTACTTTGCTTATAAATTATGTTTCATTAATTCAATTATTATTTTAATATATAAAATATGATTTATATTATAAAAATTATATTAATTATACTCACTTTCTTTTAACTCTATAATTCTTTTTAATTCTTTAACTTTCCAAGAATGCCTCATCTAAACCATTTTCACAATTTTCACATTAACAATCCATAGTACATTTTGATTTTCTTAGAAAACATTCACAATAACCTGTTTGACATCTAGTCTTTTTACAATTGCAACCAAAAGAATCTTTAAGTTTAAATAGAGCTTCTTTAGGTACATTCTTATTTCTATGACATTTTTCATTAACATGTTTTATTGCAATATTTCGTTCTTCTAGATGATCATGATTATTCAAACATCCTTCAACACATTAACACTCCTTTAAACACATTCTTCCACTATGAAAACATCTACAATATCTTTTTAAACAACCACTATTTCTACAAAAACAAGGTTATTATTCTAATTCATTATATTTTTTCTTTATTTTTTTTTGTATTTAATTAGTTTTTATACATTATTCTTACTTTTTTATTATATTGTTATCTCTATCTTCTTTCAAATCAATTTTTTCTTATTATTATAACTATTCAATTTCTTTAGATAATTCTTCTTTTATTTTAGTATCATTCATCTAAGAAACCTGTGATTATTATTTCTAAAGTGGAGGAAGATAAGTTTAATAAGTTATTGATCTTCTTGACCCCAAACTATTGATTGGATCATACAATATAAAATTTGATGCTTGTCTACTAATAGTTAAAGGCCTGTATTCAAATTCATTTGCTATGTCTTCCAATTAAGATCTTATTATGATAATATCCTTTACGTAAATTTTTATAATTATGGAGATTTATAAGGCTCATCATTCTAGGAAATAATACTTGCTGACCTTAAAAGGGAGATTTATTTGAATTATGCCATTATATTTGTTCCCAGAAATAATTAATATTGTTATAAAGCTTATTATAATTAAGATGGATTGATTTAGAAAATAGAAAAATTATATGAAATTCTTAAATTTATCAGAAATTTAACATTTATATATATATTATTCTATGTTTAAAACATAACATTTAACTTCATTTTTGATTTTAACTTAAGTACATTTCAAGTTATGCCCTAGCTTAATTATCATTTATAGATCCTCTAATATCTTATATTAATTGTGACTTTTTATTATTAATAGCTACTTAAACAGCATGACGTTATTATCCAATTTTTAATAACATATAACAAGATTCCTATAATATATTTAATTCTATTATTACTTCTGGATCTGGCATTTTCATTATCATTTATAAACCTCTTTCTTCTTAATCTGCTTTGATTAACATATCTGCAACTAATTCATAGGGGATGGATACATTCTTTTTGTTTTTTTCATTTATAAATCTTTCCAACTCTTCCCAATTTTTGTTATTTATTAATGCCTTAACTCTTGTTATATTAAATCTAATAATTAATGATAATAATTACCTTCTTTCTGGAATTTTGTATGTTTTTGCAAATTCTTAAGCTAATTGAATATTATCTTTAGATAGAAATGCCTCCATTATTGAATTTAATGGTCTTTCATCCATTATTACTTTACTCTTTTCTTTTTTCTCTCTTTCAACTTCCTATTTTAAATCATTTAATGTTTTTATTTATTCTTATAATATTTTACTATAGAAAGAATCTTTGCTTTCTTCTTCAAAGAATTTCTATGCAAATTCCAAAAACCTGATTTTCTCTGTTAAATTATTTTATTAATATGCTTAATTGATAGCTAATAAACCACATTCATCATATTTTTTTAAATACTGTAAATATTTCTATAAGTATTTATCATCAAAATTTCTAAGATAATATATTAAATGGGCTTAAGCAACTGGATTTTATGATAGAATACCAAATTTATAAGTTTCATCCATATCTGTTTTTAAAAACTTCATTATAACAAGATAAATTAAGTTTGAATCTTTTGAGGCAATTGCATCAATTAAAGCTTTTTCATAATATGAATTATTATTGCCTTATTAATAATTAGCCATCCAAATAAGTACTGGAATACGTTTAGATAAACTTTATTCATTGTCTAAAAGTTTTAATGCTAATTAAGATTTGCCTATTTCTATTGATTTTTATGCTATCTATGTAAATGATACTCCTTTCTCTTCTTTAATCTTTTCTTTTATAATCTAACATAATTAATCATCATCCATTTAACTTTCAACTTTACAACATGCCCAATGAGTATAAATTGTAGATTTTTATTTAATTTAAAATTTAAGAAAACGTGAAATTTCAATAGCTAAATAATGTAAATTATATCTAAGCAAAAGAGTAATAAATAAATCTGGATTCTTTATTAATTATAAGACTTATTCATATGTAACTACTCTACTACCTATACCACCATTTCTACGTAAAGCATTTGATACTCTGAGATATTTACAAGTTTCATTTAATAAGTTTGGATCAATCAATTAATTTCCTAAAAATGTTTTACCATAACTAGCTGCTTTTAATAATTTCATTTAATATTCAGGATTAATTTCAAATTATCCACTTTTAATGCAATCATTAACTGCTTCTCCAAGTTCAGCTTTTTTAGATCTTAATTCATCATCTTCAATAGGATTCTTTTATTCGAATGACTCATATGCAGAATGCAATTAAGCACCTGGTTTAACAGAGAGTGGTAAGAATACATTTACATAAGCTTCAGGTAATTTACGTAATATCTCATTTTTCTTTTATGTTAATATTCTAACACCATCAATTTCTTATTTAAGTGCAAAATGCGAATTACTCATTTTTACTTTAATATAAGAGTCTTAAGAAACTAAGACTATGTATTATTATAATTGTAAAACAACACAATCATCACCACACCATAACATTCTTCTAGGTCTTTCAATTTTACTTATATCTTTTTCTGCACTTTCTTCTTTTTTAATATCTTCTTCTTTAAGATCGATTGGTATTTATTTACAATCTGTTGAATCAAAAAAATCAGAAATAAATGTTACAACCCATCTTGCATTATTGTATTAAAGTAATGCTAAGTTTTTATAATTAGATGATAAACTGATCATTTTTATGTTTCTAAGATCAGGTAATTTCTTATCAATCTCATTAACTATTTTATCTTTATTATAATATATCTTCCATTTTTCATCTTCAATTATATGAATAATTCCACCATCTGGATTAGTTATCAATAGTTCTACTTTTCCACTCTAAGTTTTTTGAGGTGGAATAACTTACCAATGTTCAGGTTCTTAAGTAAGATTAGATGGTTTCATTTTATGAACTTAAGGTTCATAAGCATTAGGTATATAGAAGAATTCATAATTAGTTGTCATTAATACAAAGCCATTGTTAACAATTAAACCTTTGTGGATTTATTATTGTTTAAATTGATCCATCAAATCATAACTCTTTTTAGTACCTTTGAAAGGATCTACTATATAATATGAACCATTTGCTTTTAGTAACAATAGTTGTTCATCTTCAAGAAAATCAAATAATGCAATCTACATAAATGAAATATTGTAATACTCTGTCAATTTCTTTATATTAAGCTTTAGATATGATCTTGCCATTGTTGGAGAAGAACACAATAGAGTCTTTTAGTAGGTCATCCGTACGCATGAGGATAACCTGATTATAATTTTTAGTAGCAGCCAAAGGACCACCCCATTTAGATACAGCTATACGTTAATAGAAAAAGTCAAGACTCTTCTACTCACCTGTGATAGGATTGAATTGATGAAATTTGTAATACTTTCTATTAAGTTCTTTCCAATGTGCACTTGGATCCATATAAAATAATTAAATAAATAAGAAAGAGTATATAAAAGATGGAAGATGATTATTATGTAAATATATTACCATAAAATATGGTTATTATATTAAATAATTAAATGCGCGCCTATTTGAGTACAATTATCTGAAATTCAAATAGAGAGATGCATATTTTATCACATTTTTTATTTTTCCTTTTTGTCCCTTATTATTTTATAAATGAGTGATTAAGAAAGTGATGATGATTAAAGTAATAGATAATTGGGTAGACTAAGAGATAAACAAAAGAGAAAGTACATGATGTTAGATGCATTAGTAGATACAACTAGATGGAAGAAGAATACTATGTCTAAGAGCAAAATGTAATTGCAAATGAAAGGAGATCAGCCAGAGCAATCAAAAAGAATTATGCAGCCACTATGAGCGATGAGGAAGAGCCCATAAATTAACCAGTAGAAGAAACAGAAGTGAAGCGCATCTTCGTACCAGAGATTGATCAAATTTTATGGAGAAAGATAGACCAAAACACAGCCTAAATCTAATTCCTAGTAAAATACAAGAATAGAAGTTACTTACATACAGAATGGCTTAATGAAGATAGAGTATATTCAATTTATTCTATAACATCAGATCCTTGATGAAAAGAATGGCAAGCAGAAAATAAATAGATTTAACAAAGTCTTTTAGAAACGTATCCAAGAAGAAATAGATGATTTTATAGATGATCAATATTTTGATCCAGCCTTTTAAGAGGTAGATCGAGTATTATCATGTACAGAAATCTTTCCTATTGTTCATCCTAAAAAAGGTTCAGAAATGAAAGGAAAGTGGGCAGAATCACTTACTAAAGTAATGTCTCACTTATTAAATTTCACCAGAGATTAAATTCATTATGGTATTTACTTCTTGGAATCAAAAACAATACTTGATTTTGGAACCATTAATAATCGACTTTATTTAGGTTATTATAAAAATTATAATGATTTCTGGTATGAATTAGGCTCTGTCTATAATACAGCAGCAGAGGAATGGCAAGATGGTACAGAAATGAATAGAATCACTAATACTCTTACAGAATGTGCTATTGTACTCTATAATTATTGGTATAATGAAGCCAAATAAAATTATTAATCTAAATTACAATAATAAAGATATATTAATGAAAAAGCATTCAAAGAAAAAATCAATGATGATCATAGAAAAGATATTATGCCTGAATTGAAAAAAGAAAAAATTAATGAATTAGTTTCCAAAGTCTTAAATATCATAGATGATAAATAGTATAATATATAAGAACATTTTAAAGAGATTGAAATTATATTAGATTAAGAACTTAATATTAAATTGTAAATTTCAAATGATTAGGAATTTGATCTTGAAGATTATTTAAAATAATCTCTTAAAGATTAAGATATTGATGTTGCTAAAGAGATGCAATTAGAAATGCAAGATTTTCAATCATAAATGGATACTGTTGATCCTGATATAGAATCATGGAACCCAGGTGAAAAATCCTTTGATTGGCTTAATGATTCACCATAAGAAATAAAAATACTAACAAAATAAGAGATCGAAAACCTATCACAGGAACCTGATAAACTTTATTTTGTCAAATGGAAACATTTATCATACTTAGAAGCAACATGGGAACCTGAATCTCTTATAGATTGTAGACAAAAGATATAAGAATTTAAATAATTTAATAGAAGTTTAGATAAAGAAACAAGAAATTTAATGATGCAATAAAATTAAAATCATAAAATTTTAGTAGAATATGAACAAGGTATTAGAAAAAAGAAATTATCCAATATGTAAATTTAAGATATCAAATCATAATTGTATTTCCTCAATTAACAAAAACCTCCACATGAATATACTTAACTTACATAAACAATTTATAAAGATAAAAGATTGTTAAGGGATTATCAACTTGATAGTTTAAATTGGTTAATAAGAGCATGGTATGAAGATAGGAATGTAATATTGGCTGATGAAATGGGACTTGGTAAAACAATACAAACAATTGCATTTTTAAATCATCTATATAATTTTGAAAATTATAGAGGTCCATTTTTAATTATTGCACCTTTGTCTACTTTATAACATTGGAAACGAACTGTTGAAGAATGGACAAATCTAAATGCTGTATTGTATTATGATTAAGAAAGTAATGCTGGTAGATCACTATGTAGATAATATGAATTTTTTTACACAGATATTAGTATGAAAGGTATTCTCTTAACAGCTTCAGAAATATTTAAATTTCAAATTCTTATAACTAGTTATGAAGTATTTATGTAAGATTTTCAGAATATATTTATCAATGTCCCATTTTAATATATTGTAGTAGATGAAGCTCATAAACTCAAGAATTCTAATGCAAGAATATTATAATCACTTAAAAGACTCTCTTGTTAACGTACATTACTTTTGACTGGAACTCCTATTTAAAATAATACTGAAGAATTATTTAGTTTACTTAATTTCATAGAGCCTAATCAATTTTGTAATCTTACATATTTCAAACGAGATTATGGATAATTAGAAACATCAGATTAAGTTGATAGATTAAATGTTTTATTGAAACCTTATATTTTAAGAAGATAAAAAGAAGATGTAGAATAAATGATACCTCCACTTTAAGAGACTATTATAGATATTGAGATGACAACAATTTAGAAACATATTTATAAAGCTTTATATGATCGAAATAAATCAATGTTAGAATAGGGATTCTCTTAATGGGCTGCAAATGCTGCATCTCTTAATAATCTTGAAATACAATTAAGAAAGTGTTGCAATCATCCATTTTTAATTTAAGAGATGTAAAATGAGATATCAAAAGGATGTTAAACTAGAATTGATTATATTAATAAATTAGTTGAAAGTTCTGGTAAAATGATTCTATTAGATAAATTACTTAATAAATTTAGAGGTGAAGGTAAGAAGATGCTTATTTTCTCATAATTTACAATGATGTTATAATTATTAGAAGAATATTTAAAATTTAAATAAGTCAAATATGAAAAAATAGATGGATAAATAAAAGCTAGAGAAAGATCAAATGCAATAGACAGATTTAATGATCCATCTAAGAAAAGAGAAGTATTTTTATTATCCACAAAGGCAGGAGGATAAGGTATAAATTTAACTGCTGCAGAAATAGTAGTTATTTATGATTCTGATTGGAATCCATAAAATGATGTTCAAGCAACTGCAAGAGCTCATAGGATTGGTTAATCAAAAGAAGTTACAGTATATAGATTGATTACAAAAGATACATATGAATCAGAAATGTTTGAAAGAGCAATAAAGAAATTAGGATTAGATTAAGCAATATTTATGAATGGATAATTTAAATCATGTGAGAATTCATATAAAAGTAATAAGAATGAAAAAAAGATGAGTAAATAAGATATGGAAGTTTTATTGAAAAATGGAATAATAGGATTAATAAGTAATAATTAAAATGGTGATACATTTTAAGAAAAAAATATAGATGAAATATTAGAAAAGAATTCTAGAACAGCAAAATATTCACTTATAAATAGTACTTATACAGTATCTAAATAATCATTTGTTTCAGAGAAGACAGATAAATCTATAAATATTTAAGATCCTAATTTTTGGAAAATAATCTTAAAAAGTTCAGAAAGTAGATGTTAAAAATTAAGTAAAATGTTTGATTTACATATGTCTTTATAAGAATAAAAGAAATATTTAGAAGAAGTTGGTGATTGTGTTAATTAATTAATAGAATCAAAATTAAGTTAATCTAATTATAGTACTGATGATGAATAAATATTAACTGATTTGTTAAATAAAATAAATTCATCTAATTATGCTAAAAATTATAGAGAACTTGCTATGAATTGGATTTATGAATTAAGTAAACCTTCAAGAAGAATTAAAAAAATAACTGATTTAGATTTAGGTAGAAAATAATAAAGAACTGTTGAAATATAAGGAGAAGATGCTAGAAGATTAGCATCAAAGAGTAAAGAAGAATTAATTAAAAAGTTATGTTATGTTTGTGAAAGATCTAATTGTTCTGTTTTTTGTATGGGTCATTGTAGAAGAGCATTTCATGAAGCATGTAAATAATTATTAGAGACAACAGATTATATTAATATTGAAGGACCTGATTAAGATTTTCTTAATAATAATGTATTCCCTGAATTAAATTGGAGTGATGAATAATTAAAAGAAAAGATTAATATTAGATATTCTTGTCCAGATTGTAGAAATAATTTAGTTGTTTGTTTACTTTGTAAATAGAAAGGTACTTATCCTCCAGAAAAGAAATCAAAAGAAGATATTATTGTATAAATGGATGAATTTGATCCCTCTGATGATAATATAAAGAAAAATAAAAATAAATCATTAATATCTAAATGTTCAACTGCTAATTGTAATAGATATTTTCATTTAACTTGTATATAAGCAAATCCTTTATCAAAATCACTTGATACTAATGCTGATTTATTTAGATGTCCATCTCATATTTGTGTATTCTGTAAAATCAATTCTTCAAATATGACTACTGCATTAATTCATTGTGTTAGATGTTGTAGATCATTTCATAGTAAATGTGCTCCTCCTGAAATCAAAATCAAAACTTAAAAAATTGGTAAAAAAGTTATGATTTGTGATCTATGTGTTAAACCTAAAGAAGAAAAGAATTAACCAAGCATGATTGTTAAAATACCTATATTAGGATATTAAAAGAAATTAAAAAATTCAAAAACAGAATTTAATACCATTGGAACTACAGCCAGAACACGTAAAATCTAAGAAAAAAAGTATGAAACTTAAGATTCAGACAAAAGAAAAATTGATTCTAGTAGAAGTATGAGTTAAGAAAAAATATCAAAGAAAGTTTAAAGAGAAAAACGTAATAAAGATATTCATCCATATTCTTATGAAGAATTAGGTATTATACCAGTTAAATATTTTGATTATTCAAAATATACTAATGTAAATTTATATTTAATTTATAGGATTGGTGCAGATATTGTGGTGCAAGATTTGCATCCAATTTTACAAAAGGACCTTGGGGTTCCAGAACTCTTTGTACAATCCATTATATCAATTGGGGTTAAAAGAAACAATTAGATTTATCTGAATATATAGAATTACCAAAGAATCCAATTAATAGAGATGATTAAACTGAACTTTAATTTCTTTAAAGGTTATATTGATATTTAATTATTTAGATAAAAGGCTAAAGATCCTAATTTTGATCCTAGAAAAGAACTTAACATTTAAAATGATGAATAATATTAGATATTCAGCAATTACTGAATTTAATGATAGAGCTGTTATATTTAGTTCTCTTATTAAATATAATTAATATATTCTCATGTACATTCATTCATTTTTTCAAACATAAACTCAATTTTTTATTCAATTTTGTTTAAAAATTATGATATTCCAAATCTAAGCTTCTTAACATCCTATTAGTAATTCTAAATTTCTATAAAATATTTGTTTTTATTGATTCATTCTCTTTAACAGTTTTATCATAATGTTAAATGAACTTTATTAACTCTTTTTCATTATCAATTGTGAAAAATTCACTTCTTATAAGTTGTCCAAGATAATGAAGAATGTCATCAAATTCTAAATCTAATATTTATGACTATAATAACCAAAGAAGATAGAAGGTAACCTTAAAAAACCCTTGATTCAATATTAAAAAATAAATACCTTTCCATTCTTCTGCTAAAAAGATATCCCATATAATATTTAAAAGTGCTGATCTTTGACTATATTAAAAAACATTAGAATATAATGTTATGAACCAAGAAGCAACATAATATGATGGATCTATTTTTTAATCTTTTAAATGTTATGATAATTCAGGTAAAAAGATTTAAAGTAATCTATCAAATTAATAAAATCCAATTTTCTAAATATCAAATATAAAAATAATACAAGTTTTGAAAAATCATTTATATATAGATCTTTAAAATATAGATTCATCATCTTATCAAAAGCTTTATATGCAATTACTTAATCTTAAAAATTTAAATATAGATATCCTGCTATATAATTCATGCCTTAACAATATCCAACATCTTAATTATAGAATGCATATATTCTTAATAAACTTTATAGTACAGAAGAATTGATTTTTTCTTTATGAAGATGTAAACTTCTTTAAACATCTAACTTTATAGTTTCTTCGTGTATTTAATTAATATCCATTTCTAATCCAACTTTAGTTTTCATTTCTACATAATCAATTTTCATTGATCTTAATTTTAAAACTTAACTAATTAATTTTAATCTTAATTAATGAGTTGCTTCACTTGAAAAGATCTATCCATTAGCCAAATAAAACTTTTTTATCTTATGTCTTAAATGTAAACTAAATTGACTATTTATCAATAAAAGTTACCATGGTTTATCTTCAAGTGTTAAAAATCTAATAACATATATAAATAAATTACTTCATACTTGCACCAAAAACTTGAATAACTTTATTTTCATATTCATCCATTTTCTTACGATCATACTTTTCAGATTTATGAATCAATACATTTTTTCCTAATCTAAACATTTTTTTCCATTGACTATTATGTAAATCTTCTTATTTTTCCAATAATTTCTTTACATGTTCTTTATCAAAATTTGGTTATTAAAATGCTATTTATATTATAATTTCAGTTGATAAATCTGATTATAATTTTAATGATGTCAAAAATAGATTGATTTCTTCCATTATCATATAAGATATTTCACTCTCATTAAGTTCAAGTTGAGATTATTAATTAGTCTATAAATTCTTAAAAATAGACCCTATAATTTTGAATCCTTTCTATACTATATTATTTTAATTTTATTAGTTTAACAATTCAATTTATTTTCGTTTTTCATCAATTTTCCTTGCATTTATATACTAAAATAATTCAATCCATTTTTCTATCTTCCTCCATAGTGTTATATCTGATAATTGTGATGCAAGATTAATTCGATCTCTTCCATCTATACGTACTATCCTTATAGATTTAAGCAATAAATCATAGATATCTTCAGATTCATAGAGTTCATTCAATTCAATGTAATTTAACCAAAATCTTATTAATTAAACTAACTCATTAAATTGCTCATTAGACAATGTCAAATAAAATGCTAAGATATATATTATTATATATACAGGTTTATTTTTCTTCAATTGATTTTGAATGAAATTAATTTAATTAATTAATAAAATAATTTCTGCCTGCTTATTTTTAAAGTATTTATTTAATTTTAATAAGTAATTCACTTTTATCAGATGTATCAAATATAAACAATGTTGTAAGATATTTATCAACAATCTTTTTTTCATCCTCTAAAATTCTATCTCCTACTATTTGCCATTAATGATGGATTTATTAGATTGGATTACTATTTTCTTAATTTATATTAATCTTTTTCCATTATTCATAACTTATGAATTCTTCAAATTAGAATTTAAATGCTATTAATATTATTTAATGTTTACTATCTTTAATTTCCATTTTTTTTTCTATTAATTTACGAATAGGTATTTTTGGATCTTCTTTCAATTTAACTTCTAAATCTGTAATCTTCTCTTCTAATTAATTTGTATCTTAATCAAATTATAATAATTTTAATAATGAACTAACAGTCTATTTTGTAAATATTATTCTATATTATATAAATTTATTTTTAAATACCTACTCTATTCATTCAATCCAATATTTGTAAATATATTATCCCATTCTTCTTGAAATTATTTCCATTTTTCATTTGTTATTGTTAATAAATTTTTATAATCTTTTTCTGATTCATCTGCTAATTCTTATAATTTCAAAGAATTTGTAAATTATTTCTGAAAATCTTCTCTTGTAGCACTCCCTTTTTCTATTAAATCTACCATCTCTTATGTTTATTAACTTTTTTATTCAAATTATTTCATTATTTTCCAATATTCATCTTAAGTTTTACACATCTCTTTTCTGGTTTCCCAAATTTCATTCACTTACTTTTTTGATTCAGTATTCAAATTTCTATTTGTTTATCTAAAATTTAACACAAATTAAGTATATGGTTCAGTTATTTCACTCTTTATCTTTTAAGATGTATTTTCCCAATTTTATGACAATCTTAATAAGTAATTGCTCACTTATTAATATAAATAAACTAAAATATCAGGCTCATCTCCACTACTTATTTAAGTATGAAGTTTCTCTCCTACAATCTTTATTTCCTAACTAAAAGCATGCAAACATCTTACTAAATCTGTAAACTTTTATTATTAATTAGATTTACAATCTTTTCAACTCCTGTCACATTTTATGTTAAATTAACCATGTATTCATATAACTTCTATTACTACTTATTATAATAGTCTATAGTATGATTCATTATCAAAATAATTTAATAAATTAAATTCATTCCTTTAAATGAGATAATAACATAGAAAAGCAACCTTAAACATTCCTACAGTTTTAGATTTACAAAATCCAGAATGGGATGTTATATTAAAATCATGGGCTTACATAAATGTTAAGTATTAATATCTAAATATTTTATTTGAAAATAGAAACTATGAATTAACTATTAATAAAGGTTCAGTTGTAAACAAAAAAATTCTATATTTGAATCTAAAAGAAGAACCTATCAATTATAAAGTATGTTCCAGTATGCCAAATATTATTGAAGTTAAAACTGAAACAATAAATCTTTAAAAAGACTGTAAGTTCGATTATATTTTCTAGAAAAAGACTATATTAAATTAATGATAAAGGCTCCATTGACTCCTTGTAAATTACATGTCAAAATAGCATTAATGGATATAAAAGGTGATACTGTATACGAAGGAATGGAATTTAATCTCATTATTGCAAATATAACTTCAAAATGAAATATTATTCTATGTTACATTTTTTTCAATCTCATTTAATTAATAATATATTTGATTTATCATTTCTTATAATTAATATAATTTAATTAAAATATCATATAATATTCACTCAAACTTTGGCTTCAATGAAAAGAGACATTTTTATTCAAAAGAATAAAGAACTACAATGATCTTAATTAAGACTTGTAATCTTTGATACATTTTGTTAAATAAAAAAACAAATTTGGGACAAAATCATAGTGAAGAATTTTTTATGGTTATTGAATAGCTAAAAATGATTTGATTTAAATAATGATAAATCAATTTTAATTATCCTTAGTCTTAAGTGAAAGAATACCATTTTCATTAAGTTGTTTACTTCTTCTTTTAACAATTGGATTTTCTGATATAATATACTTAAGTTTAATTTGATCATCATCTTATTAATCTTCCAAAGCTAAACTAAAGGGTATAATCTCAGCAGTGCTTTATTTAAATTTAGCTTTGAATTCTTTTAACCTTTGGAGATATAAAGCCTTTTGTAATTCTTTATCTGATTATTTTGCTGAGCAAGCCCCCATAAGAAAGATTTTGAAAAATTTATTAATGAAAATATCGAATCAAATTTACATAAGTACTTAAATGGAAGATATTCAATTAATTAAACTACATTATTAGTTAACTAAATATATTGATGATGAAGAAGATGCTATAAATTAAATTAGCTTATAATATATATTTGGATTTGTTTTAAAAAGTCAGAAATGATATTTAATAAATCTATAAATTATTAATTAATGTATTTATTAATTTTAAGTATATTGTAATTTGTCATAGTTGTTTCAGCATAAGAAACAAATAATGCTGAATAATAGATTGTTGATTATTGTGATGCAGTCGCTAAAGACACATCTTTTAAGGTTAATTTAACAATTTCAGATATTGACAATAAAAATTATTGTGTTGAAGGTGAATCTCGTGTAGCTTTATTTGATACAATCGAATAAGAAAATTAATATGTATATTTATCTGAACATTATTGTGCCAACTTATAACATTATCCAATTACTTGTGAACAATATTATCATGCTTCAGAATATGATTAAAAAGTAAAGATTTAAAATTGAATCAATTAGGCCAAAGCCAATTATAAAAAACTATATGAAGATTATAAAGCAACTGGAATACCTAACTCTGATTGTTTAGGTATTGCAAGATTTGTTTTCTGTGCTGAATAATTTAAATATTGTAATACAGATGATGGAAATACAGATTATGAAATTTGTAGTTTCTTATGTGTTATTTGGTAAAATAGATGTCCTGATTATGGTGATATATATGATCGTGTTTGTGCTAATGGAGGAGGAGAAGATGGAAGATGCAGTTATACAATTAACAATACTTTTCTATTGTGTCTTATATTATTTTTATTATATTGAAATATAATATGTATCTGTATTTCAAAATCATATTTCAATATTTTTCATTTCAAATAAACATAAAATTTAAAGATTTCATATATATTAATCAATAACAAAGACTAATTTATTTGTTCTAGAAATTTAATATTAAATTACTAATATTTTATTATAGAAAAAGGTTTCATCAAACTAAATGTACTACTCAATTAGAATATTAAAAAATAAGGATATATATTATCTTGTTTTCTATTTATTTAATGCAATAATTAATCATCATAAATTGTATTTCTTTTAGCATTCCTTGAAAATATCCATATATGGCTAGCATCTTGTAATGTCTTAGTTTGTTTATAAACACTAAAAAATATATATATATATTTACATTAGAAAACATTTGGCTTTCACTTTGACAAGTTTATTATTGCTATTATGGAGCTTATTATTAAGCTTGTTATTCAACAGGTTGAGAATGACCTATTTTTAAATTACTAAGAAATCATACCTGATCCTCCCATAACTGATCTAATAGCTTGATGAGCTACTTCAGATCCTGCACCAAAGGCCATTCCTTACATCAAAGTTGATCCAAGGCCAGAAAACATACCTCCTGATCTAGCTGGTGCTTATGGTGGAGCTTAAGCTTGAGGAGCTGGTCTGGCAGCTGTAGCTGTGCTTCTTGATGGACTTGCTGTTGATCTTGAGGCTGATCCACTTCTTCTTGGCATTTTTAAATTTATATATTTATTAATGAAATATTTATAAAGATTCAATGATCCTTATTATACATAGTCATTTAATAACCTTTAATAAATTTTTTACATTCTTTATTGATTCTAAATGAACAAAAAAACTTATAATAAACCAACCATAAATTTTCAAGTCTCTCACAATATTTATTATTTATTTGATTGATATCAATAAGATAATTGATATAATCATAATCGAAATCTGATTTACTCAAAAATTAATTATTTTCATATTCATAATTATAATAAGGTAATTATTTATAAATACAAATATTAAACTTAAATAAAAAAAAAGTGCCACCTCCAGGAATTGAACCTGGGCTTTAGCGGCCACAACGCTAAGTACTAACCACTATACGAAGATGGCATCTCGAGAGTATATCCAATATCATTCTATTTATATCACTCATGTCTTTGAAATATTATTCTTATTATAAATGTATATAATTCCTATACAATGTTACTGTAATAATTATGAATAGAAGAGTCTTGGATTTTTATATTTTCAAAGTTCAAATTAAATAATAATTAATTTTCAATATTCAAAATCTCATTCATAATAAACACCAAAAACAATTGCCACTCCATAAATAGATTCCTTATTAATTAATTCAAAATACATTCTAAAAGGCATAAGATGCATAATTATCCCAAGTAGGATCCCAAAGATTCTTTGATGTGACTTTACACCCTTATCCCTTAACTTCACCTATAACTACTTATACTGCAATTTTGAATCTAGGCATTTTTATGGCTATATTTATATTCAATTTTTATACAATCTCTAACTTTATTTCTAATCTTCTTTACAAGTTCCTCTGCAAGAATAGGTGTATTATTCGCATCATAAGTTTCGTTTTTTAATTTGTCATCCATAATTTCTTAAATAACTTTTCTAATCTTAGAAGGATAAAATCTAAAAGAAAAACATTATATTATTACTTTTCCTCGTCTTTTGGTTCAACTACAAAAGTATTAGCTCCTCCTTAGTCCATTAATTATAAAATAATAATATATTAAATAAAGTTATATAAATTATTTAAAGACTAATGATTATCATGTGATTAACTAATAAATTTGAAAATAAAACTAATTATCATAATTCATTTCCTTTAAATTTTATGTAAGTTCTTTATTTCATAAAAATCCTTTACTCATTTTTACCTAATATTTATTTATCCTATATACTAAATTTTTTAATTGATTAAAAACAATATCATTTGTCAATTGAAATCAAAAATTGAATAATTGAAATATACTTATACTGTTGGATATGTGATTATAATTTAATTAAAAATGGTTATGGTTATCATTCATAAGTAATATTTTAAAAGAATAAGAATACAGGAATATATAATAAAATTAAATATCTCTTCAGATTAATTTTATACAATGCTTTTACCTCTTTGAATTTATATTTTCTACTAAGTATTCACTCATTCACTCCAATATTTAGTTATTATTAGATACTCATCCAATTTCATTGACATACATTTTATTATATGATTTTTAGATTGTTTTTATTCAAAATGGAATTTTTGAGAAATCTACTTAGACTATAAAATAGTGTAAAATTTATATTAATTAATTATGTCAACAGAATAATAATTATATGAAAGGGCTAAGCGAATGAATTAGCAATTGACAAGCCCAGAGAATTAGATTACTGACAAGGATGTAGAAAAATTCATTAAAGAAATTCTGTCTGCTCATCAAAAAGACATAGAGGAAATTTATTCACTTGTAATATAAAATAAAAAAATTAGGTTTTGGGTGATTTGAAACAATAATTTCATACAGAGAAAAAGCAATTAGAAAATTATAGAGACAGAGCAGAGAAAATTAATACACAAATTTAATAACTTTGAAATTATACCAATTTAAAAAATATATTATAATATAATGAATCAATTTAAGTAGATTTAGTTGAATATTATATTCTTAACAATAACAACTTGCATCTTTATAACATTTTTAACATATTTATGATAAATTATCTATTATAAAATGTTAATTTAATAATAAAATATAAAAGGCAGTTTATTGTGTCATTTTTAATTTTACTTTAATTCCTTCAAATCTTAATTATAATGTATAAAATGTTGTCGAAAACTAATTTTCTTCATTCAACATAAAGTATAATAACAAAATTGAAATTCACACATTTAAAAATACACATTGAAACTTTTGTATCTAATTGTTATTCTCTTAATAATTGGGATCTTCCTGAATTGGATTAATAAAATTTTAAAAATGATTTCTGAAGGTTTCCAGTTGTCTAGTCAAAGTTTACCTTTAAACTAAAAGGAAAACTCTTACTTCATGGAGTACAATCTTCAAGAAATCTCTTTTTAAGATGTAGGGATCTTTAAATCAAAGCAATTTAGGTAAAGAAAAAAGACGATTGAATACGGATAAAAAGATAGAAGCAGTGCAATATACAAATACTTAAAGGAAAAGCGAAAAGCATTTCTCAATTATAGACCAAGAGCTTAAATTTCATCATTTTCTGCAGAAGAAGACAGAATTTTAATCTTACTTGTAAAGAAGTTGGGACCTAAATTCAATAAAATTACAAGGTACTTTTCAGGAAAAACAGTCAACATGATTAAAAACAGATATTATAAGGCACTTCGTCATATTGAATCTTAAGAAATACCAAAAGAAATAGAAGAAGAGTTACTATCAAACAAAAATGAATCAAGAATTATTGGAAGAAAATTATTAAACTTTTGGCCTTAACATAAATAAATGAGCTCTGTAATTGAAGGTAGCCCTCTATTTCCTGAAGCCAAAGAAATATTGCATACATTTTTATCTTCATTTTAACAGTTAGTTAGCAATTGCAAATAATGAAAATGAAATATTTTTTATAACATTATTAACAGTATAAAAATAAATTCAAATTTCTATGTATAAACTATATTAAAGATCTTCATAATTATTAAATGACATTTAGCTTAAAAAATGGTCTAATTGTAATTTAAAAGTTAAATTAATTATAAAACCTTTATTCTATAATAGTTATATATTAATATATTGAATAATTATCATAAATATAAAATAATCATTGAAATAAAACTAAGTCTAATTAAGAACTCGCTTGTTCAGAGTGATTTTTCAATTATAATAATGATAATAAATTAATTTAATGATCATTAAATAACTTTATATATTATTTATAAAAATATAAATTAAACGCTACTTTTTATTTAAAAATAATTAATATACAAATATAAATTTAAGAAAGTGTTTTTATAATATTCTAATCAATAATAATAATTAATTCTTATCAGATAATTCTTAAATTATTATCTTCCATTTAAATATTCTCAATATTTTCAGATTATAAAAAGTCACCATTTTATTTTTTTTATCAGTTTTTCTTATGTTTCAGTATTTTCATACTATAAACTGATTTTTATTATTACAAAATAATTTAATAATTCTTTTATGATTTTGAATGCTTTTATCACTCTATTCAATGTTTCTTAACAAATTCTTTATAAATTTTATATATATTGATTTATTACTATGATTCAAAATCATCAAATAATAGTTTAATTTTGATGAGATTTAAACACTAAACTCTATAATCAAAGATCATTTTGTTTATTTAATAGAAACAAGACAAGAGCTCTAGAAAGTTGTTTTATAGAAAAAAAATCTTCCCACTATTAAAAATATATTAAATGTATGGCTTTAATAATTTTTAATATAAAATTGGAATTCCTTAAAAGAGACTTCAAACCTGATGAATAGAAATAGTTAAATTTAACTGTTTCACAATATTTAAAACATGAAGTATTAATTAGTACTATATAAATTAAGATATTTCCTCTTTGTTTTAATAATTAAATTAAATGATTTGCTTTTAACAACATCAAGATGATTCTTCTATCATCGATGATTGCTAAATCTAAACAGAGTCCCTATAATTAAACAACTAAGTTGCTTAAAGTTCAGAAACTATTCCAAGCTTACCTAGATTTAAGCCTAAGAAATCTAGATAAAGAAGAAAGCCAATCCTTTATGGTGATAAGGATAGAAGCAGCGCTTTATATAAATACATAAAAGAAAAGCAAAGAAGCTATTTAGATTCTAAAGTTAAAACCTCTAACTCAATTTTTTCACCAGAAGAGGATAGAATCCTTTTACTATTGGTGAAGAAATTAGGTCCTAAATTTTAAAAAATTACTAAATACTTTCCAGGGAAAACTATGAACATGCTCAAAAATCGGTACTATAAGAGCTTGAAAGATTCGGAGGCTTCAATAGTACCCAAAGAAATTGAAGAGGAACTTGCCATTAAAGACAAAGAAAAAAGAGTGATGGGAAGAAAAATAATTAAAATCTGGCCTGAGGAATAAAGAATGACTGCTCTTATTGAAAATAGTGTTCTGTTTCCTGAAGCTAAATAGAAGATTTAAAATTTGTTTTTAACTTTCACCTCTATTATAGGGAACTGTATGAAATATGTTTGAGTTCTTTCTTAATATATTTAACATTATATACAGTTTTAAATAAATTTAATTGAAACGTAAAAACTAACACAACAATAATATAATTATCAATAATTTTATTATATTTATTTTTGAGTAAAAAAACAATTATTTAAAAATCAAAACATTAACTTGGTCTTATAAATGTATTTATTACTAAATATATATATTTTATGTAATCTATATTTAATAATAAATTCTTCAACATCACCCTAATATAGCAATATTATCAAGCAGCAATGTTTTTGATAAAGAAATTCCTTCAAAATTTTGTATTCAAAAATTATAAAAGAATCTAAATATAATCAAGACAATAAAAATTCATAATGATTCTTGTTAATCAGAAAAAGATGTTAAATAATTTCAAGCTAGAACCTCAAAATATATTTTTTAAAATTGAATCAGTGTTTAAGTCATATAGTAAAAAATATTAAAAAAAATGTCTATGTTATCAAGTTTATATAAAAACTTGAATGTCAAAGTAACTTCTAGTCTTAACTAATCTTAAATTATAAATTTTTAGTTAATTTAGTTGAATTGATGATTTTTAAGGATAATCAAAGGTCATAAGAAAATAAATATTATTTGAATAATTACTAAATAATTATAAATATATCAACTTAATGATTGAGAAATAGAGAGAATTATTCAATAATTTTAATCAAAATCATTCTTATAAAATATTAATGAACATCTTCTTTATTATTTAAAATAAAATAAATTCTTGAATATATATAATATTTTCATGTAGGTATCAATGATTTCTAAACTGAAGACCAAACTCTATTCGAGGAATTGTAATTAGTAAAATTCATAAAATTTATTGAGACATCTCAAAATTCAAATTTCTTTAATTAAAATTTTAGTGTCCATATTATAAGAATATAATAATAATATTACTACATTGAATACAATCATAGAAATATATTTATATATAGAATTATTGGAAGTTTTTATATTGTATATTTATATTAATGTCATTTAATTCTGTAATATTAATAATATTAATTATATTTAATAAAGTAATCAAATTTCAATAATATTAGGTATGTGATAGTGTCTTAATGCATTCTATTTAATAGAGTATTCAAAATGGAATTTCATATGATATTATTATACTTTATATATTAAATTTGAATTATTTGTATTGATTTGAACATGTGCATAAATTATAATTAGGATAAATGAGAATAAAATTAGTATTTTGATTATATTAATATTTAACATTACATATTTAAGTTATAAAATAAATAATGATAAGTAGTTGATGATTATGTTATAAAGTTAAATATAAATTAGATTATTTTTAATATCGTTTTTCGATTGATGATAATTTTGATACTTGTATCAGTTATATATGGGCAATTGGAATAGTTGCGAGAAACAGAATTGGGATCAACATTATTAGAAACAGTTTAACTACATATTTAAGCAGATGAACCAACTGGAGATTTATTGTAATTATTGAATGGAATTAATGGTAATAATAATTGATATATATACTCAGAGAAATTAGTAAAATAAAGAAGCAATATGAATAAACTCTAAAAATAGAAATTAGATGAGTGCATGTAAAATGTTGAATCGTTTGAGGAATTAATTGCAAAACTAAAAGAGAATAAAGTAGATTTGAAAATAATCAATAGTATGATGTAAGGGAAGAAATATATGCGCATAAGCCTCACATTGAATAGTATTAGCATATGATGATAACCAAAATTAAAGAGAAGGAACTATTACTAAAGAATATAGAGATTTGTTAAAATAGAGAAAATTAACAAAAAGAATAATATCATAAATTAACAATATAATTATAAGAAAGGAGATATGATTATGTGAATCAAAAGTAATATTTATCATATTCTTAAGTTTAGAAATCCATTGTCTCTCAAAATTGATTAATAAAGCTTAAAACCATTGTTAAATGATTTGATTGATTTCACTACAGATATGATGTCATTAGAAGACAAGTATTTTGATGAAAAAGAACAATAAACAACAAATTTAATTTCATTATATTAATCATAATTAGATAATGTCATAAACTTTTTGAATGAAATAAAAGAGAACATAGATGAAACTGAACATCTTGTTAAATAATTAGAATTGGAATATAATGAAATCAATCATAGAATTAATGTACTCATCAATTTATATTAGTTAAAACAAGAATAAGTTAATGATATCAAGCAAGAGTGCAAAAACATATTTTAATAAACTAAACATCAATCATAACACATCTCAAATGAAATTGAAGTCGTTAATACAATAATCTAACTAATTGAACACAATTTTGGATGGTTACGTTCATAATTAGGATTATGAAGACATTAAAATTATTACCAAAATATCATATTATTTATTATTATATTTCATTTTTTAATTTCAATATGGAATTGATTCAATATAGTAAATAGGATAGTAAAATTATAACAATTAAAATAATTATTCTTTATTCTTACATTTAATAATACAAAAGCTTAATTACCAATACAATATCCTTGAAAAAGTTAAAATTTTGTATTTAAGATATTTTTAACATAAATATTAACATAAATCAATTTCAAAAGTAATATCAAAATTAAATATTAAATACTTAAAATTATTTAAAGATTGAATTAATTTTAATCAATTTTATTTAAAAATTATATTATATCATTCAAATAAGCTCTTCAATCAACTAAAAATACTTCAAATATAACCACATTTGAAATGCTTCATAGGTTACTTTCTTTTATATACTCCACTTAAACTAATTTAATTGGTCTATAAGGTTTTTTTCCTTTTTGTAGAAATTAATATCATTTTTTAAATATTAAAGTTTTTAAAACTCTTTAGATAATATCATTTTTATATCATCTTAAATAATATTAATATCCCATAAAAACTTGCATGATTCACTAATTTGAGCAATATTTTAACTAATTAGTTCTAGTATTAATTTTTCATCATATTCATTTAGTTACTTAAAATCAAATATTTTAATATCTTATTGTAATTTTTATTCTTCATAATGATATGCTTTTCTAAATTCATGTGTAATTAATGGTATAGTTTAATACAAATATTATTCATACAAAAACCAATTTTTATCACTATTATAATACATATTCTACAAATTGCTTAAATTTTTTTAGACATCTTTTTAACGATTTTTTCTTTTAAAATTTGAATCACTAAATTATGTATCTATTTTCTGTAGAATCTAATTGTTATTATCTCTATTAGAATATTTAATAAAAATGGTTTAAACTGATTAAATGAATGAATCTAAGGAAATTTTTATTTAATTCTTTAATTTTTTAATATCATTTAACATTTTCTATTCTTTAATTTGATTATTGTCTATGCAGTCTAAAATTTATAATATTATAGATTGAATGACATCTTCATCAACTATTTAATTATTTTAATTATCTTATTTTTCATAGAATGGACAATCATAACCTGTAAAATGTATAGTATAATATAATAATTATGGCAATATTGACATGCTTGGGCATTTTTCATCCAATTTTAATAAGATCCTATTTAAGTCTAAATAATTATGTTTTATAGAATTTTATTACAAATTCTAATATTTTTTTACAATTACTAAACATAGTTAGATCAACTATGCTATTGTGATTTTTAAATAATAAGTTTTCTATATAATACTTTAATTTAATTACAAATAGAAAAAGCACATTATCTAATCGAATTACTCTTTCATTATTAATCTCGTATCTGATTAAATTAATTTCTGGGATAATTTCATAATCCAGATATCCATCTTTTTATAGTATATCTTTCATTTAATCTTGAGACTTTTTATAAGTGTAAGTTAAATAACTATTAAATTTAAAGCCTTCCATTTAGTTTTTGTATTAATTACTAAATTTATAGAAAATTATAATACTTTGTATTTCTACTTAAAAAATAATTAATATTATTATTATCGAACATATCATATATATGTATATCGAATTATTATTTAATTAATTTTAATTCATTTTATGGATCAATACCATTTTCTATTCAAATATATTATTGTAGGTGATACTAGTGTTGGAAAGTCATGCATATTGTTGAATTATACAGAGAAAAGATTTAATGAAGACCATGAAACTACAATAGGTGTAGAGTTTGGAAGTTAATTATTAAAGATGAATGACAGGACAATTAAGATTTAAATTTGGGACACTGTATTTTTGTTTATATGATTTAAAGGCTGGATAAGAGAGCTTTAGATCAATCACAAGATCTTATTATAAAGGGTATGAATGAAGTAAATTAGATCTATTGGAGTAGTCTTAGTGTTTGATTTAACAAAGAAAGACACCTTTTATAATGTTATGAAATGGCATAATGAAATATTAGATTGTACACATGAATTTGTAGAGATTAGTTTAGTTGGGAATAAATTAGATTTAGAATCAGAGTATATAATATAATGTTCTATATAGACGTCAAGTTTCTGTAAAAGAAGCCCTTGAATATGCTCAATCTAATAAAATGAATTATTTTGAGACATCTGCTAAAACTGGATAGAATGTTGATAAAGTATTTGAAGAGATAGCTTAAAGAATATTAGTAAAAATTGATAATAAAACAATTGATTATACATAGGAAGTAAGAATAAAATTTGATAAAAGGTTTATGGAATTAAATTAGGACCATTCTTTCAGAATCCAAAATAAATAACAAATACACCTTCAACTTTAAAATCAGAACCATAGAAGAAGGATAAAACATGTTGTTGATAAATATAAAATTAATATATAATTAACAATACTAATCTTAAAATAAAAAATAATATCATATGGATATAATATATGTCAAATACACATAAAAATAGAATCATAAAGATCTAATTTTAATATAACCTGAAATTATGTAAGAAAAAATTTAATTTAAAAATAATCATTAATTAAAAATAATAAATCTGGAATATTTTAATATTTATAATCAATAATAATAATGTTCAGATTTATTAATATAATTAATAGATATTTTAATACAATAATTTTATATATATGTATATGTATTTATATATATATATACTCACAATTGGTTATTTTACTTTTCTTAAATTTAAGAGAATTTAGCATCAATTAATTTATCCTCAATAATCTATTTAATTAAAATAAAGTCAATCTAATTAAAAGATGGAAGCAAATTTTAAAGTGGGATTAATTCATCTTAACATTTAAATCCATCTTAATTTAAAATAGAAATATATTTTTTATCATCCTTCTTAAAATTCTATATTAATTTAATAGCTTTATTTTCTAATTTGATTTAAGCAATTTATTTTTTTATTTTAAGTGCACTAGTTCTAACAATTATCCATCTTAAATATTCCCATGGTTCTTCATTATATTGAAACATCTTTTCTAATATTAATTCATCTTCATAAGTAATAGGTAATTTTATCAATTATGATTCAACTTCATACCAAATATCTATTTAAGATAAAGAAGAATCTTAAGCAATTATGAATGGAAACATTTTGAAATAATTTTAACATTTTGTTATTTTAAAAATTTCATCTATTGATGGATCTTCATTATGATATTGATCTATTTCAATATTTAATTTAAAATATGTAGGGTATGCTCTGTTTTTTAATTTCAATATTTTACCAAGATTCTATTTTTAAGTTTCTAATAAATTAAAGTTATCTAATTTTTATTCTAAATTATCATTAATATTCCAATAAATTTCAACATTTTATAAAGAATCTGTTTATCCAGATAATTATATATAATAATTTTCATTACTCTTAATAATGATTTCACTAAAAGCACATTTTTTGATATTTTTGTAAGTAATAAATGATTATAATTAGTTTTCGAACTACTTTAATATATAAAAATACATCTGATTATGAATCATAATATTATAATATTGGTACAGTTTTTCGTTATGTTCTTAAAGTATGGAAAGCAACCTAAGCTTAAGCAAATTTTATAAAGTTATTAAAATAATAGCACAAATAAATCAAAAGGCTCTCTTTTTTTTATAATTCTGGTAATTATTCAGCAAATTTTTAACAATAAGATTATATTACTTAAGGTTAAAGTTTTGATGTAATTTATTATTATTTTGGATTGAATGTTGCAAAATAAAATACATCTAAATAATCTAATTTAACACTATAAATGTTATTAGAGATAATGACTGATTAATTTGTAACATTTATTTCATGTTCTTTTGGTTATTCATATTTCAATAATGCTTGGTATATTCGTTTGGATTAGTTTTTGGGCTTTTAACAAAACTTATTTATATAATTAGGCATGTAAGGGAATGTGGACCTTGTAAATAATCCATGTGCTAAATTGATAGAAAAATAACATTTATCTTGTTCAATTTGATCGTATGTGTTCCTAATAGATATAGCAGTTTAATCTAATTCTAATTAGTATTGTTTTCTTTTGTCAATAAAATTCTATTAAGGTATTTCATTTTATAGTATACTTGACTTTACTCTATCAAGCCGTCTTTGGAAATGTTGACTAATTTTTTGCAAGAATTTAAGTAAATTTTTTGGGCAGTTTCAAAAGTATGGATAAGCTAACTAGAAGACTAAGTCAATTGATCCATCTTGTCCAATTAAGATGAGAGATGTCCCAAAGATGTTTTGCTTACATCCCAAAAACTTATTTACAAATTTATCATATAAATATTAATTCATTTTTAATCGAGTTTGAAGGATTATAATATTGATTCAAGTTCTGTAATTCTTTCTTTGAGTATATTTACTTCTTCTAACATTTATGATTTAGATTTAATTAAGCGCACAACTTCCTTCTTCAAACGATAAGACTCCATAATTGTATTGATATTGTCATCCTTTAATTATTTATACTTAATTTGAATTCCTTCTATTAATTAGGATTGGAGCTCTTAAATTTGCTATTCATGTTATTCCATAATAATTGAAATTTCTTGCTTTATTTATTCGGTCTGGTACTTGAGTTCAGAAATAGTTTTTTGGCTTTTATTGATAAAACACTATTTGATTAGTGGAGGGTACTTATATCTAAGTAAAAGGAGTAGGTGCATTGTAATGAGATTTGATTGACTCTTGAGAATGGACACTACTGTAACGAAGATTGATTTAAGGTAGGATACTGGAATTGGTCACATTAGTGGATAATCTTAAATCTTCTTATGAATGGACAGAGAGTCGACCTTGACTAAACTAATGGGACATAAGTGTAATACTACGTTGGGATTGTGTATGAGCTATGTATAATAAAGTTAGTTTAATACGAATAATTTTTTTGTAGTAAAGCAGTTATCTTATATTGATTTCGTTGTTCATTAATTACTAAAATAATCTAGAGTAGTGAGTTAAGCAAAAAATCTATTAAAGTAAAGGAAGTTCTAATCCGTTTTTGTATAAATTAATTAAATGAAGTATGTGTTATTGGCTTTGGTGCTAGCTATGGCACTAGGTACATCAAGTGAGGAAAATGTCCTACAATTATTGGCTGAGTTGAAACACAATGCTGAGTTAGAATTAGAAGGATTAGAATTAGCTTGGCAAAGAAGAATTGGTGAAAAATAAAGTGTTGCTGATTCTCTTAATCAATCTGTATTAAATTAAAGAGCTGAATGTCAAAACAAAGAAGATGACATAGCTTAAAAGCAGAGTGATATATTGGCTAGTGAAAGTTTCATTAATTGGATGAGTGGAAGATAAAAGTCAAATGCAAAGAAGATAGGAGTATTGGAAGCAAGCATGTAAGAGTATTTTAAATATATAAAGATGTGCATTAACAAACAACTATGTAAATGATATAAGAAATTTCAGATATGCTTTAGCATTAGTGAAATTTTTGAGAGAAGAACTAACATAATTAGAAGGAGGAGCATCATCTTTAGCTTAAGTGACATAATTCCATGATAGAGTTAGCAAATTCGTTAAACTCTATCGTAGTGGTTAATTAGTCAATTTAATTGAAAAAATTGATGATAAATCAGATCTCATTGTTCCTGAGATTGAATAAGGCACATTTGATGAAATTTCACTTATTCAAAGAATTAGACCAAAAGCTTTGACTTAATTAGACTAAGTTGATAATGATGATGATGATAAGGCAAATAATGCAGTTGTTCTTATTCCAGGATGTGATGATTAAATTGGTACTGTAGTTGTTGTTTAAAATGATGATGGAACATCTGATTCTGGAGATCTTAATGTTAAAATCACTAATGGAGGTGGAGTAAGTACAAAACCAAGTGGAGGTAAAACAAGTACTGGATCTAAACCACATAAAGATGTAACATAAAAGAAAGAGGAAGTTACTCATGATAATGATAATAATGATAATGATAATGATAATAATGATAATAATAATAATGATAATGATGGAGATAATAATGATGATGATTAAGATACAGATGAAAATTAAGATGATGTAGATGATAATGATAATGTTGATGATGGAGATGAAGAAGATTAAACTGAAGAGGATCATCCTGAAATTGTTATTGATGATTAATAACCAGATCATCATGTTGATGAGGAACCTCATATTGTTATATCACCTCCTCCAAAAGGTCCTCATGCTACTGGAGCTATTGTACCACCTGAAGAAGAAGATTTTGCAGATAATTGGGAAGTATTTATGATTATTAAATATATTAGGGATTTAGAAAATTATTAGATGCAATTGAAAATCATACTAGAAAATCTTTAGAAACTGGAGCTAATGATGAAGTAAGATCTAATTTAGGATTCATTGATTTTAAATTACATATTGAATTAGAAAATCAATTCTTTGATAAAACTATATAATATGAAAAAGATTATTTGGTATAAAATATTTATTATCATTAGGTTAAATAAGTTAATTAATTAACTGGTAGAAGATAAGCTTCTATTTTATGTGGAGCTAGATTAAAATAAATTACAGTAGCTCATTAAGTTGCTTTGAAAGTAAGATTCTATATTTATTAAAGGATATCGATGCTGCAAAATAATTCTATGAAGAACAAAGAAAATTGAAATAAGAAGAAGTAAATACCTTTGATGATGTTTATCGCATCTATACCACATAAGTGAATCATTGATAAATATATATTATTTGGATAAAAATTATCTTAAAAATATATAATTTACTTCTTAATATTAATTTATTAATTTTTTGTTCGAAATAAAATTGAAGTAAAGAATGGATGAAGTAAGTTAATCATAATGTGTTTAATCATTTAATTAATTATGGATAGTACCTAATATGCATTACCACCTTATCACTATCGTTGGCTGAATGGTACCTTTTATAAAAGATGTCTATGTTAGGTGATGAATATGAAGATTTATTGATGAATGGAAGAGATCATTCTATACCTATTTTTGATGAACATCCAGAAGACATATATTATGAACCAAAAAGTATATTCATATATATTTATTATAACAGATGGTTATCTTTACTTTTTGAGAAAAGCATCCCTCAGAAATTTAGGATTTCCAAGACTAAAAGATAATTCAAAAAAAGTGTTCAAATGGAAAAAAATGAATTTTTAAACTCCACTCCCAAAACATTGTCCCAAAGTCTCCTACATTGTATGTAGTACTACTACATGTCTTGATGTTCCACATTATCGTATGCATATAGTTCAACTGTTTAATTAACGTGATGAAGAAGGAGTACTCCTTTGTCATGTTCTATAAATTTGTAATCGTCTCTCACCTACATAACCAATCAAAAATAAACCACCAATTTCTTTTGAAGAGTATGAGGAAATTAGAAATTGTAAGAAACGTTTAAGTGATTGTATGGAAAAGTCGATGGATATTATATTAGAAGTTCAAGATTTATAAATGAGAACAGCCTTACTTGATGATGATACTAACTATATACAATAAAAATTATAATCCAAAGAATAACGATTAGAAAATATGAAATTATATGAGGATATGTTAAAGAAATATGAAAGATACATCAATGCTGTAATGGAAGGATATGAAGTTATTCGTAGATATGATGATCTCTGATATCAATTAAAATATTTAATTAATTAATTATATAAAAAAAGTGATACATTAAGTACAAAGACAATTATTCATTTCTAAAGAATTTGTCAATCAAATTTATTATAAAATCTTCTTCTATTATATATATAACTAAGATTGAATGTAATAACAATATCTAAATTGACATTCTATTATGAGAATGTCACATTAATATTTTTTAAATATTAAAAAGAATAATCAATCTAAAAAATAAATTTTTATATCATGTTTTTAGAAATTATTCTCTTACCATAAGAAAATGTATAGATTGTTCCAAACATCTAGTATAAGAAGATTATTGAAATCAATTATCATAAATTAATGTTTCTGTAATATATTCTTGAAAATCATAAGAATTTGACTATCATGGTAGACTCAAGATCTTTAAATTTCTAGGTTTAAATAAAATAATTAAGTAAAGACAGTAATAGATTTTCTATGATCAGCTAATTAATATTAAAGTGATTTTTGTTTAATCTCATCATTTTCAACATAAACTGTATGTTGGATAAATAATTCTAATACTCCATTCTAAATATTGAATGCTAAATCTCCTTTAGAATTTGTTAAACCTCCTAATTAGACTTCAAATATTATATCCTACTATGTTTCTTGGGAACTGATATCATTAATTCTTTTATTCTTCATTTTTCTAATTATTTTTAGTCTTATAATCCTGATTGTTATCCTAATAAAGAGACTGAATTTTATTTTACTTTAGTAAAATCTTATTAATAATATCAGATATCAAAGATGTTCATATTATTCTAATATTTTTCTAAACTTCTTCTTCATTTTACATTACAATCTTCTATTATTCTTATGCTTTTTATTTATCAATTATAATTTAGTTTTCAAAATCTATAGTAAATAATAATTGTATCCCTTTTAAAGTATTTTCTTAATTTTTTTCTAATCATCATCCATACCACAACATTTAATACTTTATCTCCATAAGCACATAGACAATCTTAAGAAGTATTCTTAATGATATATGGAATTTCCTTTTTAGATTAAATATTGTAAACATATCACTCTATAACAAATAGATTTGATTTTTTAATCCTTTTTAAGAAAGTGAAATTGTTTTTTGAATTTTTAACTAAGTTATACTATGAATGTCTTCAAATATAATTATTCATTATCTAATATTTCAGGTAATTTATTTTAATTTAAATGAGTGAATTTGTGGAATTAGAAGAAGAATAAATCAAAAAATATTAGACTTTCCACAAAAAGCTTAGAATTGACATGGAAAAAGCCTTATAGAAACTGAAATAATTAGAAAATAAATAAGAAGATTACATACTTGTTACAGAATACATTAAAAATAATTAAGGCTAATCAAATATTAAAATGAATGTAGGTGCAAATACATTTTTAGATGTTGAATTGTAATAAAAACAATTCTAATGAATAGATCAAATCCAAAATTAATAACACTTGATGTAGGAATGAATGTCTTTGTTGAATTGAATTTTTGTGAAGCCAATTAAATAATTGCAAAACAACTCTAAATTCTTTAATCTAAAATTGAAGAACAGAAAAAATCAATTCTTAGTATCCAATAATATATTGATTAAGTTGAAGAGATTTTGTTATAATTTAAGTGATTTTTTAAGTATCATTTTAATTTGACTAACCAAAAACTATTTATTGGATCAAAATTAGTTAGTGCTACTTTACGATGATTCTCCATTGATCCATTCTCATTTATTCTAGATAAATACAACTTTGAATTTCTATGACGTAATTCTACTATAATATAAATATATTACTAACAAAAGTATTCTCATATAGAATATCTGTTCCTATTTCTATTTACCAAATAGCTGAATCTTTTATTGTCTTATTAGTTATTGAACCCACCTTGTACTCTCCTTATAGAGTCTCTTCTGCGGCTAACAAAGTTTCAGTCAATAAATGACGTAACTAGATAATTATATGGATTTTGAATTACCACAAATCTATCCTAATTGATTATTGGACCTTCATGATTCAATATAAATTCCCATTCTTCATACATCCCTATACATTCCATTCCTACTGATACTTCATACATTCCTCCATGTTTTATTGCGTGTGTCTATAAACTCCAAGTGCCAGCTGGGTTTTGTAACATCAATGGAATCTACTGAGACACTTGCTTCATGTCTATTGAAGCTTAAGGAGATGGAGCTGTAGATTAGTATTGAATTTATCGATCTTATTGTATTATACTTTCTTCAGCTATTGTTTTCAAATTCTCCTGTATTATGACAGTCTCATATTTATAAGGAAGACTGCTTCCTTAATGTGTATCTTAACTTATTAAATTATTATAAGAATGAGAAGATTTTATGAAACTATCAATTCTACGTGAACTCATATGCTCTGTCTCCTTACTTTCACATAATCCCATTAATTAATAATATATTTAGAGTATATTTTCACATCTTTTTAAAATTATATTAAATAGGAATGACGTATGCATTTATCACTAAATCAATAAAAGAAAATAACTCTAAATTTTATTGTCTTTTATTATAAATCAATGGTTCTTAAGATGTAATGTGTATATCTTACTAAATCTATATATATTATAATTTTTTATTTATTTTTAAATCATTTCCAATATATATTAGGATATATAAGTTATGGATATTCTTTCTAAATTTTCCTTATTTTTTTAAAAGATATTGTTATTTTCATTACAATGGATATTACTAATTATTGAGAGCTTATTTAATCCATAAATTCTATATTCAATAAGCATCAATAATTTATTCATATTTTCTATTCTTTTTAAAATATGATTCTAATTTTCTCACTTATTTCATTTGCTATTTAATAATAGTTTACTTTATCAATATCTTCTCAATTTAACTTGAAAATTCATTTATTTATCTTCTTAATTTAATTAAAGAAATTAATAGAAATTTCTATTTTATTTTTCTCTATTAATCTTCCTCATTCTTACTCTCCTAATTCCTCATTTTAAAAATTCTACAACAATTAAGATATTTATTCACTAATAAGATATCTTGATGATCATGTAATATCTATTTAACTACTTCTATTATTTTAATAAATGATATAATTATAGATTAGTATTATCAAAGTTTTCAATAATTTGTCTTACCACATTAAGTATAAAAAACATCACAAAATGAATAATTATAGATAATTTATTAAATTAAAAAGTATCACTTGACAAAGAAGATATTGATGAGTTTAAATTATACTAATAAATCTAAATTTGTCTAAAGAGGAATAAGGAACTTAATTAAATCCACATAAGTAATACCAATCCAATAAATAAGGCAATTAAGGGTTTAAACAAGGTTTTTGTGTTGTATTTGTAAGAGGAGCTTCTCAATCAAAAATAAAGTTCAGAAACATTTTGCAGGCATTCTTGCAATTTATCAATGGATATGGAAGCGAAATGATAGGAGAGATACCTATATTAATTTCTAAGAGACCAGTAAAATTCTTAATTTTTTATCCTTACATTTTCTGACAATAAAATAATCACCTATTTTTTTTCAAGAGTTTTTTAAATCACAACCCAAATTCAATTTATATTTATGCAATTCATTTCTATATTTCATTTGGAAATGATAATTAGGTTCACTGAAAGATTTTTTCAAAATAAATGTATAAACCTTTATATTCAACCTTAAAGAGCATAAAAATAATTAACCTTCACCCAACTTCAAAATTTATTACAACAATATTACTCAACCTATTACTAAAAAAGATATTTATTATACTAGACTGGAGAATTATCTCACACTAAAACTATTAAGCTGAATCCTAAAATATTACAGAGTCGTACATTCATAAACCTCCTGATCTATGAACACCCTAAAGATTCATTGGATACTACGCAATCCTAAAAAATTGATAAAGCAGAGATTTGTATTTTATTTATGATTATAAATAATTTTAATGTTGTTATATTAAATATCTAAAATTGTAATAATGTTAATTACATAATTATAAATTTACTATGTTTTGAAACTAACCAATGATAGTTCACATAAAAATTCATTAAAATTCTAATCTAAAATATATTGAATGGGATTTTCGAGAAAAGATCTAATTTTTCATATTAACTATTTAAAGTATCTCAAATAATTGATTTACTATTAAATATTCAAATGAATCATTTTACTTTTATATATTACATTCATGTTTTAACCTTGAAATTTAATTTCATATATCATAAAAATTAAATTTCATAATAATCTGAAACTTTAAACTTAACAAATTTGAATACATAAAACTAATAGCACTTAAATTTTTTTATAAATTTTTAGAAATTAAAAAATTTAATGTCTTTTAAATGGATAATAAATATAATTAACTCTATCAAATTAATTTCCCTCATAAATCTATTTATTCTCCTCATTTCTCTTCCTATAGCTCCTTCATTCTCTCTTATTTCTAAATTATCTTACTATCTGTTTCTTACTAATAATCTATTTCCTTTTTTCTATTTTTCTTCTTTACATTTCCCTTTTTCTCAACCTCTCTCTCTCCAGCAACATATGTTCTTTAATTAATGATAATAGCCAAAAAATTGCTTTGGTTTAGTAAAAAACCTCTTCGGCATATATATTTTGATTTATGTATATAATAATATAAATATAAATAACGATAAAATTTAATTGCTTAGTTATCTTCACAAATTCTTTATGTGAGTGAAATTTTGAGGATTCTTGATACCCTTATATATTTAATATCTGTATTTCATATGCCAATTATGTTAAACAATTTTGGAATTAAATATATAATTAATGGCCTATTTCTTTATAAAAATTTGACTACTAATACTTCTACAATTATACCTAATTATTCTGAATGCTCTTCTATATTCTTCTTCCTCAGGGTCTTCAGATCTTTATAATAAAGTACTGAAAACCCTAATATTTAGTTACTTTTTTTTATATTGAGAAATCTTATCAATAAATTTCACAACTTTCAGTTAATCTTTTAAAATTTCAATACATAAGTTTGATTAATTCTTACATGCAAAAGTTATTATGCTTTTACAATAATTTTTTGGAATATTCTTTGTGTCCTTCTAATCCTATATTAATCTTACTTCTCTTTTCTTATAAATTTGAAGTTTTATCTTTGGAAATTAAGAGTTTACTTAAGTATACTATGGAATTAGCTAGCTCTAAGGATAAAAGCTAAACCTAAACATGTTATTTATATCTAATTATGTTTTTCCAAAATGAACCTATTAAAAAGATAGAATAGAATATACCACAAATTAATTATAAGAAATAAAAATGACAAAAGGATATTTAGGAGTATCATGGGATTGGCTTTAAGCTACTTATAAATTGTGTAAGGCTTTCAAAAATTTTTGTATTATCAAGGTTTCTTTTTGTAAATATTTCACTGTGTGACTATAATATAGTCAACAATTACTTATGATCTGGGAATAAAGAAATCTATTTGGGTATGTTTATACCATTCAAGGCTTGTTGATCTTCGCACTTTATAAGCAAGTGATTCATTCAAATTAAAAAAAACAAATCTTATTATAATATACTAATCGAATATTAAATTTTTTGAACAAAGTTGACTTTTTATTTTCTATCAGATTTAAAATAAAATCATGAATGATGTATCTATAAACTTCAATTCATTCAATTCTACTCCTTTATTTTCATATCTCTAAAAGTTGTTTAGCAATTAAATTAATTTATTTCTTTAGCTCCTCTTACTGTTTTAAATTAAAATATTCAAATTTCTTCATCATCATTCAGGAATGAATTAATTCATCCTACCATAAAAAAATTATCATTACTACATTTACATATGTCACTTACTTTTAGCTCTTTTTCCAAAGTGGTTTATATTTATAGAAAAAACGTCACATTCTTACTAAATGTTGAAGAGATGTTCAACTAAATTATAAATCTTAAGTTTCATTGTTTCTCATATTTAAACATTTGATATACTTTAGGGTATTGATCATATTAAAAGGATTTTGAATATCATAAATTAATATTGAATTATAATATTTTTTTCAAATATAGTGAAAGGCAAATTATTTACATAAATTAACTAAATTTCTCAATCTTTCATCTTATTATAGAGTCATAAACTTCTTCTATACTGTTTTTATATCAAATATGGTTTAATAAAAAATATTTATGTTTAATCAACCAAAATATATGGTTTAATTTTTAAGTTATGATAGCTTAAAAGCATATTATTATAAAGATTAGAACAGTTTTTGACATTATTTTTAAGTAATTTCATAAAATTGGTTTAATTGTACATTTTTTATATAAATTTCTATTAGGTATTATAATGGAAAACTGAAAAAAATTGAGTCTTTGGTATGGTAAGGAAGTACTTAAATGAATATAAAAATAACATAATCTTAAATTTTGAATTTGATTTTAAAGATTTTAGATGTTTTTAGAGAGTTATCTTCATAATATTATAATATCATCTAGATGATAGTAGAATTTCTAACTTGAAGCAATATCTAATTGATATCCAATAGTTATATTGAAGTATTTAATGATCATTATTATTTTTGTAGCATATTGCAATACTATAACTTTAAGGAAGATAGATAATCGAATTATCTGACAATAATATTATATAATTATTTATATATATTAATACAAATGAGTACAGGATTAACTAAGATGAACCCATATTGTTAAATAAATCGTGTACAATTAAGAAATGGGAGTGTTGGACCCAAAATATAACCAAAGAGGAGGTTGGACTCTGATCTCAATTCATCATAAATCACACCTTCTTATAAAGTAGGTTTTCTATAGATTTAGCATACACCAACTAATTTTGAGAGATGCAATTTAGATGTATTTGAGGATAAGGTATTATAATTTTCGATGATGATAGTCAAAACCTACAGATTCATCAATGAATTCAACACAGTTGCGAAAGAGTCCTTCATTTAGAATGAAGAATTATCGTCATATAACTCCAGGAGCAAGAGATGATATAAGAAGACAAACCAATTTTTAAAGTTCTGTAAGAATATTTTATATGAATCTTAAGGCAGGCTTTCAAATAGAGAGTAAGTGCGATGGAATTACTTTAATTTCAACTTGGGACTGATGATGAATAATAGTAAATTAGACATACATAACCAATAAAGAAGATAGTGGCAACTCCTTCTTCATCTAGTTAAACAACTTCTGTTCCAAAATATAATATTGATCAAACAATATTGGAAGATAATAAAGATGCTAATTTAGAAGAAGTTCATTTTTTTTAAGTAGAAATGCAATAAAAATACAAAAAATGGTTAGAGAATATTGAAAAGAAGTTAAAAAAGTGAATTTCATCTACTTATATATAAATAAATTAAAATGAACGTCTGTGCTATCCGTCATATTCCATACACAAATAAGAATGACAACAGATAAAATGTAGTTGATTAAAATAGAGCCAAGAGTTCTCAAGGAACAAGATTACATTCAGCAACTCATTATAGATGTTCAACTTAATAAAGCAGCAATCAAACTCCAAATCAAGGCAAAATGCAATATTATGAAGTATAATCAGATATCTTTTGATTCTTAGATTCAACCCTATGTTGGTCAACTCATCAAGGTACTATTTATTGAAACTCAAATTAGAACTAGTAATAATCCTTTGTCTCTTCATAATTTAGAAAAAGTCCATCCTTTCGTGTTAAAAATTATCATCCTTAAGACATAGTCAATAGTGTAGCATAATAATCAAGCTAAAATTTATTATAATCTAAGTAAAGACACATTAAACAAATAGCAATGAAAAAATTGAAAGAATGAATCGCATAAATTGTTTAGGGGATTTGCTTCAATAGATGGGTGAAAACAATCAACAAATAAAATAGTCTATCCTTGCTGATTTAGTAACAGTTCCAAAACATAAGACTGAGACATTCAATACTAAAAATTAAAAGGAATAGAATATAGAAGAATTACATTTCTATTTAGTTGAATCTTAATAAAGAATCAAATAGCATACATACATTATAGAATAATAAAAATATCTTAGTTGAATAAGTCTAATGCATTTAATTTTTATATTTTACTTACATTCACACTGTAAAAGTTATAGTGAATACTCATTTCTAAAATATCAACAGATGAAAGAATGATTTAAATCATTTGAATTTAAATTAGATTCTTTGTAAATGAACCATTTCAAAATTGAATTATTTATAAAATAATTAATAATGAATAATCAATTCAAAAGCTAGAACAAACTAAAAGGCAAGAAATAAAGAAATTTATTTGGATTGATACTATGCTAAAGTAATATGATTGAAGGGAAATTGAGATGATAATTAATAATATTAGTTTGAGTAGATTTAGAAGACAATTAATGAAAGTATTGATTGCAAGATTTGTTAAATTATAAGAAGAACAATATAATTAAGAATGAAAATGAATTAGAAGAATCAAATTTGTAATTGAAAAATCAGTGATATATAATGATTAAATAAAGATGTTTAATAAGAAATAGTTATAAAGAAATGATATTAAACTAGTTCTTATAAACAATTAAGAATTCTATAAACTACAAAAATAAGTTTAATGATTTCAAAAAGAATAGTTAATTTATAAAATAATAACTAATAAGCATAACTAAATTATAAAAGATAGACAGAAAACTAAAACAACTAATTTAACATAAAACTAATAAAATGAACTGTTAAACTTAGATAAGACTAACATATGCTTCATAAATTAGTTTTCTTATCTTCGAAATGTGGATTATAATTGATTGTTAGAATAATAGAAATATGTATATTTGATATAATTATTTGGATATGAATTCAATTATGATTTAATATTCATAATTCTTATACAAATAAATTTTATTTGCAATCATGAGTGATTTCTAAAATAGATAATATTTTACATCTTCTTCTTCAAGACAGTACACTTCTGGTACTAAGGATAATGTTAGAAGTACTACTTAAGAAAAAGTAGAATAGATAATTAACCGTGAGACACCAAAAGTGTAGGTATAATAAGTTTTTAAATTTTTTAGACAAGAACAGTAGAAGTAGAATAAAGAAGTGTCTAATAATATCCAAGAATGCAATCTCAATAAATATTGAGAACATAGACCTAAGGTTTTGTAGGCGGTTAAAGCTATGTGTCTAATATGGCAGCAATACCTTAGATTGGATATTAAGGCAATTATTCAGTTTAATAAAATTGTGTGGCTGCCTAATAATTATGCATGAATGTTATAGTTGTTTCAAAGGAAGAGATTGAAGCACCTTGGAGATTAGAGTGTGAATATTTACAATCTTTAATTGCTGAATTAGAAAAAAGAAAAGAAGTCTAAGTAGTAGAAAAAATAGTAGAGAAGGAAAAAATTGTGACAGATAACTCTAAAGTAGAGTTATTGGAGTCTCAATTAAGATAATTAAGATCAGAAAATGATTAGTTGACTGTTCAATTATAATCAATGAGAGGAGAAATTTAATTAAGAAGTTCATAAACTGAAGACTTTGCCTCTAAAGAAAGAGAATTTTTCAATTTGAGACTCAAATTTGAGTAACAAATTAGAGATTATGAGGATTAGATTAGAAGATTACAACAAGAAAATGCAAATCTAAGAAAAGAAAATGAAGAATTAATTTAAAAAATAAGCAATCTAGAGGTAAGATATTTTAATAGTTTTAGATGAAAGTTGCTATGTTATCTTCAGAGATTGAAAGATTAGTTTATGCAAGTAAAGTTAAAGATGGAGATTTAGAAGATTGGAAACTTAGATATGCCGAATTGGAATCTCAAGGATTAACTGTTGTTCAAGAAAAAGTAACATATCTTTCTTCTGAAGTTGAAGTGTGGAAGTAGAAATTCATAAAAGTTAATCATGATTATAATGAATGTTAAGAAGAGTTGACTATGTGCTAAGCTGAGTTGGAAGCTTTAAAGAAAGGCTAAAAGAAGGTAATATTTAAAAAAAATCAATTTTAGGAAGTTGTAGTAACATCATCAAAGGTTGTTTCAAGGACTGGTGGTACAACGACTACTTCATCTATGGGTTAGACAAGAAGCAGTAGAACATATGAATAATTTTAACCATGAGAAAATCAAAATAACACATATAAAACAACATATATAATTTTTAATCAATAATTTTTAAATATTAATATAGAAATGGACGATATTTAGCATAAAGATTATGTATTCCTTTGCCATTATAGTAAGTACTTATATATTTATATGTAACCACCAATAAAAAAACACTTTGACACAACAATAAATTAAGATAGAATTTTTATTATTCCAATGAAAATACATTTCAATACAAGTTGGCATCTTTAGGTACACATAAGCCAATAATTGTTATTAAAATTAAAATACATCTAAATGAAAGTAGATAACTTTCTTCTTGAAATGTTACTCCATAATAAATGTTGACTGATTTACAAACTTTAGCAAGATTCTTGTTATAAATGACTAATTCTCCTCCAAATTATGATAAATTATAAAATAATAGAAAAAAATATTAGATTTAGTAGTAAACGAAGTTATGTTTTTTAGGCTAAATTAAATATTCCTTTTGTTATTAACAAGGAATTGTCTTAAGTGTAAACAGGAAAAAATAATTTAAAATTATAAATGGCAGCTAGAAACATAGATAGGTATAAAATCTTATTTAGTTTCTAATTAAAGCCTACTAAAAAGTCTCAGTAGGAACTTAAATAACTTTTATTCTATCAATTGTAGATAATAATTTAATACTTAAAATGACACTTAATTAAGGATATTTGATACAACATACAACAAATATTAACATTTTCAGGTCACATTTAGAATATAGTTTATTTTAAGAAGATTTGTCTTATTGAGACTACTAGAAAATAATTAATATCTTTGGGCTTAGAAAAGTAATTAGTTGTTTGAAATATTGATGATATATTTATTTCAACCTAAACAAAGTTTTCAGAAACATTCAATTAGATAACTCTCATATAGTATTTAGTGATTTAAATAGAGATATCAATATTTACAATTTTGACACACAAAAGATAGGAACAAACAATACTATAAATTTGAATAAGATTAATGAATTGACACTCTTAAAGAAAAGAGATAAATTTATTTTATACTCTTCAGATTCAATAATAAAAATGTGGGGAGAATTTGAACAACCTTACTAGACTTCGTAGAATATCAAATTACTCTTACCTGAATTGCTCTAATCAATATTAAGCACTTATCAATACAAAATTTTGATTTTTTATTGTATAAAATCTAATAAGATAAAATAAATTATTGTTTATTTTCTATAAATCAGGAATCAAATATACTTAATTCAAAAGTATTCACCATCAAAATAGTTGATTACTCCATTTGGTAAGCACATCAATCTAACTATCACGTATGTTAAGATGAAGACAAAAGCATACCCAATCTACATTTTATGACAATTCTCAGCTCCTATATAGAAGATGATTGCAAAAAACATGAATCTATTAAAATACTTAATTTTTACACTATCGTTATAAAAAACTCTGCTTCATTCAATTTCTATTCAAGAATTATAGTAGTTACTAATGCTCTCTAACTCATATATGATATAACCAAAACGATTATTATTAATAATCTTAAAATGATTGCTCCAACAAATAAGTATACTATTGTTTCAGCAAAAACTTATGATGTTTAACATTAGGGATCAATACAACTGAGTTTGTTATTATATTTACTAATTTTGTATGATTAAGACGGCAGAAATGCAATAAAAAATAGTTATTAAACTATAAACCGTCTTTTCACATAAGGGAAACTATTTCTAATACTCTATCTAGCATAATAAACTTTATTGCCTATCTAAAGGTATTTCCATTTTATTTAATAATATAATTATAAATACTATTTTTGATAATCAAGAAATTATTAAATCAAAGAACTCATTACTTTAAAAGTCAGATTCATTAAATATTTTGAAATTAGTAAAATAATATTTGAATCTTAAAAGTCAAAAATAGTTATTTAAGGTTTTATAAAAATAAAAAATGAAAGAACTCATAGTTGTGAATGTTCAAATATATTTAATTAGATAAGAATGAATTATTTTTATTTTTCATTATGAAAAAATATACAAAAATTTATTGAATTACTTATAATTAATTCATGTGAATTATTTTTAAGATGAAGATTTTTTAGATCTGAGTGGTGTGAACTATCTTTTTCTATATTGTTATTCATCATTATCTATAACTACATATTTGGCAAACCCCTTTTTCCTTTGAATTGGTTCTTCTAGATCTATCCATCTTGATTCTGAAGTAGAATTTACAGGTAAAATAACTTTTGGAATGATCTCACCTCTTTTAGAAATAGTGAGCATGGCTTAAGTCTTAATAAAATAGGGTACATCCTTTGTTGTTTTGAGAATTGGTACCATAATCTGGACAAGAAAAAACAGTAATGACATTATTATTCTGTCTTTCAAAACCTTCTAATGTTGGTTCATGTGATCGTATGATAATGTTCAAATTATTTTCTTATAAGAATTTGCTTACTCTATTAGTTCCAAACCTAATAATTTATCTATTTTAGAATATATCTCTCTCTGTATTTGGTTAATTTTCTAATTCATCTTCAGATAAACATGGATCTGACCATAATAATTCTAAAGCTATCTTTTATTAATACTAAATTTTAATATATTCATATACAGTTTTTGGATCATGTACAATTTCCAATGGTCTTTAAATAAGTTCAATTTCATCTACAGTTCTCATAGTCTATCCAATACCACCATGAACACATAAAATTTTATCTTCAATTACTGCTGCTAATGGTAAATATTGAAAAACTCTATTGATTCTTTAATATATGCTATTAGGATCCATGATGTCTTCTGCAAATTTTATGAAGCATTCATCTGCAAAACCATAAATTTTGTTAATTTTAGCATCTTCATGATGTCCTCTAAGTAGATGAATTTAGTCAGCATATTTTAATTTTAATGTGAATAATAATAGCACAATTTCTAATGATCTTGTTCCTCTATCTACATAATCACCTAAAAATAAATAATCTTATGAATCAATATCTCCATTATATAAATTATCATATGGAGCTTTAAAATGATCAAAAAATCTCATTAAATCTAAAAATTAACCATTTAAATTTCCATATATTTTAATTGGTCTTCTTAATTTTAAAACTATTGGTTCTTTATCTAAAATTCGTTGAACTTCATCACATAATTTAATTATCATATCTTTTCTTATCCCAGTCAATAAATTAGAATTTGGAGGGATTGATTAATAATCCTTAGGTATCAATAAATTTTAAACGAATGGTTAACATAACTAATCCAAAAATTATGATTTATTTTGGGAATTTGGATCTTAAAATCCAGCTCCCAATTTCTTGTGTTCATCTTGTAATTTATCAATTGGTACTTTCTTAACTTAATTAGTTATATCTTCTTCTGGTCCATAAGTCATAGCAACGATAGCTTAATTAGCTAATCTTATATTTTTATTAGTTGCACTAGATACTCGTATTTATTAATTATTATTTTAATCTAATTTCATAGTAATATATACTTTTCACCATAGCTTATTATTGATTGGTTCTTCTAAACTAATCTTAAGTTTATGCTTGATTTGTTGGTGGTCTTGGATTAAATGATTAGGTGAATGATTGATCAGTCTTTAAAGTATTCATTTGCCTTAACAATTAAGGAGTCTATGCAAATCTTGTATTTAAATTCAATCGTAAAATGCCTTCTGTTGGAATGTTTGGTTAATCAGAGTCAAATCCTCCATGTAAATACAGAAATTAATCAATCAACCAAGAAGAATGTCTGAATCTTTGAATTGCCTGAAACTTATACCAATCTGATGTTTCAGTATCATAAATTTCAAAAGGCAAAGTTTCTCCAACATTATTAGATCTACCTCCTATTACCAACATTAATGTTCCCAAAAATAAAGTGGAATGTTGATATCTTTATAATGGTTGCTCAGTTTAATTTCTATAAGGAGCTCTTACCCAATCCCATCTTCCATCTCTATGTTTTCTCAATCCCCAGGTATCATTCAAAGCTCCTTAATCATTAGTTCTACCTCCAAATGCTACCATCATTCCATTTGCTGATCCTGTTGTACATAATGCAGCAGAATGATAAACTCTTACATTTGGCTATTCCGAAGAGCATTCCAACTTCTACCAAGAATAAGGAGATTTCTCTAAATTAAAACTCCAAACATCATTGACAGGTTCTTAGCCTGTATTACCTCCAAAAACTATTAAATGTGGTTTAATCAGAACCATTGTATGACCGTATCTTCTCCCTGGTGTTGTACCTATGACTGGGACTGTTACCCATGTTCCAGTATCATCTCTTAATTCAAATACATATAAATTATCATCTGCTAATCCTCCTCCACCTACTGCTCCTCCAAATATAATCATTTAATTCAATTCTATTGCTAATGATTAATGTGCTGCTCTATTTGTTGGTACACTTCCACTAGCTTCAATTCTCTTCCATTTCTTTGATGTCATGTCTCCTATATATACATCCCCTGTAATCACATATCTTCCTGTGTCCCCTACTGCTCCTATATAAATATTTTCAATTAGCTTTTACCCCCAAATAATGCAATCTTGTTAGGTGCTATTACACATATGGTATGACCAAAACGTGGCTATGGATTATCACCACCAAAATTCACACTTTCCATTTTTATTTTAAATAATTATTTAACGATTTATGGATTCAAGAATAATCAAAGCATCTAATCCCTATAAAACTTATGATCCCAAATTATTAAAATAATAAGCAAAAAACCATTTTAATTAGGAACCTTACGATTAGTCATACTCATTATTAAAACTACAATACAAAAGCTGAAACGTATATTTATTCACAACTTTTTTATATAACTTGCTCTATTTTCTATATTTTATAAATAAGAAATTACACAATCATGTTTTAATTAGATTAGCATTAAATTATAAGAAAATTAAATAGTCTTTCGTTAGCATAATTAATTAATTTCTAAAAGAATCATCAATTTACTTGAATATATTAATTATTAATTTTATATATATTAGCATCTTCTAACTTTCTTAATAAATATTAAAATTAATTAAATTTAACTTTGTATAAATTAAAGTTTTTACATAACTTATCTAATCAAAATTTTACAGATCTTAAAACAATATTGTGCATAATCAAAGAAAAATTTTAACTTTTAGCCCAATAATTACTTAAAATTTTAATCGATAAACTAAATTTATAATTTTTTCATTCTAATAAAATACTATTTAAATTTTTGATGTAAATTTAGAAAATTTTTATGACGCATGTTATATTATATTCCTAGTAAATAAACATTAAAGACACATTTATATATTAATTTACATTCCTCTTATTCAATAAATAGTAGAATATTAGTGTCCAGTATTTAGCTGCTAGGATAGCTAAATTTTTAGGTTAATTCTCATAATAAAAATTAACAAATTTCAATCTATTTATAGAGAATAATTTTGAAATCAATAGATCTTTTATTATAGAATAATTAATTTACAACTCTCGGCGTGATAATTGTTCTAATAGAATAAAACTAAAATTCTATTTAAACTAGAAATTTAATACTTAAAATATTAGATTATAAAATATTTTACAACTCATATATCAATTGAAAAGTATTTTCACTTTTTTAGGGTGTACTCATTAATGGTGTGTATAAGTCATTAGGAGATCAATGTTTTTTGTAATTAATTTATAAATCATTTCATAAATTATGCTAATGTTTTTTTAAACCCTAAACTTTATTTCTAAAATACAATAAAATATGTTGTTCAAGTGTAAATGATATTGTTTTAAAAATTAAATTTTTTTTATGAAAAAATGAAGAAACTTTTAATTTCTATATAATAAAAAAAATTTAATTGGTGAAAATTATTGCAAATAAAGAAAGAGCTTATATTAAGAAATATTATTATTACATGACTTTAAAATTGATATAATAAATGATCAGATTTTATTAAATAAAATTGTCAAAATTAAGCTCAAATATGTATTTTAAATTATTTTTAGTTTCTTGAAAAGATTTTATTTATATTTAATTTGATTAATTAGGGGGTCTATCGGCCTCAAAGTGTTCGACGTACTTTTTCTTTCTACTTAAATCGACCTAATCCAAGAAGACAGACTCACTTCTCCAAATTAATTTTGTCCTTAAGATATGAGGATTTTAGTCAGAAACGAACTCTGTTCATTGAGATCTTTTAAAATAAGACCAGCATAAATTTGATGAGTTAATTAATGTCAAAATTAGAACAGATATAATATTACAAGTTAAAATTAAATATTATTTTTCTAGTAAAATTAATAAAAGAAGGGATTTTAAAATAAAATGAAAATGATTTTATGTTTAATATATTAATATTCTCAAGCGATAAAGGCAAGTGCAACAAATACTGATAGAATAACAGAATTGCTTGAACTGCCTTCTGATACTAAGTCACTGCATTCTTCACATTTTCCATCAGCTGTCCATCTGTAATTTTAATAAGATTAAGAAAAGCAATTTTCTGCTGTTAACTTACTTGTATCAGCTGCATCAGCACATTTTGATCCATCCCAAGCACATAATGTTCTTTCATTTTCACCTGATTTAGAAATTCTACATTCTTATTCTCCAGTATTATCAGCACATGTCTTAAAAGAACATGAATTTGTTGCATATTTACAGCCCTCATTTTCACACTTTTTTTAAAAGTTATTCAAGTCTGTGCATGAAGCTGATACAGATAATGATTCGCATTTGCTATTTGTTGACCATTCACATTCAGTAGTTTCAGAATCCTAACCATAGCATTCATTTTCGGCTGTGATTGNGTGTAAATGATATTGTTTTAAAAATTAAATTTTTTTTATGAAAAAATGAAGAAACTTTTAATTTCTATATAATAAAAAAAATTTAATTGGTGAAAATTATTGCAAATAAAGAAAGAGCTTATATTAAGAAATATTATTATTACATGACTTTAAAATTGATATAATAAATGATCAGATTTTATTAAATAAAATTGTCAAAATTAAGCTCAAATATGTATTTTAAATTATTTTTAGTTTCTTGAAAAGATTTTATTTATATTTAATTTGATTAATTAGGGGGTCTATCGGCCTCAAAGTGTTCGACGTACTTTTTCTTTCTACTTAAATCGACCTAATCCAAGAAGACAGACTCACTTCTCCAAATTAATTTTGTCCTTAAGATATGAGGATTTTAGTCAGAAACGAACTCTGTTCATTGAGATCTTTTAAAATAAGACCAGCATAAATTTGATGAGTTAATTAATGTCAAAATTAGAACAGATATAATATTACAAGTTAAAATTAAATATTATTTTTCTAGTAAAATTAATAAAAGAAGGGATTTTAAAATAAAATGAAAATGATTTTATGTTTAATATATTAATATTCTCAAGCGATAAAGGCAAGTGCAACAAATACTGATAGAATAACAGAATTGCTTGAACTGCCTTCTGATACTAAGTCACTGCATTCTTCACATTTTCCATCAGCTGTCCATCTGTAATTTTAATAAGATTAAGAAAAGCAATTTTCTGCTGTTAACTTACTTGTATCAGCTGCATCAGCACATTTTGATCCATCCCAAGCACATAATGTTCTTTCATTTTCACCTGATTTAGAAATTCTACATTCTTATTCTCCAGTATTATCAGCACATGTCTTAAAAGAACATGAATTTGTTGCATATTTACAGCCCTCATTTTCACACTTTTTTTAAAAGTTATTCAAGTCTGTGCATGAAGCTGATACAGATAATGATTCGCATTTGCTATTTGTTGACCATTCACATTCAGTAGTTTCAGAATCCTAACCATAGCATTCATTTTCGGCTGTGATTGAAGAACAGGTAAGTGATGCACAGGCACCAGAAATATATTTGCATCCAGTAACTCTGTAGCATATATTTTCATCATAATCAGCACATGATGAAAATTCTGCACATTTTCCTGATTTATTCCAGTAACACTTTAGAGATCTTGGACAATCATCAGCTGCTGTGAAATCTGAGCATGAATATGATTTTTCAACACATTCTGAAGTTTCCCAAGCACATAAATATCCTGTTGATTTTCCACTACAATTGGCTTAAGGAAGAGAAGAGCAAGAAAAGTCATATTCAACTGTCTCACAAGTACTTGTCCATTTACAATAACCCATCATTTTTGTGCATTCTGTTTAATTCAATTCTTCACATGCACAATGCATAGATGCATCAAATGTAACAGCATATGTTGTTGCCAAGAGGCCGATGAAAAGTAATAAAGATTTGTTCATTTTATATTATTATTAATTTTGTCTTTTAATATCATTTTTGATTATAAACATCGACAGGTAAATCAAAATGACATAAAATTTAATTAATTTAAATATTTTTTTAAATTTTTTTATAAAACACTAAAAATTGTATAAAATTCAATAATAAAATTAAAATTTTTTCCTTTCATCTGAAGCATTCTCAATATGCAATTCAATAAAAATAAATTTATTAATAAGTTTAGTAGTGATTGCTCTTTTGTAAATTATTTATATGGTTAATTTTCATCTAATCTATACTTTTTCATTAAATATTTTCCAATAAAAGTCATAGTTATTTTTAAAGCTACTCCATTTATACCATATATGGTGGCTGGTAGATTTAATTAAAGGAGTTTTAAAAATAAAATTTCAAATTTAACTTGAGTTAAAATTTCAGCCTGCTCAAGAGGTTTATCTTATAAAGAAAATTAATGATAAACATTTATTTAGTTTGGTAAAAGAGAGTACATCTCAACCAAAATTTTAAGTTAGATTGATCTAGAGTTTGTTATTCAAAATAAATTAGTTTTTAAAAAACTGAAATTAGTATCAGAATTTTTTTTATATTATTTTTGAATAAAAGTCGATTTCTCGACGAAAAGAAAGACTTAAAGCATTATTTTTTATCTCTAAATTGCTTTAATTTGTTTGCCAATACAAAATCTATTTTTAGTTTTATTTAATATTTTAATTAACAATCACATTTTAATTAACAATCACATTTTAATTTTAAAATATTGAATATATATACTTAGAGTTGAATACTTTAATTACGAAATAAGCAATAGATATTAGCATAATTAATTTTTAATTAAACCCAAATAAAATTTAGATCTCTACACAATTTGATTGAGATCTATATCTAATGATTAATATTAAATTAGTTAAATTTGATCTCTATTAATGAATAAAAAATAAATGTAAAAAATTACTTTCATAAATGATTTTAGTTGTTTTAATACTTCTACTAGAAAAAAATCATAATATTACAAAATATTAGTGTCAAATTTGCTATAAGAATTAGAAAATTGAAATAATAAATTTATTTAAATTTTTAGATAATATATTTTAAATTATTATTATTTTTAATAATTTATTTAATTCTATATTATATCTTAATTTTAGATTATTGAAGATGTATCAATGAATAATTTATTCATTAACAGGAAAAGTGGGTGATATTAAAATAAATGTTATTGTATTTTACTAAAAAAAAATAAAATTCAAATCTCATAATTTAAATTTGGAATTCAGTTTATTATGATTATTTTATGTGAATAAATAAGACAATTTATTATCTTACAAAGTTTTATAAAAATATTTGACTTAAAAAAGATGATTAATTGTGAGAAATATTGTTCTTAATAGATTGATATTTTGGATACATCTTTAGGTTAAAAGAAATCTATTAAACTCTTAAACATTTATAAATTTAAGGATTAAAAAGAAAAGAGCAGCAAAATTTAAACTTAAATTATATCAAATAGATATTATACATCAGTATAAAATGAATAAAAAATAGGCGTTCTTTAAATGAAGTTTGCATTTATAAATAAACCTTTGTAAATTGAAAAGGATGCTATATTCAAATATAAATATCATCTCCAATAATTATTTAGGGCATTAAAGAATCATTATTAAGAGAATTTAATTCTATTTCTAGAAAATAGTCTTATTCACCTAAGAAGTTTAACAAGTTTTGAGTTTTATAATAAATTTTCTTCCAACATGCACATTGCCATCCCATCAAATTGTGAAAGGTTGAAGAGAACCACCTTCTAATCATAAAAAAACTTGCATTAATAAATCTAAAAATTTTTCACTAATTTGATTAAACAACCAATGGAAAATGTAGTCTTTCAATACTTCTTTATCTAAGAAGACCATTAAAATTTTATTTTTCATTAATTCATGCTCTTATATCATTCTGCTTGCTTTGAAATCATCTAGCAAAGGGGGTTTGAGAGATTATTATTTTTTAATTTATTGGATAACATTAAATTACCTTTACATCAAAATTTTTGTTGAAAATTGGGTTTATTTGTCAAATCTTAGAAATGATTTTTTTGCCTGTGCTCATCTTAAAGCTAACAAGTCTAAATTAGAAATCCAAGCTAAGGAATCTGTTAAAAATACCTTTAAATGGTAACCTTAAGGAGATAAAAAATGATTTTTATAATTTATTATTTAATATTCTTGTTTATGTCAAACTCCTTTAGTATCTAGTTAATATGTTCAGATTTTAAAAAGAAAGGTTTATCGAAATCACAATTTGCAATATTGGAATTGGATATAAGATTAAGATAATAAAATTTTTCTGAAGGTATATTGTTAAATGAATTCAGACAAGAATAAAAGCTAAATTAACAAGGTGTTAGATTTGGATCTTTAAAAATGGAAAAAATGAATTTCATAAATATTTAATAGTAAACTATTAGAGATAAGAGGGATTTTTAATTGGAGTGTGGATTGAAATTTTAATCAGCATACCATAAGTGTTTAAACTTTTAATTTAAATCCATCTATCCAAATAAAAGGATGAAAACTTATGTGTTTCTAAAGAAAGATAATTGGAGATGAGATATAAATCATAATAACTTATCCCAAAAACTATTGTTTAATACTTTACAAAAATTTTAATCTGATAATACTCATATTAATATCAAAAACATATTATGAATATTTTCTCTATTATATCGAATTTATTTTATTAATAGGGATTTATTAAGTTGATTATTCAATTAATGAAGATAAAGATATTGAGATGATAAAATAGAAAGAAAAATATTAGAAATGTAATAGTATGATATATATATATATATTAAAATTCATGGGTTTGGAAATGCAAGAAAATTATTCTCAAATATAATTTTATTATCAGAAAAAGATTGATTCCAATTTAAATAAGTTTTAATTGGAAAAAACTTATATAAATATATTTCAATAAGGGTTTATTATACAGAAAATCACTTTGAATTATTATATATTAACTTACTAATATTATTATTATTAAAATTATGCATCAATTCGAGACAATTGAAGGAAAGATTCTTTACATCACATACAATTTATATAAGTAAAATCGTATCTGTATCGAATAAAAGAATGAAATAAAAGGTTGATAATTTAAAAATATTCATTAGACATGTTGATTAGTAAAAATCATCGTATTGAAAAATTATTATAAGAACTAAGAGGAGGATATAATGTAACTCAAATTGAAAATAGCCTTGAAACAATTAATGTAATATGTCTTTAATAATTATCATTTAGGATTTAAGTCCAAGAGATTTTGATGATAGTCTCAGTAATTCATATAAAAATAAAAGACCAAAGAAATTTAAGTTCTAAAAATCAAATTTCCCAAGAAATTTAGACCAATAAGAAATTAGAGCAATTGAGGATTCTGATTCATTGTCTCGAAATTCTAATTAATAGTTTTAATTTGATTCAAGGAGACGTGTATACTCTTTAGCTGCAGATTCATGTTGATTAATTTGATAATTATAATTTATAAATGATCTCTAAGAATTGATGATATCATTACTGGTATAATTATTATAATAAATTTTTATTCAATATTAATTTAATTTATAATCATTCATTATCATAAAATAGACCAATCATTAATATAAGCGAAATAGATGCCAAAGCATAAAAATCATTGATATGATGTTTGATCTAAAAATAAAAATAAGAATTTAAAAATCCAATTTTATTTATTCTTTTAAAAAGCCATATTATTATTTATGCAAAAATCACCACAAAAATACCCTTAACAGCAGTGGCATGTAAAATTTATATGTACAAAAAATTGGAATATTAAAAAAAACCACATAAAAATAATCTGTATGGTAGATAAAAAGGCAAGGCTAGGCTTCTTCATTCTCTTCTATTGTTACACAAACAAAAATTAAACTAATAGCTATGATGAAATAAAAGAAAAAAGATAGTTCCAAATAAAGTATTCTATCCTTATACTGCTTTTTATAATCCTTCAATGAGCAAGGAATATATAACTAAATGTATCTAGTTAAAACTTTTGATGATAATAATAAAAGTTAATACAACTATTTTACTTGAATTGGTCAAAATGATAATCAGGAACTATAGAGAATTAAGACATTCCTGAATGCAATGCTCCATTAACAATACCTATTAATAATCTTCATGTTAAATAGTCCTAAAAAAAATTTAGCATTAAAGAGGTTTTAACTTTGATGAAAAGAATTTGCTAAGTTTTGATTATTTTCACCAGCAACTTCACCTTCTTTATGTTCCAAGATTATGATCTATTTTATATCAAATTTAAATTTTGATAATACTATTATAGATGTTATTGCTGAGGAGTTAATTAATATGTATTCATAATTTCATTATATTCCTCCTTAATAACTAAAATAGGCACTATTGTTTCTTTTGGTAAGCCATTAGATAATTGTATTAATAGTTATAAATATCATTTAATTTTTGATATAAATTATGAATATTGTATAATAATTTTCCTCATTTTGCATTTTTCTGTTCAGAATTTTCCCTCTATGCTATTTATTCTTGTTAATCATTATTCTTGCATTTCATATCAAAGAATGGAACCAATAACAGGAAGCTAAACAAAACAGCTGCAAATGGACCATCATCTGATCTTAAATTAAACTAAATTATTATTTAAAAATTACTTTCTTAGAGTCTACCATTCTCTTTAGTGTGAATAGAAGATAAAACCCAAAACAGCAACTCGTTGCTATAATTAAGCATAATATATCATAGTTGTAATAAAGAGAAAAGAGAATGCCTCCAAAAGTCAAATTTGGTAAGATTATATACCAAAATGAATCTAGAAATATAATAATTAAATTTAACTTTTTATGCTTAATTCTTCAACTTCCTACATACAATATGCAAATATTGAATAAGTTTCAAGATTGATGAAACACAATAAAATAATTAAAATTTCACTACAACCATTACTTCTAAGAGTACTTCCATAATAACTACTTTAAGTATCATAAATATAATAAGTAGATGAGTAAATAGCTTAAATGAAGAATGCATAAGAAAATGTATAAGTAACAACTAAAATAGTTCTTAATTGTTTATCTCTTAATTTTTTGTGAGCAGTATATGAATATAACAAAGATAAGCTCATTATTATAACAAAAATATAAAAAGGTAATTTAAAATGCCCATTCAAATTATATGAAAGCCTTATAAAGTCATTCATATAAGAGCATAAACATAAAAGTAGAGCTAAAGCTTAACAGAATAAGTAATATTTTAAGACTGACAAATTAAAATGTCTTCTCTCCATATAACCAGCTATACTTAGCTCTTTATGCTTCAAAGTATCCTACTTTTAGGTTATTAAGGGTTTAGGTAATTGTTGTTATTAATTTGGTAATAAAGGTTATTAAAGATATAACTGAGGTTGTTATAATTATGGGTACACAATAGGTTGTACTTGATTTTTTGTATAATACATTTGATTTTGTTATTACATTTAAGGAGGAAATACTATAATTGGATTAATTTGCTGTGCTTATGGTACAGCAGGTGCTTAATAATAAAATGCTGTTTGATCTTCTGGACTGGTCTTTGCTACTTAATTTATATCATTAGGAGTAGGTAAATCGGCCATTTTCAACTATGTGTATGTTTTCTATGAATAAATATATATTCAACATATAAAATATACGAGATATATTCATTTTTGCATAATATAGAAAAACATTTATATATATAAGAAATTATGATGGAATAAATTGGTGGATTTATTTAATTATCAATAGGTTGTGCATCAGTCCTAATAAAGTTAATATACTTTATAGTCTTTATCAATATAATTAAAGAAAATCAATATAAGAGAAAATCCATTTTCATTAATAGAGTTTGTGTGAAATTTTATCATTATTTTTCAATGTAAAAACTACTCAAAAATAATAATACAATTTATCTGTTATTATATTTATTAATAATTAATGCAATAGAGTTCATTTATCTAAAATAATTAGTAATATGGTTCGATGCAATTATTGAGAAAAGATGTTAAAGATTAGTTATTTACTAGATTTTAAAATTAAAAGAACACAATTAAGTAGGTAAAAGAAAAAGCTATGATTACATGGAAACCCTTAGTAAAGGCAAATTAATCTCCAAAATCTCCTAGGACATAATAAGTGACACCTTAATAATCTCCTTTAAGAGTCAAACAATATTCAAAACATTCTCCTGGAAGATTGTCTTTCTAAAAATCAAGTCTTGAATTGAATTCTGTTAATTCTAGGTAACGTCATGTCGTAATTTATTAGTTTGATGATACCGAAGAAAACACTGAATGAAATTGTACCAGTCGAAAAAATTTAAGATTTAGTTCAATCATTAAAGAGTTAGAATTATGGTGCTTCAGATTTATATATGTAGGAACTAAGAAAATTATCAATTTTAATCTAAAATGAGTGAACTTAAAATAGTATCATTAATATTCATAATTCTAACAATAGCATTTTTTGTTTTATTGATTCCATCAGCAGTTAATCACCTTTTAGTTTATTTTTTGTATATGCTTGTCTAGACTCTCTTTCCAACCTTTATTATTTAATATTATTTCTTTACATATCTGCTTGAAATTTAATATCAATTGGAGCTTAAGGTGTCTTTCTCTTTGAATGTTATCGAATTTCTGAAAGATAGTCTCGCCTTAATGTTGACGATGATGATTAATCCACAACCATCTAAGATTAAATTCTAGGTCTTCTTGGTAATTTTCTTATCTATCTCAAGTAGAGATTTCCTAAAATTTTAGAATCACTTTTCATTGGAGAGATTTCATTTTTTGATTTTTGATTGATTATTGTATGACTTTCTAAATCAATACTATGAGATATTTTAGGCAAAAAGTGTTCTTTAACAAAATGATCATAAGCAAATCTTTCTTTTATTTGTCTTCGCAACCTCTCTTCTTTTTCTTTTCTTTTTTATTCTTCTTCTCTTATCATTTAAAGTTAGGATTGATATGTTCTGCTCCTTAATCTAGATTAAACTTATTGAGAAAAGTAAGTGTCTTATAATTTCTTTTAAATTCTTAGATTTGCCAATTATTATTAATGTTCTTCTTATTATTTCTTATAATAGCTTTAATGTTCTTTTATTTCATCAGTTGTCAATACCTTAAACTTTTCCTTTATTTATTATAATTTTTATTTGATTTCTTCTTCTCTCTACTCATCTAACTACTTTTCCTATGTTTCTTATTATAATTTTTCTTGTCTAAATTTCTCTAATAATTATTTGACTCTTTTATTTTATTCCTTTACCTTTTAGTTTCTCTCATCTGATTTCAATTGAATAAATGAAATATTTAATTTGGATTACAATCTACGAGAATCCTAAAGTTCTTTTAATTATTATAATTTCATTGACTCTAATAACTAAAGGGATTGTTATTTGATTTTCTCTTCTTCTAAAAGTCTTTACGTGCGTCTTAGGAACCTAAATTAAAATTATACTATTCATCTCGAATTCTTCTCTCCTCAGTTATTTTTTCTATATATAAATGATGCTCCATTTAATAATAATTAATATTAAAAATAAATAACTTAATTTTTATATAAATAAAATAAAGTATACATGAGCACTTAAATTTTTAAGTTCTCCTCATTTTTGTTTTTACTCAGCAGGAAAACATCTTTGGAATGAAGACAAATTAAATCTAATTGGAATTTATTAATATTTTGATCAAATAAGCAAGATCCTACAAAATGAATTGTAATATAAAATATTTCATCCGTGGAATATTTTTTTAGAGAATAAAATTTTGAATTTTTATATAAATTTTTTTATTTATCAAATTAAATAAACTTAAAGTAAAGCCATCTCCAAAATTTATAATTTAGCTTCTCCATAATTTCCATAAAAATATGAATTAATTATTTACTACCCACTAATTATGGTCACAAAAGTGTAAATAAATTTGAAGTTTACCTAAAGATTAAATCTGAGGAGATTTATAATTTAATAAAGAAAATACTATTTGGCTATGGATAATAAATTGAAGAGCTGGGGTGAATAAATTTTGATCCAATATTTAAAGAATTAAAAATAATAGCTCTTGTATGATAAATTTAATGATTTTATTGATTAATAAATTGTAATTAGTCTTTAAAGACTGAATAAAAAAAGGATTTAAAGATAGATTAAGGCAAATTTTGAAAAGAATAATTTTTTAGAAATTAATTATAATTTTAATAATAAAAATAAATATATAATTTTTAATTTAAAACATATTGAATATTTATTAAATTTAATGAATACACTTTTACTTATTAAATTATTAGAAAATCTTGAAGATTAAAAATTATTCAAAATAATTAATGCTATTTGATTTATAAAATACATCAAGCTAAAGTATTAGTATAATTTAAATAAATTCAATTGAAGAAAATTAATGCTTATTAATAAATTTTAGTAACATAAATATTAAAATATGCTACTCATTCTTCTTTGCTTTTATTTTTCTCTGTTTTCTCACTTTTTTTAGCTTATGATGATTTCTTCTTTTCTTCATTTTCAGGATTTTATTTTGTAGAATCCTTTTTTTAATTTTTTTCAGATAACTTCTTATCTTTTTTAGGATTAGACTTACAACAACCTTAAAATTATAAATACAATTACTATTTAGTATTAAAACTATTGGCACTAAAATGAAGATAGCGAAAATCAAATATTCTTTATTTTTTAAAAGTATGTGTTTCAATGAAAACTTGGTGAGGTCAAATTATTCTGTTATGGGTACTTCATCCAATTAACTTAATATTTCTTAATCAATTTCTTCAGACTCTAATTATTCTTATCTTCTCTTTTCAACATCAGGTCTTTTTTACCATTAAGTCTATATTAATTCTTCAACATCCTTTATAATTTCAATTAATAAGTTAAGTTTAGCCAATTCTTTCTTATTCATGAATCTGTCATATTAAATATTTTCATGGAGATGTGTATATTTCTCTAAATCTAATTCTTAATTTTGTAACCCATCAAGAATCTTAAATGATAAGAAATCATTATTACTCTAGTGACTTCTCTTTATTTGACATTAATTAAGCATTTGTCAAGTGCTGCTGCTTAGACTATATAAATGGCATCATTCTAATCATAATTTTGTTCCTTAATCAATTTTCCTATTAATGGACTGGCTTAATGTGATTAGACCTGCAGTATATATCTGGAAAATATAACACAAGCAGCCTCTCTTAATTCTTCTTCATTAGTTTTGGCGGAAACTAAAGTGAAAAGAATGATGTAAATAAAATTGATCATATAATAATTATTTATGTAATTTTTATTGATACTCATTTGTCTGTTAAGTTTCTAAATGCTGATTTGATCTCGTCTACGAATTTAGTGAAATAATTCATTAATTCTTATTTTGGTTATTTTGGATCCTATAAAGAAGAATCATAATAATAATATATACCTCAAATTTCATTTAAGATAATTTGACAAATTATGGTTTAGTTTGATTTAAAATTATATTCCAAGTAATTTTAGCATCTCCTGATGATTCAAGAATGGCTTTCTTACCACACTCGAAAAATGAGACAATGCATCTCATCATACCAATAGTTTTATAGAGTGGACAATTATAATCGTATTTACTGAAAGCATCTTATTATAAGAAATCTTCTCTTATGATTTTAGCAATCTAATAATAAAAATTATTGAATATACTTCTAAAGACAACTTTTAATCTTCAGATAAAGAATCTCTACCAACCAATTAGACAATTTCATTTAATTCAGATTCTTCATGCAAAATTTATTTGAACATAACTCTCAAATGTGTAAATTCAGGATCAAATGAATTGAAATATGGTTCAAGAATCTTTTCGTAATTAGAGTTTGATATGGTCCAATTTACAGATGGGAAATGCTTTCTCTAAGCTAATTTCTTATCTAATCCCCAAAAGACTTGAACTATAGTGAGTGTAGCAGTTGTAACTGGATCAGTAAAATCCTAAAGATAATAAATATTTTTACTCCTCCTGGAGGGGAAACTGCTCCTACAATAGTAATAGATCCTTCTCTATCAGGTGAACCTCTGCATCTGACTCTTCCAGCTCTTTCATAAAATTGAGCCAATTTGGATGCCAAATAAGCAGGATAACCTTAATCTGCAGGCATTTCAGCCAATCTACCAGAGATTTCTCTTAAAGCTTCTGCCCATCTTGAGGTTGAATCAGCCATCATAGATACATTGAAACCCATATCTCTGAAATATTCAGCTAAAGTGATTCCTGTATAAATAGAAGCTTCTCTTGCTGCCACAGGCATATTTGAAGTATTAGCAACTAAACATGTACGTTACATAATATTTTCTTCTTTTCCTTTCATTTATATAGTTAATTCTGGGAATTCACTAAGCACTTCAGCCATTTCATTTCCTCTCTCTCCACATCCAACGTAAATGATACATTCAGAATTGGAATATTTAGAAAGTGCCTAAGAGATACAAGTCTTTCCACATCCAAAGGCTCCTGGAATACAACATGTACCACCTAACACAGATGGATAGAGTGCATCAAGAACTCTTTGTCCTGTAAGGAGTGGAGTGTTACCCTATAATTTCTCGATAATAGGTCTGGGTTGTCTAACGGGCCAGAAGTGACTCATTCCATATTAATGTTTTTTGCCATCTAATTCAACTTCTATAACTTTGTCTTTTAATGTATAATTGCCCTCAGGTGCAATATAAGTGACTCTTCCTTAGACTCTTGGTGCTGTCAATATTTTGTGTTCATCAAAGAGATTATTTTCAAAGACTGAACCATAGATATCACCACCACTAATCATTGAGCCTACTTTGATTGTAGATGAAGGTTTGAACTCCCAAACTCTATCTTAATCTAATGCTGGAATATCAACACCTCTTGGTACAAAAATGGAAGCGGATTGATCAGCAATGACTTACAAGGGTCTTTAAATTCCATCAAAAATTTGAGTCAAAATACCTAAATATTATATTTATGGATACCTGGTCCTAATTCAACTGAAAGTGGAGACTTTGTTCTCATAACAGGATCACCTACTGTTAATCCAGCTAATCATTTATAAATAAGTTTTAAGTACATGTATCTTCATAACACTGAATAGATGCATTATCACCTTCTAATTTAATGATTTCACCAACCAATTTATCCCAACCAACTTTCACTAATTCAAACATCTTAGCTCCTGCCATTTTCTCTGCCACAACCACTATTAAATTAGAGAACAGTATTTACATGGACCAGCCACTTTGAATACTCTACCAAAGCTACTCTCTTTTTCCTGCAACTCCTCCAATTGAGTCTTGCGCTATTTATTCATATCTTTTTTAATAAAATTTATATTAATGATCATCACTATTCACAACCTAAAACTGGAAAAGATTTCTGATAATTCTCTATTGGCTATTGGTTTACATCTTTCAAAATTCTTAATTTCTTTATCTTTATATGCTTCACTATGAAAACATTCATAAGTTTTTTATTTCCAATACATAATCCCATATTCTCATTATTATAATTATCTAATTACCAAGTCTTTTTAATGCTCTTTCTGATCGTTCAGCATTCTTTTACATACATTCAATGTATTTCTACTCATTATCTAAATTCTTATTCAAACATTCCTTCTCTTTTGTCTATATCATCTTTTACAACATATCGTAATTTTCTTTAACAACTGGAGCAATTTCATTTTGATACTTATCTAATTCAAAGTAATCACCAACAGTCTTTAAAACACCTGCCATTTTATATTTATTATTAGTTATTAAAATATAATCATTTAAATCTCTTCTAGATATTTGAAATATTATTGTTTGTTGTACTCTTTTTAGTCTCCAATTTTGATTTAGGCCTATCAATTTCATTGATTGTCTATAATTATTCTGTTTCTATAATTGTTTTTCCAAGAGAAGATTTAGTTCCACTAGTATCATAATCTACAGAAGCATTCATTACTCTTTGTCTTTTTATTAATGGACTAACTGATTGAATTGGAGATTGTCCTGAATTAGGTCTCATCTTCTAAACATTAGGAATTCGTTTCACATTTGATTCATAAGTTGACACACTTTATTATTATCTAGTTTATATTGTTGCTTTCTTTATTTCATCTTAAGATTATATATCTTTTTTATTTGCAATTATGAAACCAAATAGATGTAACTATGGATCTATGAACTTTTCTATTCTATTCTTTGCTCCATTATTGCTTTTCTCAAACTTAATAAATTTTACACCCTTTTTCCATACTTTGTCTCTCTAATTTTCAAAATACCAACATAAAGGATAATTTAAATCATTATCAAATGGTATTTAAGCATTTTTTATTGTTTCAAAGATTTCTGGTAAATTCTTAGACTAACTCAATAATGATTATGGTATTTTGTTTACACAAATCTAATTTCATTAATTACTTACTTTGCCATCCATAGGTAATATATTTGAAATCTCACAAAATCCTTTTTAAACTGTAGGATTGTCGAATACAAGTTCACATAAAAAAGCTGCTGAAGTCTTTCTCATTATTTAGTTTTTATCCTCAAAATTTGTTAATATTTTTTGAACATCTGTAGGTGTAAGTGATTGAAATATCTCCTCTTAATGTTGTTTACTATCATTCATATGACTCATTAATAACATTAGCACATTTACTCTATTAGTTTTTGCATTGACTCAATCAAAAGATCAGGCTCTCCTTTCGTTTACTTTTTCATTTTTAATATAAATGAATAACATTAACACTGAAATACTCAACTTTCTTACCTACAGTAAAAACCTTATTACTAATCAACCTTATCAAATAACCTTCAATGGAGATACTGTGTGTATGTTCAAAGTAATTTCAATGGCTACATTTAGCTTTTTAATTGTGAACGAAACCTCAAATACATTTTAAGAATCAGATTGAATGCTACAGTGGGATGGATAACCAAGACTAATAGACTTTGTGGATTCATTATCCATGTAGGTAACAAACAGAAAAAGTTTTATAGTGACGATAGTTCTATTCTTGTGAAGTAAAAAATGTCTTTTTCTTAGATTTAAAGAGTTACTTGCTTGTAAAGTAAGTTTTTATAATGTTTATGAATTCTATGACTTTAAAGAGTAAATTGGAAAAGGTGCTTCATCTAGAGTGGTGAAAGCTTACTGCAAATTTACATAGAAATTTGTTGCAATCAAAATAATTGATAAAACCACTCTTAAACCTTTAAATTATGTACCCAATCCATTTATATTTCTAGGCTTCTTTAGAATAAGAAATCGAAATATTATTGAAAGTCAAAGACTCCATATACTGTTCTCAGATTATCGAAATTTATTAGAGCCAATATGCTTTCTATATTGTTATGAGATTATTGAGTGGACAATCATTGTCTACTTATCTAGAAAATCAGTAAGGAGAAATCTAAAAGAAATTAACAAATAAACAAATCTTGTAAATCATGAGAAGACTACTAGAAGGAGTAAATTACTTACATTCAGTTGGAGTACATAAATTTTATTTAAATTATAATTTAGATCATACACAGAGATATTAAGCCTGACAATTTGATGTTAGGTGAATAAGATAATTTTGATACAATCACCTTAATAGATTTTGGATTATCTACATTTACTAAGATCAACAGATACTTATTTTATAAATGTGGTACTCCAGGATATGTGGCTCCAGAAATTTTAAATTCTGCAGTAAGAAATCAATAATCAGAGAGTTGTGATATCTTTAGTTGTGGATGCATCTTTTATAGATTGTATGTTTAATAAATTTAATAATATAGAATAACAGGTAAAAATGTATTTAAAGGTCGAACATATGATGAATTACTCCATAAAAATAAGTAATGTTTAATTGACTTTAATGTTAAGTAAGAACAACATAGTAATCAGAATGCAATAAAATTATTACATTCAATGCTTAGGAAAAATCCTGATGAAAGAATAACAGCTAAAGCAGCATTACAAAGTAGTTACTTTTATAATGAATCTCTCTTCTCAATCAATGATGAAAATTGGGACTCATCTCCTCTTGTTAATCAGCTACCTCAATTTACGGCTACGATTGGCAGAGTATTTTAGTTGACAGCTCGAGATTTTACCAGTTAGAAACTAATCATTCCAAAATAGAGAGATAATAATTTCTATTCCCCCTAATTAAGTCCTATTAGAAAAGATTAATAATGAATATTTAAATTTTGATATCATTTTATTATAGTTTTGTTCTTGATTATACTTTCTATTGATTATCTGGTTAATGGATGATAAAATGCGTAATTCTCTTGGTACCATTAAGTTGCAGTTTCTCTATTAAATATAATAAAAATAACTATTACTTATTTAAAGCTTTATAAATTGGATTAACCATTTTCATTCTTCCTACTAAACCAACAAATTTTCTAATCTTTTATAAATTTGTTGTATCCTTAGCATATTTTGTAATAATAGACAAAGTATACCATCTAAACAATAATTCGGCATCAGTTAAATCACTAAGATGATATGCATCTTCTAAAGATACCATAATGGCATCAGTAACATCTTTATTTTTATCTTATAAGGTAGATAAGAATAATTATTTTTGATTTGATTTAAAATTATCAAAGATTTGATAATTTTATGGTTTAGTTCCTTTACCTTCAATCCAAGAATTTACTAATTCGAGTACATCTTTGGATGCAGGATTCTCAAATTTTTCTTCAATAGGTGGTTAACCATAATCATAAACCCATTTATTATAGACATTATCTATACTTTTTTTGACACTTAAGAATTCTTCACTACTCAAATTTATCTTTAACCAAAATATCATAAATCTATAGAAGTCATTTTCATCTGCACTCTTATATTCATATTCTTATAACCAATCCTTTAATAATTATTAAAATCTTGTTTCATTGATTTGTTTTTCAAGATAATACAATAATTAAAATCCTCTTTCATAAGGAATAGTCTAAAATATAATATTATATTATTACACTAAAACTATCATCAGCATTATGATTTTCAGTCTTGGGATGTAAACTAGCATATGATTTAATAAAGTCATCTTAACTTGAATTGAATTCTTTTATTAATGCATTCATTTCATTATTTCCAACTTAAGAATTAACATGAACTAAATTTATATCTCCAAACAATGTTTTAAGTCCTTTTCTTTCTAGAAAAACACAAAATCCTTCATTAATCCACATATTTGACCAATTATTACATGTGACTGTATTTCCAAACCAAGAATGAGCAATTTCATGAACAGCCACACTTACTCCACTCTTATCTCCAACTATTATTGTAGGATTAGCAAATGTTAAGAGTGGATTCTCCATACCTCCAAAAGGAAATGATGCTGGTAATATTACTATCTTATATGCTCCCCATTTATATTCACCAATATAATCTTCTAAATACTGTACATATTTATCTAAATCTTCTAATTCCTTTTAATATTTCTCAATATTTTTAGTTTCAGATATTACAGCTGTTCTTGTTCCAGTAGATCTTTCTTCCACTGTACCTGCAACAATAGCTATCAAATAAGCAGGAATCTTGATATTCAATTCAAATTAAAAGACATTAGCTATGGAATTCATATTATAATTGTTCATCAATTAGAATTTTTGTGTTTACAATCTATTTCCACTCATAAACACATTTATTAATGGAGATTAAGTTATTACTGTTGCTGAATAAGTAAATTTAATGCTTGGTGTATCCTATAATGGAATCATAGATCTACAATTGTTTGCTTCACATTATGAAAATAAATATGGAGCCTCTAATCATAATTTATAATTCCATATACTTTTATCATCTGTTTATGATGGATCCATAAAACTAAGTGCTCTAGCATCTTCACCAATTTGATATTTGATTCTAAATTTTACAATTTCACCATATTTGTATACTTATCCTAATTCAATAACCAACTTCTCTCCTTATTCTTCTTTCTGAATTGGATCAGATTCTACATGATATTTCAACACTTGACCATTGTTTGGATAATAAACAAACAGGATATTCATTTTATAAATGTCCAAATGAACCTACTTTAGCACACTTCTCTTACTTCAGTCAATTAACTGGCATAAACTTTGAATGTGTATTCTACAGATCCATCAATTACTTTATCATTAAGATTCAAGAGCCATTCTATATGAAGATGTTGTGTTTTCACATCTTTGTAATTTGAGAAAGTGTTTTTATCTACATCTACACAATATAGCATATGACAAAGCAAAAATAAGATCACTAATTTCATCAAAATTAATAAATTAATATATATATATTACATCAATCATTTTTCATAATTAAAATGTGCTATTGGAATTAAAGAACTTTAATACTCATTTTTATATTAAATAAATAATCCAATATAATCTTGTCTTTTTATACTAATAGTAAATGAGTGAAATAAGTATATAATTAATAATTAAGAGATTTATATTAATAAGTAAACATTTGAATAATAAATCTAAAAAGAAAAAGGTTAGATTCTAATGTATATTATTTTCAATATGAAGAAATTCATACACTAATAATAACTAGTAATTCTATAATTATTCATAAAAATAATAATAATATTTTTATCTACAATCAATTTAATAATCAATTTTTCATCTCCAATAATTTTATTGCTAATATACTTTATATTTCCTAAGTAAGTCTTTTTATTTATCAATTAATATTTGATGCTCTCTCTAATTGTATTTAATTTTAGTAAATTATATAAATTTGAGGTAGAGAATAAATAATCTGGGAGAATAAATAATTATATAATATAAAGGAATCTAATTATTATTTCATAGATTAAAAAACATTATAAAACTCAAACAAATAATAATGTTGTAAATTTCTTGCATTTACAATAATGTAAATTTTCTTACTTTTAAAGGAGAATATTAAGCTCCATCTGAGGGTACTGCTGCAAGTTAATATATTAACTAATAATCATTTTTATCACTTAATTTAAACTAAAACCAATATTATTATTTTGCTATTAGATATTTCTAATAAAATTTGATAAATGGATTATTTAGATAATTTAATCCATTAGAAAATTAGTATAAATCAGGAAGTGTATTTTACAATAAATCTAATCCAATTGAAATGAATCCATCTGTTTTAAGTGTGATTGTAAAATTTAATAAATTTTCATCTGCAATAAAGAATTCTTAATTAACAGTTGGAATTTTTGGAATGATTTTTTCTATAGATTATTTTGAAATATCATATTGAGAAATAGAGACACTGTTAACATTATAATCATATGTAGTTGAATAGTCTGGATATATAAAGAATATATAAGTATATAATTGTGTTTAACTAACTTAGGGAATATAATATTATTTATTTCCATTGATCTTAGATTATGCAATCTTATTACAAAATATCCCATCTGCACTACTGACTTAATTCTATTTTAAAGATAATTAGATCATAAGATCACAAGCAATATCTCTCAAATTGATTGTCTGAAATTGTTGATATGATTATATTTATATCTTCTTTACAGTTTATTAACTATCACATCTAATAAATGATATTGCTGATTATTATTATTAATATATTTCATCTTCACATATAGCCATTATATTATAAATTGTATTGCTCCTTAATCCAATTAGAGTTATATCTTTATTTGAATTATCTGCCATTTAAATTGATCCATATCCTTCATATGTATTAACATTTGTATATTGCTTTCCTTATTTACTTAATAACAATTATTCTTTTATTTTAGTAATATCTAATGCTTAATTTTAATATGTATAACTATAATAAAGCATTGATTTTTTTCCACAATTAAATGTAAATACTCCTTATGCTCCAATACAAGTCCCACTATTCTTATTGACTATTGTAGAAATAGGAATAGATTATTAATTCGCAACCACCTTTAATGTTATTGTACTAATTAAATAATAAGTTGAGTTCACTTAAAATGATATAGAAATAGAAGTGTCTACAGCTGCATTTAAAGCAGATACTTCTATAAAAGCAAATCTTTCTCTATTTTTTTGAATAATTGTCTTACTAATTGTTTCATAAAACATTTTAATCTATAAACCTATAATTGGTATACAACTAATGAAATCTAAAGTTATTTATCTTTTCCCTCCGACTGGAATTGTATTAAAATCAGTAGATGGAGTTATTACACATTGTTTATTAGATGGTGAAAATGAAATTACATTCTAAGAGAACTAATATTATGTATTTTTTGTTTTAGATAAACTTAGAGTAGTTCCACTATTTTCAGTTATTCCAACATAAAAGCTAATATATTTACTATTTATTCTTGCAATTGGGAATTGAGGACTCATAGGCAAATTACCAGATAATTAAAATTCACTCTTAAATACACTACCATCTGAAGGCCAAATTCTTATTTCTTTATTGTATTATCCAAAAGTTATTGATTAATCTTATGATGTTGATCCACTATCTGGATTATATATCTACCAAACTAAATTTATTTAACACTTAGCAATAACAATGAGTAAATATAAATATAGCATAAATAATTAATTAATAGATGATTTTATGTTTAATTCCATCTCAATGTTTTATAAACAAATTGGAAAAAGAGTCATAAAAAAGTATCAAAAACATTTCACAAGAAAGCATAGGATAATTACTGAAGATTAAATTAAAGAATTTAAGGAATGATTGTTTTATATTCTGATCTATTCATCAATTTTCAAAAAAATAACTATATCAGAGTAGGAATTATAGATTTTACTCTTAGAAATATCTGTTGATACTTTCTAAAAATTCATCAAATACTAGATTTTACTCCTGATAATTAATTCCATAAGATTTATATTTAAATGAGTAAGTATATGATTTAGAGTTTTAATCTATAATAATCTACTAAAAATGAAAAAGAAATGTATGGAAAACCCTTAATTAGATATAAACTTGAATTAAATAAACTATTAACCAAAATTAAGTAATTATTATATAAATCAAAAAAAAGAATAGTAAAAATATTTAAATTGAATAGAAATACCTAAATATTATTATATTTTTATTAAATTAGTGGATGAATTAAGGTCTTAAAGGAAGCATATTGATTAAGATAAATTTTATTTAAATATATAATAATTTAAAACTTTAAGTAATCTAAAAACATAGTTAAATTCTAAATTTTTGAGGAATTTTAGTTTGAATCTAAAAGTGATGATTCTCTTAATGTGGTGGTGGTGAAAATAAAAAATGACTCTTACTGTAAAAAATATCAATTCTTATCTTATATTTGACTTCTAGAAAAATAATAAAAAATTACTTTTTTGTATTTCTTATCTTATACTTTTTCTAATATTGTTATATGCTGTAAGACTCATTCTTTAAATATATATATAATTAGTTGCAGTCATAAAATATGAAAATTATAAAATAAATAATAACTCTTTGATGTAACTGAAATTTATTTTAAAAGTCAGTTACATCACAGATTAGTTAATATTATCAATTGAGTATATTGGAATTAAATAGTTATTATAATATGGTTTTTACACTTAATCATAATAAAATTGAGAATACTTCTTATATTGATTCTAGTACAATAATCAAATTTCTTTAGATATCACATGATATAAAGTTTTCTGGAACAGTTATACTCAAAACAAGACAATTAGAATCCTTCTTCTCAAGTAAGATCTTTGATCAGTTAAAAAATTTGATATTTTTATAGGCAAAGAAACGCAAATTATTTCATTAATTAATTTTACAAAACCAAACATCCTCAATGTAGAATTATGCATTTCCTTACCCAACAATGTATTGTTATTATCCAATGCAAACTTGTACTCCCTACATTGTCTATCCATAATAAATAGTTATTTAAAGTTAATTTTAGCCAATTTAATAAGAAGTATCAAATTAGAAGTGTTTTAATATCATAACTAAACAACATTTAGAGGAAACAAAACCTCCAGAAGTTTAAGATAATTACGATTACAATCTGGATGAGGAAGATTAAGATGAAAATGATGAAGATTATAAAGTTATGCATTTAAACGAAAATCTAGAGAAAAATAAGTTAGTTAATCAATTGAATGGTTCAACTAATTTATAGAAAAACTATGCCAAGGCAATCCTTCTATATATTAAATAACAGAATCCAATTATTATAAAGGAATTAGGCTAAAAAAAAGCTATTATTTTTTATAGAGTCATTAACAAAATCCAAAATAAAATCAGAAATTTAACACATATAAGGAAATATACTAGAGATGAAGATTTCATTAGACTTTTTAGAATATTATGGTAAAATATTAATTAATAGTATTTAGTAATAAGTTTTTGAGAAAAGATTGTGTTAGCTATATTTATAACTCAAAAATCTAATAGAAAACCAGTCATTTGAAAGGAAAACATATTATTAAAAAAAATCTAATCAAAATCTGATTTCTTTAAGTCTATAATTATTATAAGAAGAAATTTATCTTTATTAAAATTCTATTTTTAAAATGATTATTAATCTAAATTATGAATATCATTATTTTAATCCCTTTCAATTTCAATTTTACAAAAACTACAAAAAAAAAATTTTTGATTTTAATATTATTTTCTTATCAATAAAAACGCAAAATTCATTATAGCAATACTATATAAAACTAAATTGTATACTCTATTAAATATTAATACCTTAATTATGTTCTATTCTTAATAACCTTATATCTACTTTCCATTCTATTAAACCCAAATGTGCTTTCCAATCTACTATTGTTCCATTCAACCTTTAAATCAACAATTACCTGAAAATTAGGAAAATCTATTCTAAAATTAGGCTAATTACAATCCTCAAAACAATCAAATTTATGATACTGATTAAGAAAAGAGTTATAATTCTTCAATTGAAGATGACAAAATGGACTTTGCTATCAACAAAAATAAATAACCATTTAAATTAACAAAAAAGATTACCAAAGTCCTTGATACAACCAATTTTCATAAGAATTTTGCTAAAGCAATCGTTGCTTATGCTATAAGACAACAAATTATCATTTTAAAGATTTTAGGTGAATAGAAAGGATAAGAATTCCTTGAACTTATTTAATCCCTAAAAAATAAACTTAGCAATTTGACACATCTTATCAAACATACATGCAACCCAGACTTTTTAAAAACCTTTCGTATTCTTACGTAAAAACATATTATTAATTTTTAGTATGAATTTTCTTAAAAAAGAATCTATCCAATATATTTACAACTCTAAAATTTAGCAAAAGTCTAATCATTTAAGGCATAAGAATATCATCAAAAAAACTCTTTTAAGAATTTGAATCTAAATTTATTATATTCTTTATTCATCTATTCAAAACAAAATAAACATTAATTCTGATTTAAATTACCTATTAATTAAAATTCATATATTAAATTTCGATACGTCATAAAGAAATTTAACACAATAATTTATAAATAAATCTATGATATTTTTGATCTGATATAAATTTAAGAACTCTAACAAATAAAGTGTAAACACATATAAATCTATATTTTTATAACATGATATATCATATTTATAATCAAATATATTTCTAAATATAATCTTATCTATCTTTAAATATTAAAAAATATTTATAAACATGAATAAATTTGATTTAAAAGCATACAAATTTTGGAATATAGTAGAATAATCATATATATTCTATTCTCAAATTTTCCTTTGAATTTCTTTACTTTTTCTTAGGAAAATTTATTATCAACTTTATTAATACACATATTTTGTACCTATATTGAAGGATGATAAAAATGAAGATAAAACAATAATAAAGGGAAATAAAAATGAGATTGATTATGATATTCTAGATTTCTTATCATAATGAATAAAGTAATTAATAATGAATGGATAAAAAAATATTTAAATTAATAATGTGTATATATATATATTAATTTAATAAATGACAGAATATTTAAAAAAAAGACAAGCTAATGAATCATCTTCAGCATCATCTGCTGAATCACTATCATTTTCATCATCATCTTCTTCACCTTCATCATCATCATCATCATAATCTAGATCAAGGAGTTCAAGAAAACATTAATAATTAAAGAAATATCAAAAGAGTAGTAAGATGTAAACAAAAAATTAATTGTTAAAGGCTTATGCTTCATTAGATAAGATGAAGCAAAAATATTTATAAAAGATAGGTTATACTGATTAAGACAATCCTTATGGTGATAAAAATTTGGCTAAGTCTTTAATATGGAAAAGTAAATTAGATGAAAAGGGTTTACATGGAATATCTGAACATGAATTGAAAGAGAAATTAGATGATATGTTAAAAGAAATAGAAAAACTTAAATCATAAAGGTAGAAGAAATAAGAAGAGAAAATAAAATTAGAAGAAGAAAAAAATAGATTAAATAAAGAAAGGTAAATGGAAAATTATAAATAATGGATTGATAATGAAGATGCATTTTTTGAGAAAGTTGAAAAGTTAAGACCATTAATTAGAATTTAATAATAAAGGGAACTTCCTTTTGATAAATTTGTTAGAATTTGTTGTATTTATAAAGTAATATATATACTTATAATTTTAGGGTTAAATTGGACATTAAAAATAATTAGAATAAATAATGCATAATCCATCTTAATTTATTAAGACTTTAGGTCATGAAGCTCAAAAAGTAATTCTAAATGAATCAAAAAAATAATTTGCTATAGAAATAGATAATAAAAGTAATTTTTAAGATTATTGGGCATCTATAATATCAATAGCATAAGCAGAAGTAGAATGGAGAGAATAAAGAGAGAAAGATCCAAAATGTCCTAAGTTTGGAATATAGAGTGAATTCAAATAGGATATTAAGAAAATGTTTGAAGGCAAATCTAGAGAAGGATTAGATGAATTAGAAGGAGAAATTAATTAGATGTTAAATTATGGAGCTGAATATAAAATAGATTTTGATTATTGGGAAAAGATTTTAAAGAAATTAAAAGTGATTAAAGCTAAAACAATATTAAAAAATTATTATGAAGTTTTTTGTAAAGAATTAAAATATAAGAGTATGAGGTAAGATAATTAATTGGTATTGGATGTAGGAATTAATACAAAGGATATTTAAATTAATGTAGAAAGAAATGCTACAGAGAAATAATATTATTAGGTTGAAATTTAAGAATAAACAGAATATGAATGTGTTAGTCCAGATCCTGTAGATTGTGATGATTATATATTGGAAAATGATGATTTAAAATAATTAACAGATTAAAGAATAACAATTTTAACTGAATTTCTAAATAATGCAAAAATTGAATTAGAAAAATAATAATTGAAAAAGAAAAAAGAAAAGGAAAAAGAAAAAGAAAAATAGAAAGGTAAATAAAATAAATTACCTGAATTTTCAATTCCAAATAATAGAAAATTAGAAGATAATGTTGAAGGTTTAGATATTTTAGCTCAATAAATGTTTGAATATGAAAGATCAAAACCATTAGAAGAAGATGAAGTATATTTTAATGAAGTTGTACCTTAAAGACAAGAACCATCATGGAGTTAAAAATATAAATTAAAACGTCCTTAGTATTTTAATAGAGTTAAAATGGGTTTCGATTGGAATATGTATAATAAAACACATTATGATGTTGATAATCCTCCACCTAAAACTATTTAAGGATATAAATTTAATGTTTTTTATCCAGAATTAATTGATAAAACTTAAGTATTATTTTTAATATATATTAAGGCTCCTAAATATACTTTAGAAACTTGTGAAAATCCAGATTATTGTATTATCAGATTTATTGCAGGCCCACCTTATGAGGATTTAGCATTTTAAATTTTATGCAAAGAATGGGATTATTCAGATCGTATGGGATTTAAATCAGTATTTTCTAGAGGCATCCTTCATTTATGGTTTAATTTCAAGAAACCTCGTTATAGAAGATGATTTAAATGTTATTTTTAATTAGTTGAAAATAATTATAAATTTGTTATGAGTTTTGCTAAAAAGCCTTTACCTATTAAAGGATCGAAAAAATTAGAAAAATCACCACTTGAATAAATTCAAATAATATTAGGAAATGAATATACAGTTGAATAGATATAAAATGTCTTAAATTAAACAACTGATATATAGAATGCAATAAAAATATTGAAATCAGAAAGGGAAGCTTTATAAAACAATAGTAAAGTACTAAAATTTTAGTAGTTAAATAAAGCATAATAAATCTAAAAACGGTTGAATAAATATAATAGTAATTGGATAAAAAAAGTGTTAGGAGAATAGGATTTAGATAAGAATAAAGAAATGGTAAATATGATATAAATATAAATGGAGAAGATAATTATAGATTCAGAATTACATAAACAAATAATTTATAATTTTAGTATTCCATCTCGTGATCATTATAATAATAATCAATCATGAGATATATTAATACTCAATTAATAAGTTTCTTTAAATTTTTAGATATAAAATAATAATTTTTGTATTTATGACTTTTATTGTATCAATTGAAAATTAATTTATGTATTAGGTAATGAAAAATGGACAACAGGAAATTTATAAAAGCGGATAATTAGAATTTTATTTTTGAATTCAAGACATTAAATTACAAAATATATTACTTAAAATTTCGAAATTGCTGAAAAGATGATAAAATTAATTAGTTTTACTAATAATGAATAGGATGGTTATGTAAATACACATTGAATAAGATAAATAAAATGTGTTAAAGTAGAAAGTGATTATTTTATCGTGTAATAATAAGTTTTTATATTAATATTTTATCGTAAAGTCAAGGATATTATAATATGATAGACAGATAATTTGTGAAAGTATAAGCAATTCATTGGATGTCATTTTGTTACTCTGTTTATTTCTATATCTAAAATAGAAATACAAGTAATTTATTATGTTTGGTAATCATATGCCTTTTATCCCCCTTTGTTATGCTATTTCATTATGCTAAATTGAGAGCGAAAATGATTGGAACTATATTCTGTATTCAAATAGATTTGATCTGTCTAATAATTCTGAATTAAGAAAACTTAAACCATGCTTCTTATGCTTAATTAATGATATGTTAATACCTTTCAAAAGATCTTATTAAGTAAGTGTAGACATAAAATCAGCTTTTAATAAATCCTATGTCTTTTTATTATGGCATAACAATACTTGTATGTGCATTTTAGTAAATATATTTACATACTGTGAGTGAGTTTCACTCAGAATAACCACAATTAATGTTGTGTTTATTACTTTCCTTTTAAGAAAGCATAGCATTAAAAAAGAAAAATTAAAGTTAATTGAATACTACAATTCCAAATGAAGGTGGACCAATGTAGAAATTGGATAGTTTAGCAAAAAGAGTAGTTTCTATGGTTGATAGTGATAAAAATTTTATATTAGATTAATCAAAGGAGAGTGCAAGAATACTTTGCAATAATTTTAGCAATATTTAATAACATTATATCAATTCAGAAATTATTTTTAATTCTCTTGACTTCTTACAAGAAGGATTAATAGTATTAGATGTATAAGATGAAAAAACTCAATCTTACAAAATATAATATGTAAATAATGCAACAAGAGTATTATTTGGTCGTGAATAAGAAGGAGAGATTTTATATATTTTAGAGAGTTTAAATACATTACATATTTAAAATTAAGATATCTAAGATGATCCTAATTCAAGAAGAGAATCTATTTAATAAAGATTATCAAATTTACAACATTCTCGTATTTGTAAATCTATCTTTCTTTAAAAAGAATTGTTTTGTTCAGTGAAATAGCCACTTTTGGATTTTTAAACGTTTGACAAATATCAAACAATTAGTATGAAAGATTTACTTGAAAAAATGATATAAGCAAGAAAAACAGATGTTATAACAGTGAATACTCATTTTAGTGGTAGTATTACATTAAACACTAATAAAAATATAACAATTTCATAATCTAATACAGGATGTTAATCAAGACATGATTAAAATGAAAGATTAATGGAATTCACTTTAACACTTACTAAAGATAGAAGTATATTAATAATTTGTAGAGATGTAACACATAGATAGAAAATAAGATATTTAAAAGATTATGATATATAAAAATCTAAGATGTTATCATTTGTAAGTCATGAATATAGACAACCATTAGGTTGTATTATATAGATGATTGAATGTGTTCTTTTATATCCAATTATAACAACTAATTCAGATATAACTGAAAATTTATAAGTAGCCTTGGATAATTCTAAATATATGTTAAATTTATCTAATGATTTATTAGATTTGGCTTAAATTAAGAATGGTAAATTCAAAATTAATAAAGTATCTTTTAACATTGAAAATTTAATTAATGATTGTATTAAAATGTTTGCATTAAAGGCTAGATTGAAAGATCTTTAATTATTAACTGAATTCAGTACTAATATTCCAAAATTTATAATATCAGATAAAAATAGACTAAAACAAATCATTGTGAATCTATTAAGCAATGCTTTTAAATTTACTTGTAGCAAAATAGAAATTATAATTTAGCTTTAGTCTACTTTTTTAAGAATAGGAGTTAGAGATGATGGTATTGGAATTAGTAATGAGGAACAATAAATGTTATTTAAGGCATTTTCTAAAGTAAATTCGGAAGAAAGCAAAAAATTAAATGAATAAGGTGTTGGTTTAGGATTAGTTATTAGTAATTAGATTGCCTAAACTATAGGATGTAGTGGTTTAAATATAGAATCTAGAAAAGATCAAGACAACCATTATTCTTTCTTTTATTTCGATATGTAAATTGAATTGCCTGAAAAAAGAAAAGTGGCAAGTTTTAAAATTCCTGAAATTTATCCTCTTTATTAAGAAGTTGATGAAATTATTACATTGAATCAGGAATAATAAAAAATAACTCAAGATATTATTTCGTATTGTTCTCATTATTTGATTGTTGATGATGAATGTTTTAATGTATTTGCCTTCAGTAAAATTTTAAAAGGAGTTCTGAAAAATAATAACCAATAAATTGATGTAGAATCTGCTCTTTCTGGTAAGGAGTCTATTGAAAAAGTGAAAAATAAAAAATGCAACAATTCATGTTAAGGATATAAACTAATATTTATGGATATAGAAATGCCCATTATGAATGGAATTCAAACTACTAAATAAATATTGGCTGTAAATCCTAGTTAGATCATTATTGGCTGTAGTGGCTATACAGATTACTAAGACAAAAAGAAGTGCTTAGATGCAGGAATGTCAGATTATATCACCAAACCTGTAAACGAAATAGAACTTCAAGAAATACTAAAGAGATATTTATGAATAAATATTATTATTATTTCTAATCGTTTTTCGATAACCCAACTATGTGAAATCATCTTTCATATAATTCACTTGATCCACCATAACGAGCTTGAATATCCCAAAAAATATTTTAAAGTGCTTGAGTTAATGACAAAGGTCTAACACATAAATCATCGATTGTTTTTGATCCAACTTAAACTACCATATCATCTCCATGTTTTAAGATATAATCAATATTGAAATACTTCCAGTTTGGAATATATTAAGCTAATTAAATAATTTTATTTACCAATTTTTAGTAATAATTATTTGTCAATATGTGCTAATTTTGGTGGTCTTTAAACAATATTGTGAAACATTTCATAACATTCTAACAAAGTATATACATGAGGACCTCCCAATTCATATGTTTATCCTATAGTCTCTGGCATTTTTAAAGCATTTAACATAGCTTATGCCACATCTTGAACAAAAATCTAATTTATTTATAAATTCTTACAGGTTGTCTTTTTGCTTAACAATTATCTGGTACAATATTAAAATTATGGAAATATCTCTTCTGAACTTACCAATGATAAGCAAAATCATCATTATCTCCAACCATTACACTTGGTCTGAAAATAGTTGCATTTGGAAAAGCATTTAATACCTATTTTAATTTTATGATCTACTTCCTATTCTCCTATATATTTAGTTTATAAATCTAATGATTCAGCATGAGGATTTGCACCACAAGCAGAAAAATGAATAAATCTGATCACTCCTGAATTTTTAGCACATGCTTCAGCTATTCTTTTAGGCACTGTTATATTAATCCATTCAAAATCCTTTCTATTTTTTAAATGCTTTCTTGGACCTAGTAAATTAACAACAACATTTGAATTTTTCATTGTCCACTCTATCATCTCTTTATTATCATAATTCATATCATGTAATAACCAATTTTAACCAGGTCCTGATGTTGTCTTTAATTCTCTTACATGATCTTCATAATTATATCTTCATCAAAATTTAATCCTTACTAGTGATTGTGAGGAAATATTAACTCTGATCCTATATTTCCAAGTATACCACCCATATATATTCCTGAAAAACTAGTACCTCCATGAATAGTTGCTCTTATTCCTGATGGAGTATGTTTACCACCCTTATCAAAAATATGTAATTTAGGTCTTTACAATACTCCAAAATTGAATTTCAATACTTTTTACATATAATATATATTAAAATTAAAACTAATTATTACAACCAGATAAAATAAAAAAAATTCTGCCTTTGGTGGGGGTCGATCCCACGACCTCGAGATTATGAGACTCGCGCTCTAACCAACTGAGCTACAAGGGCAGCTATGTTATTTCTTCACTCAAACTCCAGATATACATGTATATTTTTTATACTTAATTATAATTAGATTAATATTCATTTAATCCATCACTTTAAATACAATGAAATTAGATTTTTGTGACTTTAAGAATTATGACATATCTTTTAATCTTATTAAACATCAAATAACATATTGTTATTAAATTTTTTAAGTAAACTTAATTGATTATTGATGAATAATTAAGGGTTAAATTGTTTGATGCTTAATGTCAAAATGATCAAATCGATTAATATTTGAAATCTTTATGAGATTCAGATAATTTGTATAATTAGATATTATAATTAAATATGTATTTAATTTTCATTTCACTACTATTTTTATCATAATGTCAAGATCCTACAGTTTTTAAGGCATCTGACAAGGTCTCTTATATAATAAAGGATAAATTAAAGAGGCCAGCAGATTTGCTTTTCTTTACAGAAGGTCTAACTTTTATTGCAGATAATGTATTATTAGAGAGTACAGGTTTATATGGGGATTCTGAGATACATTATATTGATAATGTGTTTGATAAATAGAACATAGAGTTAAAATTACGTTAGCCTATAGGAAAACAGTATTTCGGTGAGGGATGTTCAAAAATAAAAAACAAAAACGGAAAAGATGAAATCTATATGTTGACTTGGAAAGAGAGAAAAGCATTTCTATTGAATAGCAATTTGTAGTTAGTTTAAGAGTTGGAAATACCAGGAGAAATCTAAGAAGGATGGGGAATGACTTCTTATAGAGATAAAAAAGGAGATGCAATGCTTTTAATTTCAGATGGAACAAATAGATTGTATCATGTAGATCCAAATGATTTTAAAGTAAAGAAGACTGTAAGTGTTCGTTTAGAGAATGGAAATGAGCTCAATAAATTAAATGAATTAGAAATTATAGGAGATGGTACAGTTCTAGCAAATATTTATGAAACTCCATTGATTGCTTAAATAGATCCACATGATGGAAAGCTATTAGATATACTTGACTTTACTGCATTGATCCAAGATGTTGAGAGTGTGAAAGGTAAAGGATATACTGATCCTATGTTTAACAAGGTGTTAAATGGGATAGCATATAGAGAAGGTAATCTAATATTAAGTGGTAAATAATGGCCTTATTTTTATTAAATTGAATTATAATCATAATAATAATCATGAATTCTTAAAATCCTTATTAACATCTGCTCGATCCCAATATTCCAGTTCCAACTAATGAACAAATCTAATAAATCAATTCTCAATAATAATATCATTAACACCTTCAAGGTAATTCTAACATGGTTCAATCAAATATGGTGAATAGTAATCTTTAATAGCCAACTGCTAGTAAGATTAATGAGTACAAATAGTATAAAGAAAAGAATAAATAAGATGTAAGAGTTATTTAAATAATAAATAGATGACAACTAGTGTTTTAAGTTTGAATGGATTTTACAAAGAGTAAATGGAAGGATACAATTTTGATTATACAAAATCTGATCATCCTACAGTAGCCTTATTTCATTTTGCAATTAAAGGATTTGCCCTTGTTGTTTATTTATTTGGAGGACTATTTATAAGAGAAGCGTAAACAAAAATATAGATATAATAGTTGGACTCTTCCTGAAATAGTGATTGTAATTGGAGCTGTAGATTTTTGGGTAACAAAGAACATCACTGGTAGATTATTAGTAGGATTGAGATGGTGGGAAGAAATAGATGAGGCATCAGGAGAATAACTATGGGTGTTTGAAACAAGAGTGAATGAGAATTAGGTAAGTTAAGTGAATTCATTTATTTTTTGGGCTACATTGGTACTTACTATATTAGCATGGGGATTTTTAGCAGTAGTAAATGTAATTGGTTTTCATATTCTAAATGTATATATTATTATTAATTTAGTTAACTGGCATTTCATTTTAATTGACTATCCAAATAATTAATTTTTATTTCTATTTCTAATGTTCAAGAGGTATTATAAATATTTATAATTTTTAGTTGCTAAAACAAGAGCAAAGCAGCTAGCAAAAGTATTAGGAGCAGAAATCTTAAATAAGATGATGAATCAATCTGTGATTTGGCCAATGAGAGTACCAAAATAAAAGGGGTTGTGATTTATTTCTATATTTTTTTATTTTATTTCATTATTTATTATTTATGTAAAGGCCATTAACTAGTATAACATCATCATAATAATAATCAAAATTATATGATAGTAGTAGTACATCTTTTAGAATTAAGGAGAATAAGAAAAATCGGTAATTGATTTGTATAATATTATTAGGCAAATGCCATAATAGATGCTTTATGATAAGGAAGGATTGTATGAGGAAAATTTGAAGTTGAAAAAGGAATTATAATAAGTGAAGTTTGAATTGAAGAAGGAGAGACAAGAGCATGCTAATTTCGAGAAATAAGTGTAGAAAACAAATGAAACTTAAAAAGATGTAATTATGTGTTCATTTAGACAGTTTCAAGTCATTTTATCTTAGAGAGCAAGAATCAAAGAGTAGGATAAATTAATAAAGGAATTGCAAGATGAAGTTTTTAAGTTGAAGCGTAATCCTGAAAAGACTAAGAACAAAGAATTAGAGGCAGAATTAGAAGAATAAAAAGAAGCATATTAAAAATTATAGTTATACATTAGTAGTAAATGTAGCTAAGATGCAAATGAAACAGTGATGATAAATTAATCATTAAAGGATTAAATTCAAATTAATTTAGTTTAAGCCTATAAACAAGATAACTTAAATTTATCTTAAATGATTTTGAGTTTATAATAAGAGAATCATACTTTATAATAGAATTTGTTATCTCTTAAGAATGAGAAGGATAGATTAAATGGTAGATTGAAGGAATTGGAGAAATAATTTGATTCTGTTAATAAACATATGATGTATATGAGATAAGAAATGTAAAATACTAAAAAGTAAACTCCATCTGAAGATTATTTGAAAAAGATAGATGATTTATAATAATAGATCTAAAATTAAGGAAAATAATTATAATAAAATAAAAAACTAATAGAAGAATTAGAGTAAAAAAATGGAGAATTATAACATAATTATGATGTATTCAAATCTATGGAAAGTAAAGAAAAAGAAAAATTGCAAGATAGAATTAATATGTTAAAAAAATAGATTGAGGAATTGAATTAAAAAAGAGATGATCTAGAATAATCTTAAGAAGGTTCACTATAATCAATAGGTCTTAAATAAGCTATGGGTATTTATGGTAGTCCTAGAAGTAATAATAGTCCTTCGAAATTGCAATTATAATTACCTGTTACAAATAAAAAATAATGTTTAAAAGTAAATTCTTATGACATTAAAGAAATCATGAGCAATTTAAAAATAAAATTATTAAGCAATAATATTGATTATGAAACATAAGAATAAATTTTATGTGAAGATGATGATGAATTTTTAACTCTTGAAGAAACTTAATTACGTTTATAGAAATCACCTTTTGAATTAAATGAAGATGAATCAAGTCTATTAGCTAGGTATTTGATTGAGGATAATACTGAAGATCATATTCTATATGATAGATAGAGGACATAAACAAAGATTATTATAAAATCTGTATATAAAAAATTATTGGGTGAATTTAATTTATTCAATGAATCTGAGAAATTATAAATGTATGAATACTTTTGTTAATTATTTCATAAATATAATTAGGGAATGGAATCTGCAATTAAATAATTCAATATTAAAAAAAAGTATTTAGGAAATAATTAGTGTGAATATGAAGATTTTAATGTAATTCCAAATATGTAATATAGGAAGCATTAAAATATTGTGATATCCTTTTAACTTCCAGACAGAGATTGTATTTGGAATTAGAAATATTTTCTGATTCTTAATAATTACAGAGATTTAATTTTTAGACTCTATTTTCAAAATTTAAATTAAAGGTTTCTGATTTAGATAATAGTATTAATTGAATTAATTTTTTATTTTAATTTATGGACACAACTATTTTAGAAGCAATTAAACAACTTCCTCCAAAATAATAACCTACAGCTGTTGCAATCTAGCATCATCTTAATAAATGGGCTGATTCAGAGAAATAAGTTTCAAAGAAAGTACGTCAACTTTAAACAGAGTATTTAAGAAGTGTTATTCCTTTATAAAATGAAATTAATGCTATCATTAAAGGTCTCAGAGCTCCTACAGAAGAGGAAATTAAAGATGCAAATACATATTAAATCGAAATTAAAGATATTTAAGCATCTCCACTCTAAAATTATTGGGGTTAAGTTTTGATGAATAATAGTTTGACAGGAAAATTAATATCAGAATCAGATAAAAGCATATTTAGACATTTATTATCAGTAAATGTTGAATTAGGAGAAAATGGAAAAGATTTTACATTAAAATTTGAATTTGAAGATAATGAAAATTTTGATGCATGTATTTTAACTAAAGCATATGTTTTTGAAGATTCAGATGATGAATTTCCATCTAAATAAAAAGGATCTTAAATTAAATGGAAAGAAGGTAAAAATATTACCAAAAAGATTGTTAAACGCAAATAAAAAAATAAGAAAACAGGATAGACTAGAGAAATTGAAAAAGAAGAGAAAGCCCCAACATTTTTCCATTTCTTCGAAGATGTTGATTAAATTAATAATGAAGATGAGAAAATAGAGAGAGAATAATTTGATTTTGAGTTAGGATCATAATTTGTGAATCAAATAATACCAAAAGCATTATTCACTTATTTGGGATTAAAGGTTGATGATGAGGAAGAAGATGATTTTGAAGGAGATGATGATGAATCTGAAGGTGAAGAGGAATCTTTAGAAGATGATTGAATTATATTATGTTAATAATAATTTCTATAAAAAATATATTCATTATTTCTAAATTATTAGCCAATCTATATTTCGCATTTAAGTAATTTTTATAGAAGTTTTTACTATTGATATTAAAAGATAATTCATACATGTGAGACAATTTTTTGGATTTTAGTATAAAATTTAGAGACAAATTTTTTATATGAATTTCAATAATATAATTTTGAGGATATTCTTTTTAATGCTTTTTTAATAATCTTATATAGAAATACATATTGTCTGATTAGAATAAAAAATTGGATTTTAATATTAATATTAAGGATTTAATTTATTTAATATTTTTAATAGACATTTAATTTACTATTTTAAGGCATAATTAAATTAATTCTGAACGAGAATTTAATTTTTGCACTAAATTATTAATTTCATCTCTATAACAATTTCGTAAGACACATTAATTCCATTGCCCATAAGAATCACCTTCAAATATTTTTCCAATTTTTTCACCAATTTTCTATTCCTTTTATTTATAAAAATAATACAATTAATAATCAAAATTAATATTATTATGGATAACCATATATTGTTGGTCTTAAATGATGTCTTTTTTAGTTTTAATTTAAAAACTAAATAGAGTCTAACAGGATATGAACTCATTTATTAAAATATATCATATTAACACTGATTGTTAATTTAAAATAATTACTAAAAAAAATTAATTCTTTTTAAAAGAACATAAGACCTTTATTGAATGTGAGTCTTTCAAAATTGAGTTATTATGAAATGAATTTTAAATCAAAATTTGATAAATTCTCAATCAATTTATCTAAATATGAAAATATTGAGAAACTAGTGAAAGTGCTTTTATATTTAGGATGCAGATAATAATTAATGAATTAATTGATAGTTTAGATTTTTTTTGTGGTATTTTTATAATAAGAGATACAAAATTTGATGATAAGATCACATGTATATAATTCTTAAATTTATGTTTATATTCTTTGACAACATATTTTAAAAACCAAGATTAGTTTGATTTTTGTTATATAATTTAAGTATTTATATAGAAAGTTTAGAGCATCAAAGAACTGATCTGAATATATAAATTATTAAAAAGAATTTAATAGAGAAAATAATGATATTAATATTCAATAAAAATATAATATTAAGAGTTTTGACATGAAGTGTACTTATAAATCATATAAAGTATAATTAAAACCATATAATTATCATGATTTCTTAAATACGCATAATAATATATGTTTTAATTCTTATATATTTAATGGTTTAGCTAGTACTTCTTGCATTCCTGCTTTCAAACAATTATCAATATCTTTTTAGCCAGTGAATGCTGTCAAACCAATAATTGCAATTTATGGAATTTAAGATTTATTCATCATACTTATCAATTATTTTGTTGCTTCTATTCCATTCATAATTGGCATCTGATAATCCATTAGAATTAATGATAGTAAATTACAAGATGAACAACATTTTTATAAACCTAATACTACTTAAATTGCTTATTAACCATTGAATGCTAACACAACTTCAAATCCCATTTTGGAAATCAAGATTTATAAGGATTTTTGATTAAAAATTTCATCATCGACACTTAAAATCCTCATACAATTACATTTTTTTAAACTATTTAATCCAGTAATAAAAAGTTCACTTTCTTTTTCTTCTAATTGTTTAATTTATTTTAAATTGATTACCTTAGAGGATTTATCTTTTGGTTTGTTATAAACATTATTGATATCTGTTATCAAAAATGGATTTAAACTTTCTAAATCTTCTAATCTCTTTTCTAAATAGTCATCATAACTTTCAGAATAAAAAGAATCATTCTAAGATTTTTTTGAAGGATATTAAGCAAATTAAGTTTTGATTTAAGTACTTGTGATATGAAATTCTGTGGCTTTAACTACAGTACCCATTACATTGAAAAGAGAACTATTAACTTGTAATTATTAAGAACCTGACAATTATTTGAATTAACTTGATGCACTTCCAAAATTCATACAATTCTATGTACTATTTTTGATATTCTATTAAGATGCAGGAACTCGAAAAAAGTTTTTTATACAAAAGGAAATTAATGTTCCTTTATTTTCCCCTTCTGACTTAATATCGAAAAAGGTCATATCGGGAGGAGCAAGATATTATAAAATTATAGAAGAAATTAATAAACCTATACCATGCCAATCCTTCACAAATTCTTTATTTTTATTAACATTCTTTCTAATATCTTATAATTTTAATAATAAATTTTATTGAATGCCTATTCCTTAATCTACAATTTCAAATTATATATTCTGATTAGGTAATGATATAAGTTTGAGAACACAGCCTCCTTTAAAAGAATATTTCAATGAGTTTTATATAAGATTAACTAAAATTTAAAGGAGTTTTTTATAATCAGTACAAAAAGAACCTAACTAATTTTCTTTTAAATCAACATGAAAAGCTAATTATTTAGTATTGAATTGATAATAAAACATCGAACTAATTTCAGTTATGAGTTCAGATATAGTAAATTCTCTTAGTTTTATTTTAATGCGATCTTGATAAAAAGATGAAAAGTCAATAATGTCATTTATTAGATATTGTTGTATTTTTAAAGAGTTTATGGCTGGCTCTATTAAATTATCTTTTACATGTAGAGGTACCTTTTATTCTTATAAAGAGGAGGACAAAAAATTCAAAGCACTATTTAGAGGAGTTCTTAATTCATGAGAAAATGATTAAAGGATCTATATATTTAATAATTTTTACTTTAGATTTGAAATCGTTAAGTTATATATTTTATTACATTTCATTTTAACCTGAAACATCATTCAAAAAAATCAAAAGTTCATTGTCTTTTTCATTTTATACAATTTATCCAAATAATTATAGATATGATCCATCTTCTAATTGTTATCTACATGAAATTTCATAATAAACAGAATGATGAATGTTAAGGAAAGAAGATTGGAATTTACTTTTAAAATTTAATACTATTTCATTCAAGGATTAATATCCTACAGGTATATCTTGAAGTGTTTCTTAATTTCTTAAATTAAAATTATTATTAAACGTCATAGTATGAGGTCTTCTTATTTAATTGATGAATTAATTAATGGATGAAACATCTTATTCTTCAAGATTATTACTGGAAACATGAAAACTCAAATGATACATTACCAAATTTTCTAATTCTTTTTCCGTTTTATTATATAAGGAAAAGAAATCATAAAAGAACTAGTTTTTATGAACAATTTACCAATTTTGCATAGATATGATTATAACAATAATTGGAATTGTTTGCATTCTATTCTTCCATATCTCATCATTTTATTTTTCTATTTGTGAATATTATGAAATATTCTGATTTGGTGTTATGTTAGTAGCATTTAATTATTTTTTCATTTATGACTCTTTGTAATGCAAATCTTTTACTAGTTACAACAACAAAATGGAAATCATAACCATAATGAATATAAGGTTTCCATTAATGCATACAACGATAAGTGAACTAAGTTTGATAATTGTCTATTCCACATCACTCATAGGTTTGGATTCATGATTTAAACTATCTATTAATATTGCAATAATAATTAGATGTTCTTAATCTAAGAACAATAAAACAACTAAACTAATCAATTTACTGAATATGATCATTGTAAGGTACCATTTTTTATTAATTTTAGATGTGTTGATAAATATTATTATAGTTATTATGGTGTTATAAGATATGCTGCAAATCATTAATGGTAATTATCTTTGCTCAATTCCTAATAAAACCGAATATATTATGATGAGCAGAATACAGAAACAGATTGATATATGTTATTATTATGGTTGTCGAGATTACTTTTCATCAGCAGCTATAATTTCTATTTCAGGATTTTTAAACTAGTTACCATTCATCTCAATTTTGAATTATTTTATATAATACTTTTGCTTAAATTAATAATAATGCAAGTTATTATTATTACAAAGACTTGATATCAAAATAATTGTTCAGAAAAGCCATATCTTAAATTCTTAACGACTACACATCCTTACATTTAGATTATATTTTTAATTAAAACCTAAAAAAGGATTAATTAATCAACAAAATGTGGTTCATTCTGTAAATGCTATAATTTCAGATCACTTTGGCATTAGAAACCATAATTGAAATCTCAGAAAATGCAAAAAATTGGTCAGATGTATAATTGAGTTCTCCAAACAATACTTATATTCTAAACATTGCAAATACTACAATATTTCCATATTATGCAATTAATGTTGAACTGCACAAACAAGATGATACATTTTCATTACATTATGGAATTGGTAAACCTCCAGATTTTAGTTTAAGTTTATCTGAAATTTCAGAAATTTAAGGATTTGATATATATGGGTATTGCAACTATACCAATAATTCTTAGGTATCTTGAAAATAGATTTACTCATTTCATCCTGTTATCAAGTGATGATTTTCATTCTCAATAAATTTATATATCTACTTCATCAGAATGGACTTAAAATTACAATATTACAGTTACTGCCACTAATGATAAAATATGTCCAAACAACTGCAACAACCAAGGCAGTTGCTAAGTATCATTTATATTTAATTTTTAGGATGGAAAATGTTTATGTAATAAATATTACATAGGGAATGATTGTCATTAAAAGGCAATTTATATTGAATAAAATAAAGAACTAATCCTTAGTCTAGAAAACACTGTTAAATATGCTTATGTAGATTTTGAAGAAAGTGAAAATGAATCTATGAGTTTAATAGTTAAAGTATTTGAAATAATAAAGTTTAGACTAACAGTTCTGAAGGAGTAGATTTGTATATAATGAAGACTAGAGTTCTTTACATACCTGCATTAGAAGATTTGAATACAAAATATTATGATCTCTTAGTGGAAGGCAATGAAGTAACATCCTCATACCCAATAGAATTTGAATTAAAAGACAAAAATGATAATAGTACTCTTGTTCAAAAAAGAGTAAGGTTCATATGCAAATAGAAGTCTCTAGTAGAATAAAATATTCATATTTCTTTGGATCTTATTAATTAAAAAACATAAAATACAATCTCAACTACTACAGTAATAATCATAGTTGCTTCAATTGCTAGTATAATAATGATACTAAGTATTTCATTTGCAATAGGCAAATACTTTAGAAATAAGAAAATTAAAGAAGCTATATATGCTTTAGCTATGATAAGATAGATGCAACATGAAAAAAAATTCTGTGCAAAAAGTTTCGATGATGAAATTTTACAACAACTACCTTAAATTTAAAATGATCAAATAAAGAATACAGATATATGTCCAATTTGCCTTGATCTTTACACTAGTAAACCAGATCTAAGATCTACTAAATGCAAGTATTATATCAATATATAATTAGACATTTATTCCATAAAGAATGCATACTCGCTTGGATATATATTAACAAGAATTGTCCAAGTTGCAGGTCTGATCTAAAAATACATATGAATCATCCAGGAAATCAATAACAGTAATGAACATTATATTTAAATATATCATTAACCTATGAATGCTAATTTATATAATTTTATCCTATAAATATGATTAAAAAAATCTTATTGAGAATTCGAAAATCTAAAGAAAATTAGATTCTCTTTATAACATAAATATTTGATCTTATGAAAAATACTAATATCTCTTTACTAATTATAATACAGTTTATGAAAGATAGTAACTCATGTGTTATTTAAAATTATAAAGCTACCATATGTTTGTACCTATTCTTAAAGTTAAAGGCTAATGTTATAGATTTATTAGCAGTAATATACATTAGAGATAAGCCATATATATTTTATGCTAATTTTTCTTATTCATTTTATCTAGAGATGATAAAATGATAAATGAATATAAATGCTTTTGACATCTCAATTAATGTTTTGATTGAAATTTGAATTTTCTTCCTAACTATACTGTTCTTTTTTTATACAAAAATTTATTAATTTCAAATTATATACTTAAGTCTTAAGTTAAAAATTGAATATATTCTGGATAAATGTTTGAAGGGGGCACTTGACCTTAATTCTATAAGTTATTTGTATAAAGAATTACAATTTTTATTGTTGAATAATAGAGATAATGAAAATTCATAGGATAAAGTTAGATAAAAAAAGATAATAAGATTAAAAACATACTAATTAAGTCAGATTTATAAAGAATCTAAAATTCAATCAATTTTTTTCAAGAATTCATATTAAAATGTAATAATTTTATCTTCATTTCAATAGCTATAGGATATTAAAATAAAGAAATTTAATATAAAATTGAATTTAAAATTGTAAAACAATCTAAATAATAATGTTAAAATGGTTTTTTATATAAAGCTTTAAAAATAAATATATATTTCTATTTCAAAATCTGTTATATATTCATATAAACTGACCTCTACATTTACTCAAAGGTATTTTGAAGAAAATTAAGTATTCTAGTATATTATATAGGTTATTAAAATTTCATTTAATTGTTCTAATTTCTTGTTAAACTCAATTTAAATTTCAATTTTTTTCTTATTATACTTAAACATTCAAATAATAACAATAGTGAATGTTGATCTCTTCATTAACTTTATTATGATTGAAGATTAATTGATTATTTGGAATATCTTTTAGATTTTCATAGGATAAATTCATTAGAATTAGTATTAGAGTTAAATGATCATAAAATATCCTATTTAAACAATATTTAGATCAGCTTTATGTTTTAGCTAAAATTTTATGGAAACTATTTAAAAAACATCTTTCTATACAAAATAAAATGAATATAGTGATCCTGAATATTAAATCTAAAATTAAGTTTAAAAATTGCAAATGATGTGATAATCAATTAGAAAGTCATATGAGAATCTTTTTATTAAATTATATTAATGAAGTAAAAAGAATGAACTATTTTACGTTTTTTAGGTTTTATTGTGAAATGATTTAATCGATACAAAAATCAAAAATTATATTAATGGGCAAAGGTTTAACAAAAAATGATCAAAGTAACAGTAGTTTCAATGTAAATTGTAAGTCTTCGTTAACAAGTATACTAATAGTTTCTAATTCTAGATTTTGATAAATTAGCAAGTCCTACTTAAATTCAGATATTAGATTATAATTCTCAATTAGTTAAAGGTAATACTAATATATTCTATAAAAGCATTTAATCTTTTAAAAAGTTAACAATATGAACATGCCATTAAGTTAATTGACCATATATTAGTTAGATCTCCAAATTTAGCAGATGCATAATACTTGAAAGGTTCTAACTGTTATAATGGATTTTAGGTTTAGCTTATCTTGGATTAAACAACTTACAATAAGCTTTATATTTTTGTCAAAAGGCAACTTAACTTGATAAAAAACATTCGAAAGCCATTGCTGAAATTGGTAAAAAATATTTTATATTTTAGGGAATATATACATATTGAATAAAAAGTACTAAGATGCTCTAAATGTATTTAATAAGTTAGTTGAAATGAATGAAAGATCATTTGAAGGATATTTTGGAATGGCTTTTGTATTAACAATTTTAAACAATTTTGAGAAAGCACAATTTTATTATGAAACAGCCTTATAAATTAAATAAAATGATAAAGGAGCATTATTAAATTATGGTACTTGATTTCTTTAAATTTAGGCCATTTAAAAGTAAAATAATAAAAATACGACTCAGCTTTAGAGTTATATTAACAAGCATTAGAATAAGATCAAATATATCTTGAAGCAATTTCATCTATATGTAATTTATTCATGATCTAAAAAAATTATGAAAATTTGCTTGAGTTTTGTGATAAACAATTAGAATAATAAATTCCATAAATTAAGATTGTTTTATTAAATTGCAAAAGTAATAAATATAAATAATTTATTTTTAGGCCAAGCTTATTATTCTTAGAAGTTATTTGATAAGTCAATTAATCTATGTAAAGAAGTATTGACACTTGATTCTAAAAACTTTGAAGGTTTATTTGGAATAGCAATGAGTCTATTTAATTTAAATTATTTAAACCAATCTTTAGAATACTTTTAGAAAATCCTCAATGAATACCCAAAAGAAATTAAAACTTTAAAAATGATAATAAGAATTTAAAGCACTCTATAATAATATACATAATTAAAAGAATATTGTGATTAATTAATAAAAATTGATTAAACTGATTATTCAACATATTATTTTAGAGGAATTGCTTTTATGCAATAATAAAATTATTAATATGCCCTTGATGACTTTAACAAAGTAGTTGTTCATGATTAAAGTAACTTTATGGCAATAAAGCATAAAGGTAGTTATTATTTAAAATCTTAGGATTTTGTTTAAGTATGTTAAAAAAGTTCAATCAGGCAATATAATGCTATGAATCGATATTTAAATATATTTTAGACCAAAAAGAGAAATCTATATTATTATATGAAAAAGGTATTAATTTAAATGAAATAATAGGATTTTGCCATTTGAAATTGCATTAAAATCTAACAGCTAAACAAAATTTTGAAGAAGCTATAGAGGTAGATTCTAATAATTATGAATTAAAACTTAAAATTGCTAACTTATATAGAGATAATAAAAATTATGATTAAGCAAATAAATTGTATAATTAATTGATAAATGAAAATGGAAAGATACCTATATATTATATTGAAAAAGCTTACATGTGTGAATTATTATAAGATTATGTTAATGCAAAGATACTGTATGATGAAGTTATAACATTGAATAATAAAAATTGTGAATATTATCTCAAAAGATGTAATTTATAATTTAAATTATTAGCTAAAATAAATTTTTAATTGTAACACTTTACTGAAGCCATGTAAGACTTATATTAAGGAATCAAGTTGGATGATTAATAATCAGAATTATATTTTGAACTAGGATAGATACTTTATATTTAATAAAATTTCATAGAAGCTGCAGATATGTTTTATAAGGCTTGCACTTTAAATGATAATATTGAGAAATATCACATAAAATATTCGATTGCTATGTAAATGTTATAGGCTGAAAATGAAGCAATTCATCATTTAGAATATGTTCTTAAAAAACATCCAGATTTCGATGACTGCATAGATGTTTTAGAAAGTTTACATACATAATCATGTTACACTAAAGAATATATTTAAGTGTTTTCATTTATCTTTATTTCATTTCTTTAGGAAGGCATTATTATTGATAATTTAAATAAAGAGGAAATATATGATTAGATTAGAGATTTGTTAGAGAAAAGGTTAAATACAAAATTTCCTAAAATTCCAAATATTTTTTAAATAATATTCGATTTTATGAATAATTAAGAAAATATTAAGATAATTCATAATTAAAAGAATTTTAAGCAAGTCTTAAAAAACCTTTATAAAAATAATTTTAATAGTTTAGAATAATTTGTATAATATATTATTGAAGTTTCTAAAAAAATGGGTTCTATATGGACTAATAATAGTAAAAAAGTTAATGGAATGATTAATAAAGAATTTTAAAAAGAAATTTTGAAGTTGGGATTAGAATCTTAATTTAGTAAATTTTAAAATAAAATTGTTTGTGCAGCAATTAGAGATTGTTTAGGATTAATCTAGATTATTATTATTAATTCGAATGGAAATTTATCTTATTTAAAAAATATTATTGAATAAATATTTACAGATGGTAGTTTAATAAAACATGGTCAAAATTGAATATAATTTTAATACTTTTTTGTCTAAAATTTATAATAGAATTTTATAAATTGTTCTGTTATATAATATATAAATATCTATTTATAAATATAATTATCATATGACTATAATATAAAGACTGAATAGTAAACTCAATAAATATCCTAATCCTGGACATTTAGTGCATTTATTGATTTGCTAATTCCATGTCAATTAATAAAGAGTTTCTTCTTTATAACATTTTTCTGGACTATTTAAAAGAGAGAATTTTTCAATTATTAAACCTTCATTACAAGAAGTAGATGTCCAATTACATAAATGAAGATAACCTTCAAAATCAGGAACAATATAATTATCTTCACATAATTATTATGTTCCATAATCTTTGCAAGCTCTTTATTCACAAGAATAACTAACAAGATTGAAATTAGTTCCAGTAACAGTGATACCATTAGATGTTTGAATTGTGTATCTACAAGTATCTGGAAATCTATTACAAAGCATTTCTTTGATTGAATCATCAGCATCAATATCATTGATATCTGTACATTTAGTAACAGAGAATCTTGAACAATATCCAGTGTTATCTACTTTTAATAATCTTGTAGTTGATTCATTATTGGTTTAATTGGTTTGAACTTCTCCTTCATCAATAGGATTTAATAGCCATGAACAATAATAACCACTATTATCTTCTTGACTTGAATCACAAATTTCTTATTATTTAATATTATTGCATATAACAGGAATTTCTTCTTCTGGTTATTCCTAAATTTAACATTAAACACCATCTTCATCTGGCTAATTTAACCATTAACAATTTTATTTAGTTTCACATTCTTCTTAGATGTCTAAACTAGTACAATCTCCTCTTAAATTTTTACATAGATTTTCTTCTGAATTAAAATAACATAAATTCTTTTAATCACTATTGCATGAATTTTTATCTAAATAATCACTACATAATTTATCTCTGCATTTCCCTGTTTTACCATCAGAATCAGCTTTCCAAAAACAAAATTATTGACAATCAACTTCACTTAAAATCTAACTACATCTACAAGCACTTTATAAAGTTTCAACAACATCATATTCTATTTCATCTTCATCTTATGCTTTTAAAATTGAAATTAAAAGGAGTATTACATATAACATTTTTGAATAAAATAATATTATAGATAAATTCATTTTAAAAATCTATTCAACTTAAATTCTAATATTATTTATTATATCAAATAAATAAATGAAAAGTATTAATTTAAAATTATTTTTTAAGTTTGTATAATATTAGAATTCAGTTTAGAATTCATATATTATTTTAAATAAGAGAAAATATAATTAATATCAAATATTACAGTATTTTTTATTTTGTGATATTAAATAATAAGTATATTGATATTCATTTAATAAGTTATATTAGAAATACTCAATAACATAAATTATATAATCTGAATTAAATATTAATAATATTTTTCTTAAAATTAAATTTATATATGCAAAACTACAATAACTATAAATTTATTTTAGTATTATAAATTCATTGATATTTTAAGCTTGCAATTATTTAATACTCAATATAAACATTTAATAAAAATTATTAAATATTTATTTTATGTTACATTAAAAAAACTCAGATAAACATAAAAAATAGAAATACATACTTAACTCACCTAAATTATCTGCTGGAATGTTTTCTAATTAACATTCTGTCATATCTCAATTGATTTCTAATAAAATCAAAGGAAATTAACAATAATAAAATATATCAAGGACCACGTGTGAATTTAGAGCTCCAACTCCTATCTCTCCTCCAAAATCTGGATCTTTTTCTAATAAATTTAATTATAATAGCCTTTCTTAACTTTCAAGAGTTAATAGCAATTGCAATCTAGATAATATTCAGTAGGATTAAAATAAATAAGATGAGACTAATGTTGAATAAGGGGATGTCAGTATTAGATTAAGAAATAATGAAGAAGATGTAATCTAAAAAGTGTAAAAGAATCTCAAGTTAATAGGAGAATAAATTAATAAAAAAAAATGTAGTTAAATTAATTCATTTCTATTGCTTTCATGGTAAAAACAATTAAATCAAAATTGTGAAAAACTAATTAAAGCACTTTCTTTATAATTGAATTCTTCTTAAAATTTTTATAAACCATCTTTACATTGTGAATCTGTTATCTAATTATAAAGACAATTAAATGAAGAAAAGAAAAATAGACTATTGGTTGAAGAATAAACTAGTAAAATTATACAGAGTTAAGAATAATAAATTAAATAATATGTATATTTATATATAATGTAGATTATAACCATTCAAATGCTTGATCAAGAACTCAACCTTAAATAATGAGTTTTTCTTCCAAAAATAATTAAATTGATTATAAAAATGAAAATAGCACATATTATATATTTTTTATTATTTAAGATTCAATGAATAAACTAGATTTAAGTGTAGTTACTTAATTTCAATAATAAGAAGATAAAGATCCTTAAAAACAATATGATATTGTCATCCCAATCCAACCAAGAAAATTAAGATCCTTTAATTAATTAAGGAATAAGAAGGTTAGCCAGTCAATATAATCAAAAAAAAAAGATTAAGAAGTCTCCATATGCAGTATTGATAGATTTGCTTAATTTCCTTAAAGCTTTCAATAAAAACATTCTTTTAAATCTCTAATGGAACAATACTTCTAATAAATAAATTAAAAATAAAATAAACCAAGATAAATTTCATAAAAAACTAATAGATTAAGAAATTATTCCAATTACATAGAACCTGTCAATATTAAAAATGTCAAAAAGTCTCGAAATGAAATTCTTATTCAAGATTTTAGTACATATTCTAATAGATAAATCAAATTATCAGAAATGTGTAAAGATATAATGGTCTTCAAACCTCTTAAAAATTAATCTTCTTATTTTCCTTAATTAAAATTTCACTTTCATATTAAATGATAAATATATATTCTCGTTCCTAATTTAATAATAATAATGTTAATAAATAAAGAATTATATTTAATATAATGGATAATCATAGCGCTCACACTTTCTTTGTTACTTCTCTTTGATACCGTACTTATTTAGATTTCAATTATTGGATCATTATTTTATTTTACTTGGAAATTAAGCCCAAAACGTTACCCAAAATTAGGAATTGAAATTTCAAAAATAAATGCAACTTGTGTTGTATTTGGATTCCTTATCTACTTTGCTTGGATTATCAGAGAGAATCATGTAGGATTCAGTATTTTCTTAATGAATTAAGTCTTATTTCATATGGGTGAGATGTTGCATGTGGCATTCTATAAATTCAATTTATTAAAATGGGGAAGTATATATTTTAATAATTAGGTTATTTAATCAATCATAGTTTTGGATATAATTTAGCAATATCATTCTCAATATCAGAATATTTTGTAGAATCCTATTTTTTCAATAAGAATTATTAAACATTGATTTTAATTGGTGTATTATGTACATTGGTTGGACATATATTTAGAATTGGTGCATTTATATCAGCAAAACAAAGTTTTCATCATTAAGTTTAAAGTAAAAAAGCATCTGACCATATCTTGATTACAACAGGAATTTATAAGTATTAGCATATTGTTATTTCATAGATTCAGCAGACACCCTAGTTATTTTGGCTTTTTCATATATTCTCTGGGATAATAAATAATATTGTAGAATCCTATTTCCTTTATTGCTTATATTCCTGTCTTATATAAATTTTTTATTTAGAGAATTTATTTAGAGGAATATTACCTTTATTAATTCTTTGGTCGTGCATATTAGGATTATAGTGAAAATACACCCGTTTTGATACCATTTATAGAGTATTATTTAAGATTCTGAAATATATATAATACAATGTTGATTATTCCAAAATATACAGATCTTTTAAGATGAAATAATCTTAATCTACAATATCATTTGATCAATAAAGTTATTGTTACATTTTGATTTTTTAGTTTTTAATAAATTTAATTTAATAATTTATATAAATTGCCAAATAAAAATGGGACACTTAAAATATTATCAAAAACCCCATTTAATTCTATTTATATGGAATTGCTTTTCATTAAATCCAGCTTCTTTAGCATAACTATTTTATTAGCCAATTGAATTTTAGTTTGTTTCAGAAGAATTAAAATATCTTTAGGTTGGAATTTATCTTGGTATTTCTCTATGTTAATCATTAGATTCTTCAATTTCTATTTCTCTCCATAATTTTTGAAGTTTAGTATCAATTTCAAGCATTAATCGTTTATTATTTGATCTCTCAGCATAAACTGAATCTTCAATCAATTCAGATAATTAATCTAATCTCTCTGTAGTTTTAGAACTTTATCTGATATCTGAGATTTGTCTATGATATTTCTCTTCAATTTTCTTTCTTATTGTTAATTATTCTTAAACATCTTTATCAAGATCAAAAAAGACCTTTTTGGCTTATAAATTAAAATTGGTTTTAAGATAGTGTTTTTCAATACTAATTTAACAATTTGGAACTGTACATTTTTTCTAATTAAAATTAATGCATACTTCAATAAACCTACATAAAGGACATAATTTAAGATTGCAATTAATTTATGACTCATAGAACTCCTAACCAAATTTTGACTCGTATATTATGGGACACTATGAACCCATACAACATAGATCATATTTAGGTGGCCAATAAGTATTATAACCTTTCTCAACTTCAATTTACATTTATATAAATAATGAATAATCATAGTACTTAAATTGATATATTACCTAAACTGATTACTAATCAACAAAAACTTTTAGATCCTATACATATTAGAAACACCTAATAGCGTCATTCTTAGTATCTAAATATTTATAATAACATTAGAAATGAATCAAAGATCTTGCCTCATATAGAAAGAAAATCAATGTTGTAAGGTAATTCTAAGCAAATGGTAGTTTAACGTATAATTTCAATATATAAATAAAGGATTTATGTATAGTTTTGATTACAATACTAGAAACTTTGGAACAAGTTGTGATAGAGGTTTTTCTGGATTATCTAGTTATCATCTATCATAAAAATTTGGACATTTAGGTACCAAATTATAGCCAGTTGAGAAAAATATAGCAGCTGATCTGACTGATGGAGAAGATGTAGAAGAAATAAAAAAAGATGAAAGATTGTTTTATAAGAAAATATACAAATATAATTAAATGCCTGTTTTGGCATTGATAAAATCTTTTGAAATTGATTGGATTAAAGAGAAAGATGACTAAGTTAATAGAAAATTATCAAAGAGTCTAATATTAAATTTTTTTACAACTTTACAAATTCTAAATACTCATTAGGATTTTATTGAATTTTTTATGAAAAATTTATAACTGTTAGAATTGAATACTGTTGCTTTAAAATAGAAAGGATTACATCAGTTAAAAACTAAAGTTAATAAATTTAAAAATGAAGATTTTCCAGCATCTTATTTAATTATTTCAAATCAATCTGGAAAAGGATATTTTAAAATTAATTTTCCAAAAATCGAAATTTATTTTTAAGAATATTAATATGTATAAACTATATAATTGTCACCAATGAAACTATATGAATTGGTTAATAATAATTTCTTTTAGATAGCTGAAATAGTTTCAGAAATTAATGTTGATTTTACAATTCTCAAATAAAAATTATTGTAATAAATAGAAAATCAAGCTAAGGTAGAATAAAAAATAGAAGAGAAAATGAAACCTTAAATGTAAAATTCTGATTAAATCTAATTGGCAAATAAAATAGAATCCTAATAAAAAGTTTTAGTCACTAAACCAACTATACCAGATGTTGCAATAATAATAAGTGAAAGTAAGAATAATAATAAATAAAGAAAAAAGTGAATTTCCAGAAAAGATTTTAAATAAGAGAATGATTAAATGTGTTGCTTAAAAGGATGAGAAAAATTATTTATGTGTAGATTTTCTACCAATTTAATTTATAATTAAAGAAAAAGTGTCATAAAAAACTATAAAATTGTATTCTCCAACCTTTAAAGAATTTAATGAATTTCTAACCTAATTAGGATCTAAGCATGTGAAACAAATTATAGATGAATATTTAATTACAACATTTGATCTTAAACCAGAAGATTTTGATTATAAAGAATTTAAAAAAGGAACTTAAATTAATTTTAGTTTTCCAACATTTTCAGAATTAAATTTAGAAATAACTGAAGAGCATCTTAATAATGGATTGATCTCTGTTTATGTTAAAGAAATTGAGATAAATAACAAAGATTTATAAATAATTATGGAGTAATAAAATTATAGCAATTAATAGACCTTGTACATTTGGAATATATAATCAATTAACTTGTATGACTGAGAAAAGAAATTGTACATCAAAAGAATTAACAAATATATTGTAAAAGAAATACTAAGTAAAATTTTAACTTATATGATAAATGGAATTATTTGTATATTATAAATTTATTATTAATAAATGAGTATATTTAAATTATAAGGTTATAAGATGACTATGATAATAATAAACTTTATTACTTTTATTAAAATCTTAATATATGAAGTTAATATTATAATAAAATGAATATAGGAAAATAATTTAGTGAATATATATAAGGTTTTAATTTAAGTATATTATAAATAACTTTAGTGTAAAATGATAATATGTTTGATTAAAATAAATAAAATGGTTATTATTGTTATCTAATAGTGTAGTTGATAATTAATATACTCTTATATTAAAATATTAATTAAAAATAGATGAAATTGGTATTTAAATATTCATATCCCATTATTATTTTCTAGAAATTTGTCTAAGGCTCCTGAAGTTTTTGATTTACCTTACTAATTTTGAGTTTGACTTGTTTTCTTTTTTTAATGATGAATGGCTAAACAACTTAGAAATTATAATTCTTGATTTTCTTTAATTAAATTTACTAGAGTATTAATTAATTATGATTACTTAAATCATCTTCTTTTATTGTTTTTCTTTAATCTTGTTTAATTTGATCCTTTACTTTATTTAACAAAAGTTCACCAAATTCTTCAATAGCTTTCAACATATATTAATAAGCTTCAGGTTTGAATTATGGTTTCTATTCATCCTCTTTTAGAATTGTTTTCAATCTAGATAATGGGAAGAATGCTTTCAATTTATAAATAGAAGAGACTTACTTTAAGGAGTTGTTAATTAATTTTGTTAAACCTACTCTTTCAATTGTCTGGCTCTTTCTTAATATCTCTTGAATATATAATATATATTACTATTCTTTATAATCTTTAGGTAAATCCTTCCACATTTAACTAAGAACTTGAAGTGAATACTTGCCCTCATCCTTCTTATCTTTCATAAATAATTAATAAGCAGATAATTGCTAAACAACTGGTTATACAGGTGTTGGCTATTTTGAGTTAATAGTGTCATCAATAGTAATGACCTTTTATCCTGACTCTAGTATTTGCTTTTTCATTTTCCGCGTAATTTTATAAATTAATTTTTAAAAATGTCATCTCTACTTCACTTGAAATTAGATGGAATTAGAAGTTATTGTCATGTAGGCCAAGTTAAAGAAGACAATAGAAAAGCAGCTTAATAGTCTTAATCTATATATTTTAAACAACCTTTGACACTTATATGGGGTCATAATGGTAGTGGAAAGACAGTACTATATTTATAATGAAAATAGACAATTATTGAAGCATTACGAACAATCACAACAGGTATGTAACCACCTAATTCAGAAAAGTATACAATATTATTTATTCAATTAGAGGCAGAAGTTTCTTAACTGATAGTCATTTACTAGGATAAAGTAAGACAGATGCATGTATTGAACTTGGTTTTAAGTCCATAAATAATCGTGAGATTGTTGCACGTAGACATTTTAGTATTGTATATGATTCTCCTAATTCTTGTAAATTCTCTTCACTTAGATCTACATTATAAACTAGATCATTAGAGACTGATAAATTAGAAACATTACATTCTTCTTGTGCAAATATAGAAAAATAAATTCCTTGTTTTTTAGGAGTATCAGTTCCTATTTTGAATAATGTTCTTTTATGTCATCAAGAAGAATAATTATGGATGTTTAGTGACAATTCAACATTAAAGGGAATTTTTGATGAACTTTTTGAAACTACAGATTTGGTTAACATTGAAACTAGATTGAGAGAATAACTTAAAGATGCTGAAAGTAAGGCTAAAATATTAATGGAGAAAGTAGAATTTTCAAAAAGAGATATGGATGATGGTTAACGTTAAAGAACAAACCTATAAAATTAATTAGAAGAAAAAATATAGGAAATTAAAATAATTTAAGATATTAATACATAAATGAATCAAATATAGATATCAAATATTAATTTCAATATTATTTAATAAAGAATGAGTGAATGTGCTGATTTGATTGCTTGTAGAAATTCTATTTAAGAAAATAAATTATAATTGTAATTAGATCATGTAGATTTGAATTAATTATCATAATAAGATTTTGTGATTTCAAGTCTTAAATAATTAGAAATTGAATTAAGAAATACATAAGCAAATCTCAAATCAACTGAAATTAATTTAGAAAATAAAAAATTAGAATTATAAGAACTTTAAATTGATACTACAATAGAAACATTAAAATAAGAAATTAAATTAATAAGAGATTCTATTAAATCTATATTTATGTTTTCTAATAATGTTTCTGATGAAAATTTATTAAAATAAGTAAAAGAAAAAATAAATTAAAATAAATATGAATAATAATAAGAATAATAGATTTAACAAGATTTATAATAGACATTTTAAATAAAGATTTCTAATTTAAATGATAAGAAATAGAAATGTCTAATTGAAGTTAGGATAAATGAGAATCAAAGAAATGAATAACTTAGATTAAAAGATTAAATTTCTAAAGATATTAAAAATAAAGAAGTTCTATTATAATAATTATGTTTTCAAAAAAAATAGGCTGAATAATAAGAAATTTAAATTAAAGAAAAACAAAAATTAAAATTAGAATTTGAATAAATTAATTAAGATCTTATAGAATGTTATGATATAACATAAAAAAATTAATAAATTAATTCTTATTAAGATATAATTAAGAAAATATAAGAATTAGAAGAAATTATATCTACAAAATCTTCATAAATTGATTTATTAATTAGAGAAAATGGATGGAGAGCCATGATTAAATTAAATGGTTCAAAATTAGAAAGAGATATTTCAATTTCAAGATGTGAAGAATCAATTAAATAAAAAATATAATCAATTAAAACTTAAATGGCTAAAGATTAAGCATAAATTAAAATATTAAATGAATAAAAAGAAGAATTAAAAAATTTATTATCAATTAATAAAGCTATTAAATATGATCCATATGAATTGGATAATTTAAAAAAATAACTTAGAGAAATAAAAGAAAATAAAATTAAATATATATTCAATCAAACAGAATTTATTGATCAATATGTATATATAAATAATTATTAAGATTACGAGTTCCAAACAATCTGGAAAATGTTTATTATGTCTTAAACCTACAGATTAAAGTTGTTTTGAACTCTTAAAGCATAGAGTTCAACAAAATTTACCTAAAACTAAATCTAAAATTAATGAATTTGAACTTTAAATCAATAGTCTAAAAGCTGAAAAAGAAAAGATTTAATAAGGGATATAAAATAATCAACATTTAGAAAAAATTAGATAAATAGATTCACAAATAGCAGAAATTTAAGCAAGTTAGAAAGATTCTGTTAATAATGATTCTATATTATAATTAGAAAAAAATCTATAAGATATTACATTATTGAGATAATTATTTGGAAATGAAGAAGAAAATCAAAAGGAATAATTGTTAATACAAAAAATGTAAATGGAACGAGAGTATCCAATTTTAAAAGGGTCTTTAAAATTATCTAATAATCCTTATAATTAAAGTTAACTCTAAAAAGCTAAATAGGAGATTTAAAATAAATTAAAATAATATGAAAGTTTACCAGAAAATTATGAAAATCCTAAATAATTATAGGATAGTATATTAAGAATTTAAACAGAATTAAATTAATTAAAATTATAGAATTAAAAAATAGTTATTTAAGATTTTGATGATAAATAATATGAGATCTAGTAAATAGAATCTTAATTAAATTAATTAGAATTAGAACAAAAATAATAATATGATTAATATATGGAATTAATTTTAAATAAGAAATAACTCTTAAATAATTTAGAATCAATATAACCTTAATTTGAATAAAAAATATTAAAAAAATAAGAATTAATGAATAAAAGTAAGAATAATTATAAATATGCTGATTATATACAAAAATTATAATTAGAAATATAAACAGAAACAGATAAAATGTAATAATTAGAATTAGATATTTAATAAAAACAATAGAAATTAAAATAATATTAAGAATTATAAGATTACATTTAAAAATTATAAAAATGGTAAGATTATGATTAAGCAGAAGAGAAATTAAATGAATAGATAGAAATACTTCAATAAGATATTCAAAATCTATAATAAGAATATTAATAATAATAAATAAATATATCTAAAAAAGATAAATTTAGATTAGAATATGATTTGAGAAGATCAAAATTAGAATAAAATTTTTAATCAGCATTAGAATTAAAAAAGGATATTAATAGAAGATATGATGGATCAGAATAAAAAAGACTAGAATTATTATGTGAATATGTAGCAACTTAATAATTTATAAGTGATTTAAAAAAATATTTATAAATTTTAGAAGCTACAATGCTTGAATGTCATGGTTAAAAAATGAAAGAAATAAATAAATATTTATTAGATACATGGCAGGTATTTATATTATAATAATATATAGAAAATATATAATGGATAAGACATTAAATTTATAGAAGTAAAATTTGATGAAATTCCAAATTAAAAAAAAATATCTAAAAAATATAATTATAGATTAGTAATGAGAACTATGAATAATACAGAAATAGATATGAAAGGAAGATGTTCTATGGGTTAAAAGATGCTTGCATCAATAGTTTTTAGGATGGCATTAGCTGAATGTTTTGGTAGTAATTGTTGTTTTTTGGCATTAGATGAACCAACATCAAATTTGGATAGAAAACATATTAAAAGTATTAATAAATTTTAATAAAATTAGCATTAGCAGAATAACTTAATTCATTGATAGAACTAATGAAATAACATGAATAATAAATCTAATTGATAATAATAACACATGATATGGATTTAGTGAAATTATTAAAAAGACATTCAGAATCATATTACATGATAAGTAAAAAGGACAATGGTTTTTCAGGTATTGAAGAAAGAAAAATAGAAGAACTCAAATGAGTAATAATTTGAAATTAACTCGTCACTTTATATTAATTTTTATGTAATATATTTACTATGCTATTTAAAAAATTAATTATAAAAAAATGACTCATTATAAAAATTAATCAGCTTACATTATATGTCGAGAGAAGTATTTATGTTTTTTTAAACTAAAGTAACTTTTAAAAAGATTCGATTTAGTATCGAAGTCTTTAGAATAGTTTGATTTATATGAATAAAACGAGTTTGCCATACCTAACTCTTAATAGTATATGATAGTCCCTATTTTCTTAGATACTCTGAAGAATGCTATGAAGCATTTTAAAAGATCTATCAGACAAGTTAAGTTCCTTAACTCTAAACAATTCCAGAAGATGAAAAAGAGTTTTAGATTTTAAATAGAGATACAGGACTTATGATAGATTGTAGGAAATTAGATTAATACACGTTTACAATATCAGACTCAAAGGAAGTGGCATGGAAGAATTATTGGAAACATAGTAGAGAAATTAGTGAACTATTAGTGTCATTAGTCTAATCAAATGAGAATAATAAAGTATATGAACTATTAGCTCATCCTTAATTCTATATAGATTTAAATATAAGGTACTTGTTGTTTTAATTAAATAGAGATTTAGATGATTGGACTCCCCTTCATTTTGCTTGTCAATAAAGCAACACTGAAATCGTTTAGCTCTTATTACATTAATAAGCAAATCCTAAGCTATTATCCTTGGATGGCAAATCACCATTACATATAGCAGCAATGAGAAATCACTCTACAATCTGCGAATTGTTAATCAACTTTGGAGCAGATATTGATGCTTAAGATTCAGATAAAAACACACCATTACATATTGCTTCTTTACATGGAAATGATCTAATATGTAAAATATTAATAGAGAAGAATGCAAATCATGACTTAAAGAATTATTAATAATTGACTCCTATAGAAATGGCATCAGATATAAAAATAATTGAAATTTTTAACAATTATGGAATCTCGCTTAATAATTTTACTTATACTAGAACTGTTGTTAAAGAATAAAACTTAGTTTTACCAAACAGTCGAAGAGATCATGTCTAAAAACTATTAATGTTAGCTTAATATTAATCTAAAGGAAATATTGAACATGAAATTAAATAAGAATTAATAAATAATGAATAATAAGGATAATCTTTAAACTTAGATATTAATTAAAATAGATCTACTTGGGGTAAGATAATGGATTTTGCTGTATCATTTTCTAGAGTCTCTATTAAAGGAAATGGATAGACAAATAATTCAGAATCTGAAAAGAATAAGATTGGTCCAGGTTCTTTTCAATTTTATTAAAAATTAGGAGAAGGAGGATTTGGTTAAGTTTATTTAGTTGATAAAATAGGTTAAGAACCAAAGAAATATTATGCAATGAAGATTTTAAAGAAAGAGGATATAGATACATCAAATATTATTAAGTCTGCTTAAATTGAAAAAGATGTTTTAAAAATAATGAATCATCCATTTATTGTTAAATTAAATTATGCATTCTAAACTTTAGATCATTTGTATCTTGTTATGGATTTGTGTTCTGGAGGAGATTTGTCAACTCATTTAGAATTAGTTAACAATTTTCCAGAATATATTGTAAAAATATATGCAGCAGAAATAACATTAGCTTTGGAAGCATTGCATAAATAGGGAATAATTTTTAGAGATCTTAAACCTGAAAATGTTGTATTAGATAAAGATGGACATGCTCATTTAACAGATTTTGGGTTATCTAAACAAGGGATTGATGAAGAAATGATAAATCAATCTTTTTGTGGAACTTTAGCTTATTTAGCTCCTGAAATGTTAATGAAGAAAGGACATGGTCGTTAAGTTGATTGGTATATGCTAGGAATTTTCATTTATGAATTATTAGTAGGGGCTCCACCTTATTATGATGCTGAAAAAGAAATTTTAAAAGAAAATATTAAAAGAGCTCCACTTAAATTACCAAGACATTTAAGTTAAGAGGCTAAAGATATCATAATTTAATTATTGATTAGAGATCCTAAACGAAGATTAGGATGCAAAGAAGATTCAAAAGAAATAAAAAGTCATCCTTGGTTTAATGATATAAATTGGCAAGATTGTTATAATAAAAAATTATAGCCACCTAAACCATTAATATGTCATGAACCTAAGGTAGCTAGAAAAGTTACTTTTAGCAAAAATAGTAACAGAAATAAATTAAATGACTGGACCTTTTGTGAAAATTGAGAACCATTGTATCCAACTTTCCTTATTTAAAGATATGTAAAAATAAATTATTTTTATATAAGAATAATAAAAATTATTATTATAAAATTTATATGAATGTATAATTACCGAATAAATCTGTAATTCTTATAATCATATTTAATAAACATTCTTTATTCATTAATTTATATACAATGTATCTATTTCTAATCATTATTCAAAATATCAACTAAGTTAATTTTAAAATAATGAAGCATTTTTTAAAATAATGATTATTAATACAACAAACTATCGATTTTGGAGGAATTGGTAACTACGTACATAAGTATGTATGATACAATTTATCTTTACCACAATAGCAATCATATTAATTATTGTCTCAACATTAACTTTTCTGTTTTATATATCAGACACATATATGTCATCATCACAGTAAGCCTTTTAATAGTAATTTGGTAAATGGACAAAAATAATCATGTCTAATCAAATCTAAAGAGTTTAATAAACCTTATTTAGAAGTCAACAACAAATATTAAGAGTGGATAAATTATATCAATTAACTCATTAATTTCATTAAGCCAATTTATCAAAACCTTATCCATGTTTAAATGATTAAACATTCTTGGATCAATATGCTTATAGTGCTTCATTTTGTTATCTAACATATGGTAATAATGATCAAGATGTAATGTACAAAAAACTTAAAGATCTTTGTAGTATTTTGAGTGAAACTGTTTTAATGATTGATTAAGATTTTGATATTATGTTTGCATCAACATATGATATTCACTTTTTTACAGTTTGGCCAGGCTCTTATCTAGGTTTTGATTATAATCCTTAAAAACGAATTTGGTATACTAATCATTTAGAGTAAGTGTCTAAAAATAATAAAAATCTAACATATTTTTGTGAACCTCATATTCATTGGACATGGAAATTATTAATGATTGCTTAAACAAAAAGTTTACTGGATATTGATGGATCATTGGATGGTGTAATAGCATCACATGTAAATTTCAGTTAATTTGAATATTAAGATGATGGAGTTAGTTTCACAATTATAAATCCTGATGGTAGAATTTTACTTAGTTAATTAAATATTTCTGAAACATCTTACATATATGATTATAATTTAACTCATTTAGATTATTAAGATTATTAATAAATAATTAATTAAGCAAATAAACGTGAAACTATAAATAATTGTGATTCATAGATTTGGAATGATTTTGGATATTTATGTAGAAAAATACGCAATTCTACAGAAGAATAACTAATAAACACAAAGATTATGGAAAATGAAGGTTTAGTTTTAATAATGTAAAAATATAAATGATATATTATATAGATAATGCAAATTATCATAGTATTAGAAATAATTTTAATAGATGTTTGATACTTTTTAAAGTGGAATATCATCTATATTCTTAGGTACAATACTTGGATTTTTTGGATATATGTTTTCATCTGCTTTAATTACAAGTATTATCATAATAATCTTATTTAATCCAATAATAAAAATAATAAATTAAACTTCTCAATATGTATTTAAAGAAAGTGTTTATATGTAACATAAATTATAAAAGAAACCTTAATTATAATTTTTTAAAAGATCTAAAACAAATACATTAATCAAAAACTTATAAAATTCATTTAATAAATTAATTCATAATTAACTTAATCCTAATAAATCATTATTATGTTTATGGATTGAATAATTCTAATATCCTATCAAAAGGTGGAGATTAAAAAAAAGAGTAAAAAAAATATAAAAATAATATTCTTTATTATAAAATAATCTATAAAATTAAGAAATAACAGATTAATAAATTACATTTGTATAACAACTAATTAAAAGTTATCAATTTAATTAAAGTACAACATAAATTTGATTATATATATTTATAATTATACTCAATGCATATAACCATCATGATCAATATAATAATGTGAGAAAAATGCTCCAATAAAAATTGCTCCAAATAAGAGACCACTAAATTAATGATTTGGTAAAAAGTGTCCTGTATTAATGAAACCCAAAAACATTGCAAATAACATAGGAAAACTCCACCATCCAAATACAGGCCATATAGCAATTGTTAAACTAATAATATATGATTAATATTTATACGTTATGAAACTCATAAACCCAGCAAAGGCACCTAATTATATTGCTTTTGGATTATATGTTTCTATGTCCTCAGTTATGCCTTTTATACATGGTAAATAAAATGCAACATATAATGATAAACTAATGCTCATGCCAATAAATAATAATGCAAATGTAAGAAAAAGTCTAATTTGATTGTTTTGATTACTCATTGATATTTTCATTATGAAACAATTATTTAAAAAAGTTTGAATAATAAACTATAGCTACAGCTGCTGAAATCCAAAGTATAGCTTAAAATTTAAGCCATAGCCATTCCCCCCATTATTCAATTTTATCATAGATATCTAATTATTTAATAATTTTAGGTTATCTAGTAGATTCTTCTTCTAAATTTTACACCGGTACATACCTTCTCATTTTATTTATTTAATAAAATAATCAAGTTTTTTGTAATTTATATCTAATAACATCCATAATGAAAAAGAAAATTATGTTTATTGTTCCTCCAAAATTGTAAATATAAGGTACTGATAGTGAGGAGACTAAAGAAGGATGTTAATGTTAAAAAACGAAATGTCTAAAATTATACTGTTAATGTTTTCATGATGGAAAATGTTGTGGATAATAATGTGGTTGTAATGGTTGTAAAAATAGTTTAAATGATCATCTTGAAAGAAATAAAGCTATTGTGAAAATTATTCATAAGTATAAAGATGAATATAAATAAAAATTATCTGGTGATAAAGGTTAAGGTTGTTGTTGTAAAAAAAGTAAATGCAAACTTAATTATTGTGAATGTTTTGTCAAAGGTAGATCATGTGGTGAGTAATGTCATTGTAAAAAATGTGAAAATGGAAAAAAATAAAATAAATAAAACTCCATAAAATAAGAGGAAAAGATATAAAATTGTTAAAAAAATCAAACAGCCTGAAATAAGCTATCAATATTTATTAAATTAAATCTCTTTTTTATTTAAAGGACTTTCTATTCATCTAAATAACATAAAGTATCTTTTGATATATTAAAGCAAAATATTTATATTATTTGATTTCTATCATATAAAACACCTTTGATTTATATTTATCATTCAAAATTTTGAGTATAAATTAACCACTTTATCTAATCTTAGGAATATCTGTAAGAAAATAAATTTTATTATTATTTATTTAATAATTAACATTTTAAATTTGAATGAACTATAATAATACAATTCATAGAAGAGCTTAATCTAATAATGATATTCAACAAGTTATATGTGCTAGAATAGCTGGTTTAGTTGAAGATGAATATTAATAATAGAAACTTGATCCTAAAAGAATTAATCTAGGATCTACTTTGTTTCAAATTCCAGAATAAAATGATCTCATATCTTCTGTTGAATAAACAACTGAATCATCTAAATAACATTCTTAAATGATTAAAGATTTGAATATATCTAATGTGAAACCTAATCAATAATAAGACAAAGAAAATTTCAAAAATCTTTCATCATGTTCTACTCTAATCAATCAAATTCAATAAATTGTCAAATCTGGATCTAATACTAAAGAACTTTAATCAAAAAAACCATTCACTTCTTCAAATGATGCAACATAAAAAAAGTCTTCAATTCAAAGTCAAATGAGTTTTACTAAAGAACTCTAAAAAAAACAAGGATCAAATTATTTATAATACTAATAAGGATAAACACTTAAATAAAATATTACTCCTGATAGAAAAAGAGGTCCTTCTTATAGTAATAAATAAACAAATTAAAAATAACCTAATGATTCTACACCAAAATAAATATCTGGTACAGACACACTTAAAAGTAACTTTTCTATTTCTTTATTTAATAATCTTATTAGATAAGACTCAAAAAAGAAGATCTCTAATTCTGACATTTGTGACTCCTATAGAAATATTGAAATTAAAATGAAAAAAATTGAAAAAGAAATTAACACTATTAAATAGAGATAAGATTAACTAGATGATAATAATAAAAATATTTAAGATCAACTAAAAGAATTTATTTATGAGAACAAATAATAATAAGAAGTATTTTATTCTCTATATATATAATCTTAGTATGGTACTAAATAATTAAAGAAAATTGAATAATTAGAATAAATTACCAGAAGAAATGAAGAATCTATATGTTACTTAAAAAACTTTGTGGTTAATAGTAAAAAAAATGATTAAAATAACATGAATTTTGGGTAAAATTATTTTGATCATATAGAAATATATAATAAAGTGATATAACTGATTTACAAAAGAAATTTGCTGACTTTAAACCTATTAATCATAAAGTGTTTTGATAATGGAAACAAAAATAAAAATTTTGAATATTTAAATTTATAATCATTAACCCTTCGCTTTTGTTTATAGTAACTTCCAAGTTCATTGTTAATATATTCTGAAATATGCTATTATTTTATTAATTAAATGAATATCTAATTAAGTGTGTTTCATTTCATTTCATTTTGTCTTTTATTTTACTTTCATTTTATTAAAATCATGATATTAATTTCTTAAATATACAGTGTATGAATTTTAATTAGATATAAGAAATTAAAAAATGAATATAAAAATATTTCAAATGTAATAATAAATAATGACTAAAAGCGTTGATAAATGAATTTATTATTCTTTTGGATATTATTATTAATTTATTTCGTATTTCTTAATCCCTCTGATATTTTTTTAAAGCATGATTAGTCTAACATTTTTTAATTATTTTTAGTGCCAATAAATTTATATTAATCTACTTAAAATTAATAAATTTCTTTAAGCTAATAAATGAATAATATTTAGAATTAGAGTAATTTATTCTATAATATTCTTATTTTACACATTTGAATAAATTTAATAGTCATACCATCAGGATTATTACAATATTTGATTTACTTGTTGTCATAGGAATTTTAATTAAATAATATCAACTACTTTGTTTAATATAATTTATTACAGATAAGAATCAAAAAATAAGTGATAACAACAACAACAACATATTCCAACATAAATATTGATATTTTTTTACTTTATAATAATTGTTAATATATATGTATAAAATTTTTAATATATTATTATAATTTACTTTTTTTTAAAATAAATTTTATATCATAATTTATGATGAAATCTAAGAATTAATTATAAATAAATTTATTGTCTAAGAAAAGGTATTCTAAATAGATCTATAAATAGTTAATGGATCATAAAATATTAAAATGTAGAATTGTACTTGCCAAAATACATAAATAAATTAATAAATAATTCACACTTTTATAAAGAGTATAAAATAAACGGAGTTTGATATTTTATTATTTAAAATATATAAAAATATACACTTAAGAAGTTCTTCATTATTATTATATTCATCATTTCTTATAGATATAAATGCACTTAAGAGATGAATTTGAATTATTAAAGATAATACAAAATAATTTATTCATTGTTAGATCCATATGATTTCGAAATCAAATTTCTACCTTCTTTTCTGTAGATGAATGTATATTTAAGTGTAATCTGAATGAATTAAGAGTATGATGACTCTATTGATTATTATTATGATGATGATTATGATTATGATGAGTATTGAGTTCGCATAATTAAACACTATATGTATGAAAGAGAGATATAGGGCTATGTATCTCTCTAAGTGAAAAGGGAGATGATGGATCGCTATCACAGTGTTTATGTTCTAAATTAATAATTTTGTGCTTTTTTGATTCATAATAATCCTACTATTTTTGAGTTGGATCAGTAATTTAGAGTTATAAGTTATTGAGATATTCAAGTATTTGCTCTTCTTTTTAATTCATAATGATTCTTTATAAAAAATTATATTATAATACACAAACAATGTATATTTAATTAGAATAATAATAATAGAGTTAAAATTTGATGAAATCATTATTATAATTATTATATCATGTTTAAACAATGACTTTAGCTTTATAAGAATTCATCGAATAATTAATCAGAAGGTACATTTTGTTCATCCTCATAATATTAAAGTGTTTTTTTCAAAATAGAAATTTATTCATTAGCATTATTTAATTGATTTCTTAATGTTTCATTTTATTGATAGATAACTTTAAGTTTTTTAAACTCTTCAGTACTAAATAACTATTAATTAAATAATTCCTATAATAATGATATATATATATAAATTTACTTATTTAATTTATTCGAGAACTCCCTAAGATAATTAATTATTAGATTAAAAGCAACTAGTTGATCTACTTTATTTAGTTGATTTTAATTTTGTATTTTCAGTTTATAAAGTTTCAATCAAAAGAGTTAATTTATTATTTTCTTCTAATAATTATCTTAATTTAAGTTCTAATTCTGGATTTTCATCAAGTTTCCTTTAACTTAATTTCTATCCATTATTATTTTCATTAACTTTCTTTTTATGTAATTAAAATTCAAGTTCTTAAATTTTCATTTTACTTTTCAATAATTCAGATTCATGACTTACTTACTACTTTGAATTCTTTTCAAATTCTGCAAAATTATCATGCCATTATTTTATCTCTAATTAAAATAATTAATATAATATACCTTCTTTTTAACTTAATATTGTTTTATCTGATATTTTAATTTTTTCTTTAAGCTTTTTAATTTCTTAATCCTATTATTAAATTACTTAATCCTTTTTATCTGTTTAATCTTATATATTTTTAACTAATATATTTAATCTTTCATTTTCTTATATTACTAACATAATTTAAGATTCCATCTATAACATTGAATCTTAAGGATCTTATGTACAAATCTTTTAATATCTTTCTTTCCATTATTCAATTTCCAATGCTTAATCATCTATTACTTTTTCGAGACTCTCAATTTTAACCTTTATGAAATCTAATTATTGACTATCATGTGTAGATTGTTGATATTATCTTAATTCATTTTTTGTTTATTCCAATGCTTATGATAAATACATGTTATCATTTATTAATTATTGCATTCGTGTGTTATCTTGAACTATCACAGATCTATTTTCTTAATAAGATTTTCCTGTTTATTATTGTTTACCATTTGGTGTAAAAGCATTAGATTATCTAACTTCTGCTTAATGATTATTAACTATCAATCTTAATGCATTCTAAGAAACTATTTATCTTTATGGTGTGCTTGGAGCTTCTTAATAATGACTACTTAATCTTATTGCACTATTAAATGGACTTAGTGATTATACTTATCCATTAGAAATAACAACCTATTTAGTTTTTTGAGTAGAGTTGGTTCTGATCATTCAAAATTAAATATAACGATAATTTTCAATTATTTAATATAAATGTAATAACAATATACTCAAGGCCTTATTCAAATTGATAAACACTTAGTTGAATTACATAATATCTCAAAGAATGATGATTAAATTCTAGAATCTTTTCAATAAACATCTTAATAATTAAGTGATATCCTAAAACAAATAAAAACATTAATGTATGTAAATAAAATAAATGCTGATCTTACTAAAATTAAATAAAACAATACAGAGACAGATAGAATTCCAGAAAGATAAACAAAAAGTCCAGCACCTTCCTTATAAGATAAAATTTAAGGAATTATGAACAAAAGAATGAAAAAGTGATTAATTCTAAAAATATTATTTTTTTGTTTAATATTGATTATTACAAGAAGCAATATTTTACCTTACTAAAGAATTAAAACCTAAATTAAAATTGATTTATGCGATTTTAAGTCTTTTTATTTTATTATTATTAAAGACTAAAAAAATTCAAATTATAAGAGCATAATGATTACGAAAGAAAGTTAAACTAAGAGGATAAATATAAAAATGATATTTTATGAAAGAATACTTTAGTTATATTATTTTTCAAGTTTCAAGGAGTATTAATAATATTTTGTTATCATATTGGGAGAAATTCAATACTTAACATTTCTATGGGTACCTAATATGAAATCTCAATAAATAGGATTTTATGAAACATCTATTAATTATTAAGCTTTTGCTATTTATTTTACTCGAATAGATTAGTTGATTTACTTTTAATTCGGCAAATCTTAATCATTTTATTTGTTAGCATTAATGACTCAAATACTTTTATTTGTAATACCCATTATTTTGTTAATTCTAATAAAACATAAACAACAGGTTTTTTAATATACTTTCTTAAAACTATATTTCTGTTTAAGTTCACTTTATTGTCAAATATTTATAATCACAATTTTTATTCCTTTTTCAATTTTTTGTGTGGATTCTCTACTGATGATTATAGATATGTTAAGTGCAACCAATTATATAGATATATTTTTAATTTGTTTAACTTTTGGACTTTTATTACTATTTGGAATTATTATATCTATATTATGTAAAGAAACTATAGATTTAAAAAAAGATAGATTTTAAAAATTAAATTAAACTTTTTTAGATTATGTACAATTAATACTTTTCATATTATAAATTATAGTTTATGGTGTTATCATAGATTAAAATAATGCTTAGATTTTATAATGTATTTTAATAATAACATTATCTTTAATAAAGATATTATAAATTTATTAATTTTAATACACAAACAATAAAATAATCAATTTAATTCTAATAATATCATCTTTTGGTTTAACTTAATCAATTGTATATCTTATAAATAATATAAATGGAAGAAAATTAACATTGAATGCGAATTCAATTATTATTTTATTATTTATAGGTTTATCAAAGGCATTAATAGAAATTTATACATCCTAAGAAAAAGTACTTTGCAATAAAATTATGACAATTAAATCACAATTGTCATTAAAATATTTCTTTACAAAATTAATTAATGAACATTTTAATGATACTCAAAAGAGAATTCTCAATGCTATAATTACTAGTGGTTTAGCTAAATTATAAGATTAAGTTGATGAATAAGCACATTTTTAAAACTATGATTATAATTTTCTATCTCCTTAAAGTATGGAATAATTTGTGACTAAGAAATTGAAATAATATGCCAAAATTGTTTAAAAAAATAAAGGTTATGACTTACATTATATTTCTCTGTTATATAAATATGGATTAACAAATTTAGCATTAAACTAAATAAATAGTTTATTAAATTCTTTTCTAAATTAAACCAAAAGTAAAGGATTCTTGGTTGATAGTGAAAATTATAGTAATAGACAAGATAGTTCAAGTAGATAAATTCATCATCAAACAATATCTAGTAAATCAATTAAATCTAATTCTGATGATGTTAATGATATTGCAAAGAAAAATACTTCATAAAGGAGTAAATTATTAATTTAAGGTAAACATTAATTATCTTAAATTGAAACTTCACGTGCTTTATTATTAAAAAACTAAATCAAAACTGAAATTTAAGTTAGATTCTATGAAAATAATAAAACTAAAACTTAGATTAATGATATTTAATTAGGAGTAGAATTATTTTTAAAAAATGAAAAGAGAAATTAAAATTTGAAAAATACTCTCATAAATTTGATAAATGAAAAAATTAAATTCCTTTCTTAATTTACAAATAAGAAAATTCTAGATTGTGATAAAATATTTAACTCAGCAAAGGATATCAGTTATTAATAATATAAAGTTGAGAACAAGCTATTCCAAAGATATTAATAATTCCCAAGTAGAAAAATCTAATCAATTTTGACCTTTTATCAAGCAGAAATCTTAAATAATTACATTGAAGCTTTTAAATATAAAGCTTTAACTTCTATGCCTGATGAATAATTAATTAATATGGACTCTAATATAAAATCAACATTTTTTACAAAAAAAGTTGTTTTCTTAAACATAACCTTAGAAGATAATTAAACTTTATCTATTTAACGTAAGTCAGAAAATGCTTTGAAGTTTTTCTAAGTACATCCTGATGATGCAAAATTATTCACTAATATTGAATACATATTACCACTTGGTATATAGAATGAACATAATCTATTAGTATAGAGATTCATATAAACTAGTAAATCAAAATTCTATCTTAATTCTAATTAAACATTTTTTCGTTATTAGAATATTTTGATGAAAACATGTTAATTTATTTTTGACATTCATTTTGATAGTATAAGTCATTATAAATTTTCTGCATTTTTCTCTGAAAGCATCAATTAATCAGCATATATTTTAGTAGACATAAATCATTTAGTAGGTGGTATAACAGAGAGCTTTTTTGAAAAAATAGGATTCAATGAGAAAACTGTAACTTAAATAAATTAAGTTGAAGACTTTTATTTACCTATTGAATTACTTATACCAAATTTTAAAAAATTAATAGATTAAAATATTTAGAGTGCCATCACTGAATTAAGGTTTATTAAAGAGGTATTCTTTAATCGTGATGAATGTGAAAAAAAGTAAAAAAGATAATAATCTTTAACTTCAACAAATTGGTCATAACTAGATAGGCTTTACATTTTTGATGCAGAAATACTAATTTAATACTTTGAAATTTATGGTTATTATTATTATATAATAGAAATCAAAGATTTAAAATAATAATTTAATACAAAAAAGTCAATTGGGTAATCAAGTAGAAGTAAAGCATAAGAAGGTTTAGAACATTTTTTTGAATTATCTGATTTATCTGAAAATGAGGCAGTTGCAAATTCTCCAAAAGCGTTCAAAGCTGTTTATTCAGTAAAACTTAATGATGAAATGATTGATTTAGGTGATGAAATGGAATTAAATAAAAAATAGATTGCATAACCTGTTTAAATATTACAACCAGATTATATTTCTTTTTAAGAACCTAATATTTTAAGTCCTAATGTAAGTAATACTCCTTGGCAAGATTCATCTTAAATTCCTTTGTAATTTAGCAATTAATAATTTCATCAATAAGATTATTTTAATAAACAAAAAGATATTTCTATATCAATAAATGATTCAAAAATTATTAATAATTAAGATGAATTTGAAGATGAAAATAATAAAAGAGCCAGCAGAAGAAATGTAGAGGATAATATTATAAAAAGAAAAAAAATAGTTTAAGGAGAAGAGGAATCATCATCTAACAATGCTCTAAAAGGTATCAAGAAATCATAATTCTATAAAAAATATGAAATGATCCTTTAATTAGTAGAACCAATATATCCTAATACTTTAAAATTATTTTTACTCTTTTAAGAATTAACCTATTTTATTACTTTAACTTATTTTTTAATTATTTTGATTGGAGTTTAAAATGATTTAACTAGATTTATTGGAGAAATTGATATGATTTAATTGCATGCTGGTGTTATGAATCCACATGATTTATATTTGTAAATGAGATAAACAATATTTACATATCAAGGATTTTTAGGTTAAGGAAAACTTACTTAGGATCAATACAAAAAGTTAAGTGACCCATTATATGAAAATATTGCAATAGGATATTATGAATTTAAAGATGGATTTATTTATTGGTTGAGCAATGATTATCTAACCCCTTTTTTTAAAGATAAAAATATAACTGCATATTATATGCTTTATGATGCTACAAAGACATATCCTATAGTGTAAAACATTAGAGAGGCATTAATGGCTACATTATCATATTATTATTAATTTAAATTGAGATTTGAATCTCGTTTAAGTCCTGCTAATTAAACATATCAAATATATTAATTTGCTAATGTTTACAATTTCCATTTTTGGTTGGAAGACTTAACATTGGAAGTATTAGCCTATTCTAAAAATAGAAGTATTGAGACTAGTGATAAATGGAATCTCATTTGGATTATTTATTTATTTATAGGAGTCTGTCCTTTATTAGCTAGTATATAATACTATAGATTATATAGATCAAAATTTGATAAATATGCAAATCTATTTAAATATTGTTCTTCATATAAAATGGATTTAGAAATTGATAAGTTAAAGTCAATAATGAAGATTTTGAATAAAAATACTGAGACTCTTTATAATTATTAATTTTCTATTGAAAGTAAAGAGGATAATATTTTAAAAGAGAAATAGAAAAGTGATCATGATCAAATAAAAGCCAAAGACATCAAAGTGCAATAATAATTAAAGAACCTTTCTTTTTTCTCTGGGTTTTTCTTTATCATTTTTGGCTGGTTAATATTTTTAGCCTTAAGTATAGTAGCCAATATTTAAATTGCAGATTACTTAAATAAATACACTGCCACAGCTGATACATATAAATTGTTATAAGACATGACATTATATGCAGGAACACTATTTAGGAATAGAGATTTTGGTCTTAATTTTCCTAATTTACCTTACTTAAGAGAATATGATAAAGAGAAATTCTATGTAACTATGGATTTAAGTTTAAATACAATTAGTACATTTTTAGAATTTTCTTATTCTTTTGATGCTTCAAAATATTAAGTTTCTTAAGATTTTTTGGATTTTTTTCTTAATATTCAATAAAATGATGTTTGTACTACAATTGGAAGTGATGTATTAGGATTTCTAACACAATATTGTGATATTTCATTATAAGGCTCTCTGAATCAAGGTTTGACTTAGACTTTAAAATTTATATATTCCACTATAACAGTATAGATGGCCATGAATAATTTTACAAAGAGAATCGAATACAATTGGTATGAGAATGAAGGTGGATTAATAGTAATGAGAGCTGCATAAATTATGAGTAAATAGTTTAAAGCAGGAATGGTAAATGTTACAAATTAATAAATTGCTGTTTCAAATGTAAATATTTATTATTATTTTTATTAGAGTATTTCAATCATATATATGATATATTCGATCCTTTTGATGCTGTATTTTATATTTTATTTATTACCAAAATTACAAAAAGAGTTACTTTTAGTTAGAAGATTTATTTTATTAATTCCAACTTCAGTGTTATTTTTGGATGATTAATTTGATAGACATGTCAGAATAATCATAGCTGGTTAAGAGTATTGATAATTATACAATTTTATATTGTAATTTAAATTTGATATTACAAAATCAAATTAATCATTTTTTATTATTATCAAAAATTAAATCACAGTTTCCAGATTTTTAGTTTAATTGAACATTATATATTTAATATTTTATATATATATATAAAAAATGAATCTTAGCACTTTCAAATTTCATTTAATTGGAATTAAGAAGACAAAATCATTGTATCTGAAAATCAAGTTTACATGTAGCTCATTTTTTAATTAATATATGCTATCAATATATCATAATATAATTAAATATGGCGGAAGGCATTAAAAAATATGGGAAATCTTTCCTTCCATACAATTCTCTAATACAAAGATCATAAAATTATAAATAGGATGCATCATTTGATCCTGTCTAACCATACCCAATTGAACCCAAAGTTCCTGACTCACAAGGAGACGCAATCTAATTAATCACAGGAGACATTCCAACAATCTAAAAAATTAATCAAACATAATCCATATAAAATCAAAGAGTTGTCTCTTAATTATCTTTCGATGGTGGAATTGACTTATTGAAGGATAGACAAAAATATATAGAACTACTAATCACAAATTCTCTTGATAGCAAATTGCTTTAAAGGCCATTACTATTATTACCAACTTAACAATAATATTTGAATTAACTTAGTGCATTAATAAGTTAATCACCAAATGGCTCATTTTGTCCATTCTTGAACATAAATTAAAACCAAAACCAACAGTTGCACCAAAATTTAGATCAATAACAAAATGCATAAGGTATCTGTAATATTACTTGTTAATCTAATCAAAATTGTAGACAATCAACCATTTTGAAGCCAAAAGCAATTAAAAAAGATTTGCATTTCAAAAAAGAAGAAATAAAATTTCTGAATTTAGAAGAATCTTGTTAAAGTGAAGTTATACGATAGGAAGAAAGCAGCTGGAATGAACTTCCTTAACCTTAAAAAATGAAAAAACATTAAAATAAAAACTTATCTATTGATAGTTCTGAATCCTTTAAAATAATAAGAAAGAAAAAAGAAAAGAAAATAAATGATACTAAAAACATTACAAAGAATTTTTCGAAAGCAATTATCTCATATATCATGAATAACCCAGATTTACTTAAATCATTTTTCTCAAATAAGCAATATGATGACTTTTTGAATCTGTTAAAAAATAAAAAAAATCAAATGACTAATATCAAATAATTAAGAGATCTTTGGATTGATGGAGGCAAGTTTTCAGAATTTAATAAAGTCTTTCGTATTATAAGGTACTTATTGTCTTTAATAATTTAAGTTAATACTTTTTAAAAAATCAGTCAGTAGCTTACGTTTATAACTCTAGAATTTCTAATACAATTTGGCATCTCAAGTATAGACAAAATTTGTTAAGAGCATTAAAAGAACCTGAAAACTTTAGATTCATTAAAGATCTATGATTAATTAATGTTTTTGCAAATTCAATATATATAACCAAAATTATATTTATAAGATACTCATTATTTTTTTTAATTTCTTAGACTATTTAATTGATTAACAATTAATAATGAGATAAACGATTATGGACCAGATCTAAAAAATAAACCTCCTAGTCCTTTGTACAACCCTAAGAAACCCTCTGATTAAAAAATTATTTTTATGGCATGAAAACATCCTTAATAAACTGTAGGATTACCATACTAATAAAATATTTAAAAATGATTACTTTATCAAATTATTAATTAAAATATCTAGTCAAAGCCACTTCTACAGGACAAGTCATTAAACATAACCATAAAGTAGCATTAGCACTAGCTAACATATTTAATTCAGTTTAGTTTTTGATCCATTATTTTCCATGTTCTTTAGTAAAATCAAAAACTGGTAATTAAATTGCAGATCCTAATCCAGTTCTAAGTGCCATAATTGAAGATCCAGCATAAAGTCCTTTTAATCTATTTAACTCTTCTATTAAATTTACCCTTCCAATTTAAATATTTATGAAATTGCATCAATAAGTCCTGAATAATTATATCTATTTCCACATGGTAGATCCTTAGTTTAAAGCATTAATCTAGTTTTAATCATATTAAATGGACTGGAAACAAAACTTAATTTAAATATTAGATCAATTACGCACTAAAACAACCAACTCCTGCTGAAATGCCAATATTTGATAAAACCTTTACATATCCATGAGAATTATATAAATGGAATTATTAATTTGCAATATCCTTTACAATCTCATAGCTTCCAAATCGTAAACCGTTCATAATAATTTAAAATACAATAGCAGCCTACAATCCTTTTTAAACTGCTAATAATCCTTCAGATGATGAAGTTTTTATTAATGTATTTATCACACCAGAATATGCTCTCTTATAATGACCTTCAGCAACTAGTTCTCCTTAAGCTTATAATCTCGTTTTAGCTAGATCAAATGGGTTTGTAATTAAAACTGTAGTAGCTCCAGCTATTGCGCCATTCATTACTGCATCCATTATTAATTTTAATTAAATTCGTTAATGAAAAGTGATAAAGAAATATTGAATACTCTCAGAAGATTTAAGGAAGCAAAAATTGAATTAAAAAAATATTTAAGTTGGATTGAACAAATTAAAGTATCAAATTAGAGTTTATATTATATAGTTAGAAATGGTTTTGGCAGCTTAATCAGAAAAATAAATCAATTATTATAGAATGCAGATTTAAGGCTTTGATACAAATAAACTTAAAAATGGAAATTATCCAACTAGTGAATCCTTAACAGAAGAAGTTCAAATTAAATGCAATTAAATGACTTTTTAATCATAACAATAAGAATTAAACTAAGAAAATGTTAGAGAATTTATTAATAAATATGAAAAAATGTTAGTCTAATAAGATCAGCAACAATTATAAACTAATCTAAATTCAGGTTAAACATTATTAATTAACAGAGATTCCAAATAACATTTTGGAACAAGTACTATAGAAGACATGTTTAAACTATCTTAATCATAATAAGACTCATAATAATAAAATTAATACAGTTATGATACTTCTAATTTTGGTAATGATTAAATTGGAAAGAGAAGATAGGAAGAGAATCTATTTAATAATTTACAAAATTATTCAAAAGATTATGAATAAGAATAGAGTTTATAATCATCTAAATGTTTCAAAGATTATATGATAAATTAAGAAAAAGTAGATTTAAATTATAATCAAAATAAAGAACCATAAAAAAAATCATTTGAATAATTTTATTAAGAACATGTAGAAGGAGAAATCAACAATATTTAAATGGAAATAGAGGAGATGTAAAGGTAATATTGAATAATAAAATATAGATTTCTTTAAAGAGTTTAAACAGCAAAAGATAAATTAACAAATAGTTTTAAGGATCTTTAATAAATTCCTGTTATTAATAGATAGAGTAGTGAGAATTCTATTTAAAAAGTGACAGAAGATCTTAAATTAATTGACATAATTAAATAAAATATGATAAAATAAATGGAAAATAATATAGATTAAGATAAACTTAAAAAATTAAGAAACATGAAACATTAAATTTAATTATACTTTAATAATGTTGAGGATGAATTACTAAGAATAAATGAAGAAGCTTCTGTTGTTTAATGATTTATTATTTTTCATATTAAACTCACTAATGAAGATTATAAATCTAATAAATAATTTAATAAATAAATATTTTTATTATTATGCTATATAAATATTTCACTATGACACAGCCCATTAAAATTTCAATCATATTTTTACCAATAATTTAGATTTTATTTTTAATAATATAATTTAATCTATTAATTATTTAAACTATGAAAAAATAAACAACATTAACAGATTTTACTATTTTATGAAAATTAGGATAAGACTCTTTTGAATAGGTGAATAAAATATTTATGATATTTATATAATGGTAAAACGTAACAGTGATAATTAAGAATGCGCCATGAAAAAGTTCGAATTGGTAATCTAAAATTAGGTGAGAGGGAAAATGCATTTAATGAAATAAGAATTCTAGCTTCAATCTAAGATCAGAATATTATAGGATTCAAAGAAGCTTTTTTTGATGAAAAATCAAATAGCTTATGTATTATAATGGAATATGCATCTGGAGGTGACATCGCTAAATAAATATAAAATTCAATTCGCAAACATGTGATTAGAGCATTAAAAGTGTTACACAAAGCTGGAATCTTGCATAGAGATTTAAAAAGTGCCAATGTTTTTAAATCATCAAATGGCATCTATAATTGGGAGATATGAATGTTAGCAAAGTATCTCATTGAGTAATGGCAAAAACACAAACAGGAACTCCATGTAATTTAATAAATTATTTAAGATTATGCTAGTCCTGAAGTATGTAGAGATTAACCTTATTCTAACCCTTCAGATACATGGTTAATTGGATATGTTATTTATGAAATGGCAACACTTAAGCCACCTTTTAGAGCAACTGACCTTAAAGATTTATTTAGAAAAATATCAGATGGAATTTATGAAAAATTACCCTATTAGTATTCTAAAGAATTAAATTTCATGATTGCTTCTCTTTAAAAGTTCCTTCATAATTAAGACCAAATTATGAATTAATCTTGAATGACTCTACTATTAAGAAATATATTGATCAATTCGAGCTATAATCTCAATAATAATAACAATATTTCAAAGCACAATTATTTTAAACAATTTTATTACCTAAAAATTTAAAATAGTTATAAATAAAATTACTAACACCTCTGTATGATATCAAACAACCAATTCAATAATTACCCAATTAACCAAAATCTACTAGATCAGTTTCATTTAATGAATAAAAATACACTGAAAGATCCAAAAGTCATACTCCTTAATGTTAAAAAAAATAACCTAATGTTATTTCTAATTAACAAATACCTAGACCTGTAATAATTTATTTTTTTAATTATGATAGAAAATACCCCTAGCTCCTGCCAAATAATAGCAACCTGTGAATGTTTTGAATGATCCTAAAAATTATAAACCTTAAGATAGAACAGTTTCTGCTATGAGAGCTTAAAGTCCTTGTTCAGTTCGAAAAAGTATTGATTAAAAATAGAATCAAAATCCAAGTCCTTTAGCTAGAAAATCAAATCCATATATTAAAAATAATGATGAAAACACTAATGCAAACATTCTAAAGAAAAGGAACATCATGCCATTAAAACGATGATACTTATTATTGTATGTATAATATATATATAATAATTTAAAGAACATTTAATTTTTAATTTATTTTTATATTACATAGCATTTCAAGTATTCATATATATCGAATAACAATTTTAAATTATTATTATAAAGATTAATCGCTAAATGCGAAAGGCAAATAACAAAAAAAGCAACAAAGGAATTTAAATCGAGGATATATTTAGCAAAATGATTTAAGCTACAATGCACTCTGAAAGGAGTGTGAGAATAAATTCGCAAATTTAGTTGATGCTTTTCTTTATTTGCAAATTTTAGCTGATTTTCTTTTTATTTTACTTGGATTATAAATGGTAAGACACAAATAATTTATATCTATATCACTACATTCTGTTAGTAATTTTTAGAATAGACCTGTTTATATCGACCTTTGAAAATATCTCAAGTTTAAGTGTCTATACAATATTAAGCATTATTATAATAAAATATTTATCTTACATATTACTTTCATTTGATGATAAATTATCGAAAAACAAGTTTACTTATTTAATCAAATCTATTGGATTGTATGGGCAATTATTTTATACTGTTTTTCATATTTTATTTTCGACGCTAAGCTGTTTATATATATATCAGCAGTATAAGTAGGTAGAGTTAAACAATCTTAATTATATTCATTTATTATTTGGAATTTTATGTTTTGTAATATTATAATTAGAAGGAATTTATCATTTATAAATAAGTGAATAATCAATAGATGGTAAGATTATATGTTTTGATAGATTAAGAATAACAATTAAAGAATACATAATTTAATTTTTAAACTTAATTATCATTATTTTATTTTCAGTTGTTAAAAATTCTTAAATTGTTTCTTGGATAATACATTTACTTGTTTTATTGAGTTCTTCATTAAATACATTAAATTTATAAGAAAATCAAACTATTATAGATAATAACAAAAAATTTATTAATTACTTTTCTGATTCATTTAATATACTCTATGTATTTTATTCACTTATCTAAACAATTATTTCAACATAATAATTTCAAGTATTTATTTATACAATTTTTTCATTTCCTTTATTACTTAAAATATTCATCAAAATAGATTAATATTTAAATTTCATTATATTTCATTAGGCTTTTGAGCGAAAAAAGATTTAATTGTTTGCAATCACCTAATTGTTAATAAAAAAATAAAATAATTATAATTTCCCTTTAATTTATAAATTATTCATTTATAATCATCATAAGAAGAAATGTAATGATATTTAATGTTATTGCCATCATAATAAACTTTTAATTGATCCTAAAGATACAGCTACTATTACATCTGAAATAGATAAAGATTTTGTTCAAAAAAAGTTAAAATAAATAAGAAAATTTATTATAAATTATAAATTTGACAATTTGGATGATCTTTAATATTACACTGTTTTGTATGGAGCATTATTATCAAATAATGGTTGGTCAATATAATCAATAAGACATTTTAATTAGTTATTATATGGTCGGAAAAATTTGAGGAACTCTCAACAAAGTATAAATTAATCAATTTTAAAACCTAACTCCTTTTCAGCAACTTAAAAAAATGATTCCTCATCTCAAACAATTAATGAGCCTGAAAAAAAATTTTAAGAAATTTAAATGAATGAACAAAAGAGGCATCAAAAAAATACTTTAACCTAAATGGTTAAATTTGATTTTATTTAACTTTAAAAAATTTAATTTTTTTTAACTTAGACGAAGCACTAACTAAAAAATTTGTTTGGTGGTCATTAGCTGACAGCTGAACAACATAATTTATCAGAATAAATTCAAGCTTTTATGAAATAAGAACTAAAAATGGACCAATATATAAATGAAATTAGAAAAATCTTAAAACTGAAAATCAAATATTTAGAAAATTTAACTTAACAAATTAAAGATAAAAAAATTTCTGAATTCATGAAAGCATTAACTTTAATTTCAAGTAAATTAATAATTTTTAAAAATGTATTATAATTAGAATATGAAAATTATCAAAGTAAAAGATTACAATCACTATAAATTTTTTATGAAGCAGAAATCTTTAGAAACTTATTAGAGGCTTTTAAATTATACAACTAAGCATCTCTTTCAGATGATCCTATATCAATATTAAATCAAAATATAAATATTAAATTTTATTCTAATAAAATAAGCTATATAATGGTAGAGATAGATGATGATTTATAAGGGGCAGAAATATTAAAATATTCAACAAATTTAAGATAATTGATTGAATGTAGTCCGAATGATGAAATACATTTCTATTCTCTATTTCTACCTTTTATATCTAGAGAACATCCATTATTAATATCAAGATTTTTTAAATTTGGATAATCAAAATTTTATAAATAATTTAATTAGACTTTCATTAAATCTAAAAAAAATTTGGCAAAATCTATTATTTTTAGTTTTGACAATATAGTTTAAATAGAGTAAGAAAAAATTACACTTATTGGTTTATTATAAGAAATAGATATCTAAAATCCATTTATAATGGTAGATGTCAACTTAATTGTTGGAGGATTAACAAAATCTTTGTTTTCAACCTTAGGATATAATTAAATTTACATAGACAATATAGCAGATTTTTCTATTTTCTACCAAATAAAAATAACATAAATATTTCCAGATTTTAATGAATTCATTTAAAATGAAAATTAATCAATTATAAAGTATAATAATATAGATACATACTTTATTGATTTGGAATATTTTTTTAGTGAATTACAAACTGAAAATTTTGATTCAAATAATCAATAGGCATAATTTTTACTCAAATTATGGGACAATCCTCATATAAAATCATATTATTCAAGTATTACTATTTACACTTATGAAATTTATGGTTACAATTATTATGTTATACAAATTGATTCTTTAGTTTAAACTTAAAAATGTAATAAAACTTAAGAAAAAAATAGCGAAGTTCATAGAAATCTTGAATAATCATAAAGTTTTGAAATCAGTTAATTAAATTTATCAATAGAGGAAGCTATGCCAAGACTCATTAATTAATTTACAATTAAAAATAGGGAAAATTATTCATAGAATTTACAAAAGAATAGTCAAATTATAAATTTATTTGCAGTACAAGAAGTAGATTAAGAAGAAGTTTATCTAAAGATGGACTAACTTTAATTAATGTTATCTCCTAATAAAAGCACAAGTTAATTGATTGAAAAATAATAAAATAAATTGTTGCGTTAATCATCATAGTAAGATTATTACACTGTAAATACAAATTAAAAATAAAATAAACAACTTAATAGTATAGATCACGAAGAATTCAATTAAAAAGGTGATTAAAAATTAATTGAAAATTTATTAAAGAATTCTTTGTAATCAACAGAAATTGGGGCCAATAGTGAAATTATCAAAAAATATGAATTATTGAACTCTTTGACTAAAATTAAAATCCCAAAAATTTTGAAGATTTCTCTAGCTACTTTTATTTTATTTGTCTTGATTTAAACAATATGCTTATCCTTAGTGATATCGATTCTTCATAATGACATTTAGTAATTTATTTCAGATATAGAGATTATTGCTCTGCATGCAAGTATATAAGGACCTCATGATTTATTTTTTTCTATGAGAAATACAATTACTTCGTATCAATAAATGTCAAGGGAAGGATTCATTCCTGCTAACAAAGTTAAAAATTTGACTGAACCTTATTATTTAAATATTTAATATGGATATTATGAATTGAGGGATAGTTTATATCAATAACTAGAAAATGATTATTTGAAAATGTTTTTAGATGAAGAGGTAATGACACTACTATTTATGAGAAACAATGACACAGAAAATTATGCAATGGAACATTTATCATTTAGAGAAGGTTTATTGATCATATTACAATACTAATTTGCATAAATGAGAACATTTTAAAAGAGGGAGAGTACTGCAGGATAACCATATTAAGTTTTTCTGTTTTCCAATTATTATAATATTCAGGATAAACTGGAAAGTATTACAAATGATATTTTATAATATTCTAAAAATAGAAGTTTAAATGTAGGAATAAAATGGTAAATAATTTGTTTATTTTTTGCTTTCATTGTAATTATTAATTCAATATTTTTAATGATTGAACTTCATCAATATTATAAATTATATGATAGATTTTTATAGTTATTAAATTTTATGGATAAATAAAAAATATCTTTAGAAATAGAAAAACTGAATTAATTATATAAATTAATAACTACGAATTAAGAATCTATATATTCATATTAATTTGATCTTTAACGTTAAGAATAATTGATGAATAATTATATTGCTTTAAACAAAATCACAAATACTAAGAAAAATGTTGAAAGCAATTCATAAATTAAAATTCAAAGAAGAAATATTTTAGTGTTTTTAATATTAGTAGCTTGCATATTTTAAGTTTATATAATAGTTATTTAAATCAAAACAAATGAATACATTAGTAAATATGATGACACAGCAGATTTTTACTTTATGATTTAAAATTTAAAATTCAGAAGTGGATCAATGTATATGTATAGAGAACATTTATTAAGATGGAAGAATTTTACTTATTTAACAGCTTATGATTTAGAGAGAGCATATTAATTAATAGATAAAGCATAAATGAATATATAGGAATATTTAGATTTTACAAGTTCATTTTAATCAAATAAGTATTTATTATCTGATGAATTCATTTCTTTTTTTGAATATTAATAAACTCATGATTTATGTGAATTTATAGACTAAGTATATATTATATTTAATATTTATAGATTTATATAGAATTTATGTCATTATATTGTGAAAAATCATTTGATGGATTATTGAAATCAGGTTCAATTTCAGTTCTTAATTTTATGTCAAATTAAATTAAAAATTAATAAGCTGTTAATAATTTTACTAAAAGAGCTGAAGTTAATCTTTATGAAATGGAAGGATCATAAATTGTAATTAGATCATTTTTTAGAGTTTCGGATGAATTTTAAATTGGTTTGAAATAAATCACAACATAATAAAATGAATTCACTCTCATAATAACAATCATATTCATTTGTTATTTGATTATTTTCTTAATGGTTGTTGTATTTATAATCAAGAATCTATTAGTAAAAGAATACGCTATGCTAAGAAGGATAGTATATTTAATTCCACAATAGATTGTTTTAGGAGATGAATCATTTGAAAGATTTCTAAAATAGTTAGCATTAACCTAAGAATTAAAATGATTCAATATAATACAATGTTTTATTTTATTATGCTTCAAATCAAAATTATATTTTTATTTTTTCTTATAATTATTCAACTCTAAAATATTCATGATCATTAAATCATTTAGTTTTGAATAAATTATCTTAATTTTAATTAAAAATCATTTTAATTACATTTAATATTTATTTAAGACCTTATCACCCTATAAAATAAAGAATAATTTAATTTTAGGTTTATATTGTATATATTATTGGATTAAATAAAAAAATCAGATTAGCTAAAGTATTCTTAATAAACTGTAAAAATCAGCAAATTAATGTATAATAAGAGTTTAGGTTGCAAAAAATATTATTTTTAAATTGAGATTTTTATAAATAAGTCAAGTCTGCGCTTACTTAATTTTTGATAAAATGATTTAGTTATTGACTTTGATTTTGGAAGTAATCAAATTGTATTAAAAACTGATGAAATAAAGTTTTTCTTAAGGTCTTTTGGCAATCAAATATTTTCAAAGGAATTTTAGTTGAATACACAGTGGAAACTCAAAAAACTACTCTATTTAAAAATTATCCACTTTTTTCTGTAGAAATTCTTTACTAAGATTATCAAATTAAAAATAATTTCAGCTTTTAAGAAGAGTGATCAATTAATAGATCATAAAATTTAAACAATATGAGGACAAAAATAAAAATAAGCCTACATTAAATTGGCTAAATAATAATTATATTGTTATTTGTAATCCTCATCACCTTTAATTATTTTTATTGATTAATTTTGAATTGCAAAAGAAAACTTGCAGATGAAAAGAATGAGATATATTCATAGTAAAAAATAGTATTATATTTATGTATATA